AACCATATATATTCCCCATCCATCCCCTTCCCATCCGTCTCGTCCTGTGTCCTTCCTCCTTCCGCTCTGTCTGCATCCGTATGCGATTCCCATGGATTCTGTTCATTTTGTGTCAGAGTGGTTTATTCGACCGCCTCTATTTGCCTTGATTTCATCTTTAATTTAGGCAACGCCCGACTGTCCATCCGTTGGCTGGTCTGCTGGTATTGCCGGTTTTGGCTGGTTTTGGCTGCTTTACGGCCTGTTTGCTTGCCGCTCTGCTATCAAAACATAATTCCCGCCATGATGAATTTCCCGTCCGCCCATTTAACATGTCCGCGGGGCGTGGCCGGCAAATTGAATTTCATTGTTATGGCTACGGTAATTAATACGCACACAAACGCAAACGCACACCTCCCCCCTCCCCTCAAATATACACACAAATGCACTTGTGCGGGGAATGAAGTCCTTTGCACAGATACACACACACACACAGAGAAAAGGGGGAAACTGTGATATGCATGCACTCGTATGTTTGCATTTCCGGTTGCTCTGCGCTCCACGGCGGATTATGCTTAATTACAGCCATATTTACAATGCTCGCAGCGATTCGAAAGCCAGCGGGTTAACCAGTCAATTGACCAGTCGAGGCTAATTCTACTTATAGTACAAGTCCTTCGGATAACTGACATGCAAAGGGGTCAAAGCAAACAGGGATTTTCCTGGCATACAGAATAGATAGTAAACATCACAGAGATTTGTTGAGAACACAATAAATAATAAATATACATATAAGATTTTATAGGGGATTTTAGATCAAAGGATAAGGTGAACAATTGGTTTAATAATAATAAACAAAAAGATTGATAACTACAACTTTATTCTGTTGCTTGATATAAGTGCAAAAGTTATAAGAATCGGACTTTATTATTTAAGTAGCAGTCTTTGTGCTTTTAAATTCAACACAACTATCACCTGTAGCATTTGCACAACAAACTACGAGATTTCAGCTCAAAGCACGTTCACCTGGCGCCAGAAAAGTCCAGATCAATTAGCATTTCTCCCTCGCATCAAATCCTTTTCGAGCCGCAAGCATTTTTTCGGTTTAATTGCTCGTGTTTTATTTGCGCACACACTCGTATTTTATTTTATGACACAGCCAGCGGACCATTGACATCCGCCAAAGAGCACAAAAGCCATAAATAACAGAAAAAAGGGGTGGGGAAATGGGGGAGGAATTCCGGCCCCAAAAAATAACCGGAGAGCAAAAAAAAAAAAAAAAGGTGAAACGAAACGTAAAGCGAAAGCGTACCCAACTGACCTCAACAATGGCAATCGACGTGTTCTCTTCAATTATTTGCTTTTGACCCGCAAAATGGACGAGCGACTCCGGACTGAATGTTGCCACCGCATCAGGAGCGTTAAGAGTGTTTTTCGGGGAAGCTGCCACAGTTGCCCCATCTGTCCCAGCTGCCCCACTTCCTCCTGCTGCTTTTCGCACGTATAAAACCTTCGCCCAGAGCGAATAATCAGCTGGAACAGTGTGTGTGGGTTGGCTGGCTGGCTGGAAGGCTGGTTGGGTTTTATTTTTAATTAAACTCACAGTTGCGATCCCGAGCTCATAAAGTGGGCGGCCCTTGTTGCCACATTACGCATACGCCGCGTGGCCCGCAACGCAGGATTTAGGAGGGTGAAAGTGCAGTGGGAATGTGTTGAACATTTTTGTGGCCGCCATAAAACGGATGCGCAACTGGACTCAAATTCACAGTATCCTTTTCCCAACCTCCACCCCCCTTTCCCCCCTTTTCCCTTTTCCCGGCTTGAAAAAAAGGCACGTTCTGTGCGTCAGTTCGTTAGTGCGATGTGGGCGGAAAGCGAGTGGGCGTGGCGCAGTGCTCGTGCGAAGGAGGCGACGCTCAAAAATTTAATTACTTTCACTTGTGCGAACTGTTTGTCTGCCAGTCAGAGTGGACGGCCAAAGGCATTTAACGTAAATGTAATGAAATTGCAGACGGACGGTTGGCGCTACGCTACGCACTCTGGATCTGGATCTCTGGATTCCTCCAGTTCCGCATCCGTTTCACGAGTCCTTCGTTACTTGATCCTTCGCCGTTAGACGGACTGTTAGCACTTCCCCTGTGTGTGTGTGTGTTTGTATTGGTGTGGGAGTGTGGCTAAACTGCCAGGCTCTGTCACGCATTATGCGGCAAGTTTTCTCGCCTGCTCCTCGGTAAAGTGCATCGTCTTCTTTTATTGCCACCAGTCAGCAGAGCAGAGCAAAGGAGCTTTCGTCCTTATTTGCTCCTTCGGTTGGCAGGCAAACGTTAAAGGGATTAAATGCCAACTGGGAACGTGTCGAGCGTCGGTTACTGTCCGCTTCTAGTTTCACTTTAGAGTTGAACTGCCATTTCGGCTTCTCTCGCTCGTTTGCCAGCATCCAACATCCAACATCCAAATCAATCATCCGCCATGTGGGACGTGCGCGGGTTGTGCGCAGTGTTTTAAATTTAAATTTCATGTATGCAGAGCCACGCTGGCGTAGCACATATTTTTAATTCACAACAGAGCACACGTGTTCACAGCAGCCGTACAGATTTCCCCGATTGTGTATGTAAATATTTGCGCAATTCTAGAAATTTGTTTGACTGTTAAATCAAATGTAAATACGATATGTTTTCAAAGTCAACATGCTGCAATTGCAGCAAAAACAATGGGCCAAGGGATGGTGCAAGTTGGAAAATAGGGAACAGGGGAAACGTGGGCAGATGATGTGTAATTTAATTCAGATTTTACTGAATGCCGGGCGATGGCGATGGCGATGGCTTATCTGTGCAACTAACAGGATTCCCATTTCCTGAAAGGTTACTTTTCCGGTTTTGATTTTCAGGTTGAGTCCGACATCTGATGATTCGCATTCCGATCTTTGATAGAACCTATATGGTGGGTGTTTTGGGTGCTCTGGGTGCTGTGGCTGGCCAACACCATTTCCTGTTTGTGCTCCTTTTGCTCCAGTTGCAGCAATGCGACCACAGTTCGGTTACGGTGCGTATGATTGACATTGATTGGGGCACTGCCGAACCAACTGTGCGGTTGGTCTCTCCCTCTTTTTCGATTTTTTTACTCCCAGCCAGTGAGTCTCCCTGCCATGATTGCCAAGCTCTGCTGCACTTTCGGGAACTAAATCAAAAAACGTTTGCAGCTTGATAAATATGTAATTTGCAATTTTGGCCAAAACAACACGCAGCAGAAGAGGAAAAACCAAAGGCAGGAGCTTCGCAAAGAAGAATGCTTATACGTTCAGCTGTTACAGCATAGGGGTTATCAAAGTACAGTGAAACCTTCAGAAGGAAAAGGATTAGTTACTAATGTTTTCTATAAGTAAAAAGTTTACCAAAAAGTGAACTAATTTTGAAACATAATATCACATAAATAGTTTTAAATGCCAATCAATAAAACTAAGTTCACAAGGTACTCCTGAATTCTTTTTTAAGATTGAATACCACCTTTTTTAGGCAAAACTCAGGGAACTTGAAATGATCGATATCTTCCATGCATAATTGACCACCAAGTACCGAAATCCTAAAACCGAGACTATCTCCTTTTCGCATTTTAATTGCTTTCCATGCAATTACTAGTTTGCTTTCCGAAGGCAGTAAATCCATGATTATTGCCCAAAGGATACGTGTGCAGCCAATTGGGATGCCTTCCCAGTGGAGATGGACTCTACGGCCTGCTCCCCATCCCCATCCTCATCCTCGTGCTCATCCTCTATTTCAGCCACTTGTACTGACCCACTTCCCAACAAGTTAGACTCAAAGATGATTGGTTTTGCCGCTCCAGTTGTAATAATCAAATTGCCAGCACCCGTATCTGCATCTGCATTTGCACATCGGAGTTTCCGAGTTACCAACTTCCAGATGGACACGATGAGCAGGTGAAATGCAGAGTGGGAAAGGGCGGAAAAGGGGGGAAAAGCAATCCGGGGCAGGTGGGAAATCCCAGAGCAGAGAAATATGGGCCACGTTGAGCGGCCCTCAGAAGTCAAAAGGCGTTAACGTTAATGCCGCCCTATCACGAACCGCTCGGCATCCGCGTCTATCCACTCGAGCAGGCTCCACTGTAGAGCACACTGTGCCGGCCGTGTAAATAGCATGAATGCAATTTTATTTTATTTATGTTTGAATTAAGCTGAGCTCAGAGCTCCGAGCTTCGAGCAGCCAGCGAGCAGCCAACCAGCAGCATTTCAGCAGGAGCACTCAGACAGTCTTTATAGGCAAATGAATTGCTCTATCCAGAGCTTGTTTGGCTGCGAAATGTTCTCCGACATGAAAAATAAAGATTGATGGTTGCCTCTGCCGGGGGAATGCTTAAAATGATCTGCTTAAAATATTCAACAGACCAAATGCCAGAGCACTTCGATGGGAAGAGTCTGTGCAGTTCGGTTACGAGCATTATTTATTTGCATTCCCTGCTTTTTTACCCTTTTTTGTTGCAATGTGCAAACGCACTTAATTAATTTTGTTTAACATGTCTGGGGCAGACAGGGCAACAGTTTCATATTCCGCTTGTTAACTGTTATCGCCGCTGCTGCTGCAGTTTCACTTGCTTTTGCTGTTGCTGTTGCCATTTTCACTGACCACTCCCTCGTGGACATTGCGTATACGCCGCGTGGCCAAACAAAGGCATCAGCTGGCCAGGAATCCCCCTGCTGTCCTGCTGCCTCCTGGCTGTCCTTCTGTCCTGCTGATGCACTGATTAAATGGATATGCAGAGTGTGTGTCCTGGCGAAATAACTGTCAGTTCGCCACGGCTTTGTGTTCAGTTTTCAGTGGCCAGTGGATGTTGTCAGTGCGAATTATAAATTACCAGCGGCTCAGCGGGACGGGAGCCACATGAAATTTCAATTAAATTAAAAATTTATACGCTTCTCGCCCTGTCGCCCATAATTAAAAACAATTTGTAAGTTATGGCGCGGCGCTATAATGTCCCTAATTTAAACCGCTTTATCTGTGGCCTTGCAGGCGGTTTCATGGGCGACATCGCCCTGCCGGAGGGCGATTCCGGTCCGGTGGTGGCCCACACGCCCATCGACGACGAGGAGCAGGAGCGCCAGGAGGTCGAGCAGCTGTTGGCCGACGCCCCGAGCCAATCTACGGATGAGGATTCCGCCCCTTCTGCTTCGAGTCGAGCGACCTTGGGTCCCAGCAAGTTCAACGCCACCTTCCAGCTTGACTTGGAGAAGCTCAAGCAGGAGGTCTACCACGAGGGACTGCAGGTGGAGGAGGAGGGCCTCACCGACATCATCCGCAAGAAGACCAAGCTCCCGAGCTCCGGTCCGGTCAACTTGAAGGCCGGCCAGGGCCAACTGCAGAGTCAGGTGAGCAAAGGAAAAGCAAAACGGCCTTCTGCTTTTGCTTTTATTTCCGAAAAGCACTTTAAAAAGGGTTTAATTGAGAATTTGTACGGGTTTTCTGCTTACTGTCCATTTATAAATATAAATAATTTATGCACTTCTGAGAAATTTAACCATTAAACAAATTTGATTTTTTTGAAGATTTTTACTTGAGCTTCCAATGGGGTATATAAATATATATTTCTTTTCTCCAGAGTGCCAATGAACCCGTGAAGCCCGGTTCGGAACTGCCCTCCGATTATGCCCAAGCTTCCAGCTACAAAAACGAGGTGCTGCCTCCCTCGGAACAACGAACTCACGCTGATAAGCCAGCCAGGATGACAATGGTGGAAATGGGCTCTAAAGCGGGCAACAAAACGCAGTCACTTCATCGCAACGTGGACACTCGCAAGATTCAGTCGGACAACAAGGACATCGAGGATGATTCGGGCAATAACTTTGTGTCCGAGCGGCGACCTTCCCACATTGTGCCCACTTCTTTGCCGGAACAGAGATCCACGCCAGCGCATGTCTACAGCAACGCTGGGGGAAACGGAATGCAACTGGATGACGAGGTGGACTTTCTGCATTCCCGTGGGGTTGTGAGACGACGACACAGACGAGGACCTAAGCAGCGGTGAGTAAATACCAGCTTAAATGAAATAAAATCTTCTAGTTATACTTAATACCCATTTACGCACCGAAAATATGAGCAGTTATTAAGCCAATGCTAAACTCTTGATGAAAAAGCTCAAAAAGAAATAGGATTAGAAGCCGAGGCATTTATTCATGTATTGCAATTTTACTACAATTTAGTGCATTCCTTTGTATTCAGAAATCAAGAGTATAAACACTTGATAAACTAAAACCTTAAAATGCCTCACAGTGCCAATTATTGAGCATTGCAGTTGTAAAGTAAAATAATTTAATTATTCTGAAAACGTAATTAGGCAAACAAAAATGGTTTAATTAAAAGTTTTTGCAGCTGCCTCCCTGAAAGTTGATTTATGAATCATTGATAAATCGCAAATTGTATTTCAATTAAAGGAATTTCAAATGCTGCTAATTAGTTTAATGAAATGTTTTTTCGGTTTCACCACCATGTAAATAGTTGTGGGCTTCGTTTGATGCGAGAGTTCCTTTCACTTTATGAGCAGCCATTTAAGGCCAGTCTTTTTGAATGCCCTCCACAGACGAAGCAACCAGCATTTGGAGCACGAGGCCAAGTTGCAGAGGCTGCGGGAGGAGCTCAGTAGGCCAGTGGTCGAGGGTCAGCACCACCACCAGACGCAGCACCACCAGAAGCAGCTGCCGAGTGGCCACCACCACCACCAGGGAAAGACCCGCAAGAAGCACCGCCGTCAGCATCGACGACGAGGAGGACAGGGCACCACGCAGTATGTGAACCACCCGCCAGGATTCAATCAATCGGCACAGCACACAGCTCCTGAAATGGATTTGCTGCAAGCGGAGTAAGTTTATGCCCCACGGCCTGCATCCTTTACTCCTTTTAAACCACCCAACCACCCTCCCTTTTTCCCTCCGGTGACCCACCAGCACCACCACCACATCCGCTTCCGTTGCCATTTCCTGGCCCTCTGTAAATTGCTGGCCATTTTCATTCAGAGGTTTTTCGGCATAAACTTTAAACAAACAGCAGCCATTTTGCCAACTCACACAGACGCAAATAAAGGCGCATTCACACGCACACACACACACACACACACACACACACATTACTCATTGTGCGGTTGTGTGTGTGTGGCTGTGCGGCTGTGTTTGTGAATGTTAAAAGTTATGAATTTTAATAGAAATTCGCGTGCCAAAAGTTATGCCCAACAACAACACCGCAGCAGCAGTGAAAAATGTATGCAAAACTGTTGGCAATTAAAATTACGCATACGCCACGTGAAAGTTTTCCGCCCACCGCGCTCCAAAATCATCCGTATCTAACGGGGAATGCTCTCGTCCCCTTTCTTCCCCAGGACTCCCAAGGACGAGGAACAGCTGCGGCATCGGGTGGCCCGCGCCGTCACCGCCAAAAAGGACCGCATCTGGGATTATGGAGTCATTCCCTACGAAATCGACGGCAACTTCAGCGGCATCCACAAGGCGCTCTTCAAAATGGCCATGCGCCACTGGGAGAACTCCACGTGCATCAAGTTCGTGGAGCGCGATCCCGAGATCCATCCCAACTACATCGTCTTCACAGTGCGCAGCTGCGGGTGAGTCTTTTAAGCTACCATTAAAAAATCATTTATTCCACCAAAATATTTAAATTGACCGCCTAAATAAAATGGTTTTGAAGGCACAGAAACAAATATGTATAGTCATCAGAAACTGGAGTGTCATACCTCGTTAAACTCTTAAAAGTGAAAGGGTTGGTTAGATAAGGTTTCCAGTTGACTAAAACTGTGCACCTTTCGGCTTAGTTTTGGCAAAGTTAGAGCCAAAAAACACAATAGTAAAATGCCAGAAATAAAAATGGAGAAGAAATAAAATACATTAGTAAAAAAAAAGAATTATTATTCTTGAATAACTGTTGTTATTGTTCTCTTTTTTTTCTTCCCAGATGTTGTTCATTTGTGGGTAAACGCGGCAATGGTCCGCAGGCCATCTCCATCGGAAGGAACTGCGACAAGTTCGGAATCGTGGTGCACGAACTGGGCCACGTGGTTGGCTTCTGGCACGAGCACACTCGTCCGGATCGCGAGAAGCACGTGGTGATCGAGCACAACAACATTATGAAGGGCCAGGACTACAACTTCAACATGTTGTCTCCGGACGAGGTGGATTCACTTGGCATGGCCTACGACTACGATTCCATCATGCACTACGCCCGGAATACCTTCTCGAAGGGAACCTACTTGGACACCATCCTTCCCATCGAGATGAAGGGCCGGAAGAGACCGGAAATTGGCCAGCGATTGCGTCTCAGCCAGGGGGACATTGCCCAGGCCAATCTGCTGTACAAGTGCCCCAAGTGCGGAAGAACCTTTCAGGAGAGTTCGGGCATCTTTGCTGCTCCATCTTACTATACAGCAGGTGCTTTGACCAATGAAACGGAGCACTGTGAGTGGAGGATTACGGCCACCTACGGAGAACGAGTGGAACTCACACTGGAGAGTATGGTAATAATATTGAATCATGTTTACCTCCTTAATTAAATACATTAAAATGCAAATACTATTAAATCAGTATCACTTTTCAATATTTGATCTTATTAAAATAATTGTGTTATCTTCTTTTTAAAATAATTTCTCCATTAATTTCCATAGAATATTTTCAAATCGAACAACTGCGAGACGGACTACCTGGAGATCCGGGACGGCTACTTCGAGAAGTCCCCGCTCATCGGGCGCTTCTGTGGCAAGGTGGACAAGGAGGTGATCCGCACGGAGTCGAGTCGCATGCTGCTCACCTACGTGAACACCCATCGCAGCGAGGGCTTCCGGGGATTCAAGGCGGAGTTCGATGGTGAGTGGCGAAGTGGGGAAGTGCCGAGAGAGAGTAAGGGAATGTAAACGGGCGAATGGGGAATGTAAGTGGTCCTTTCAACTGGCTGACATTCCATTCCATTCCCGCAGTTGTTTGCGGTGGCGAGCTGTCCGTGGACGATGCCGTCGGCCGTTTGGAGTCGCCCAACTACCCGCTGGACTATTTGCCCAACAAGGAGTGCGTGTGGAAGATAACCGTGCCCAATGGCTATCAGGTGGCGCTGAAGTTCCAGTCCTTCGAGGTGGAGAACCACGACAGCTGTGTCTACGACTTTGTCGAGGTGCGCGACGGTCCTGCCCCGGATGCGCCGCTAATTGGCGTTTTCTGCGGCTACAAGCCTCCGCCGAACATGAAGTGAGTTCACCACCCCCTCCCTCCCCACCAACCAACAGAATTTCCCCGCTCCTACTGCTGTTTCCACTCTACAAAAAAGCGAATCTGCCTTTGTTCCGCGTCTGGCTTTTGCAGGTCAAGTGGCAACTCGATGTACGTGAAATTCGTGTCGGACACATCGGTGCAGAAGGCGGGCTTCTCGGCCGTCTTCATGAAGGAGGTGGACGAGTGCGAGACCCAGAACCACGGATGCGAGCACGAGTGCATCAACACGCTGGGCGGCTACGAGTGCAGCTGCCGCATTGGATTCGAGCTCCACAGCGACAAGAAGCACTGCGAAGGTGGGTCAATTTGTTAATAAAAACCAACGGAGGAAATCAAGTTAGTTTTGTTCAAGTGCTGATTGTGGTAGTTCATAAAAATAGTGTATATAATATATATCCACTTTAACAAAAGCCAATTGTTTTTTGGTTCAAGTGAAATCTAGTTAACAACAATTGTGTTGTTGGAAGCAATTATTAGTTTATCTTCATAGGAAAATAAATTACTTTCGGTAAATGTTGGTAACCTAGTTTTTATAGATTAAATTCAATTTTATAAAAATTAAACAGGAAGCTGTTTGCTGTGTAAACTAAATAGATTGCACAACTAACTACTTCTAATATACTCAACCGCATTCCTTTCCAATTCCTTTTTAATTCAGATGCTTGTGGTGGGGTCATTGAGTATCCGAATGGCACCATCACCTCGCCCTCGTTCCCCGAGATGTATCCTCTGCTGAAGGAGTGCATCTGGGAGATTGTGGCCCCGCCGAAGCACAGGATATCGCTGAACTTCACCCACTTCGACCTGGAGGGCACAGCCCATCAGCAGTCGGATTGCGGCTACGATTCGGTGACTGTCTACTCGAAACTGGGTGAGAATCGCCTGAAGAGGATCGGCACCTTCTGTGGCTCTGCCATTCCACCCACGGCCACCTCGGAGAGCAATGCCTTGAGACTGGAGTTCCACTCGGACAAGTCCATCCAGCGATCCGGATTCGCGGCAGTCTTCTTCACGGACATCGACGAGTGCGCCGTGAACAATGGAGGATGCCAGCACGAGTGCAGGAACACCATTGGATCCTACATCTGCATGTGCCACAATGGCTACTCGATGCACGAGAACGGCCATGATTGTAAAGAAGGAGAGTGCAAGTACGAGATCTCAGCTCCCTTCGGCATCATCTTCAGTCCCAACTACCCGGATTCCTATCCGCCGAATGCGGATTGCGTGTGGCACTTCATCACCACGCCAGGCCATCGCATCAAGTTGATATTCAACGAGTTCGAAGTGGAGTCGCATCAGGTGAGCATTTCCAGAGGGGTTTTAATAACAATAAATATAATAAAATTATAATGTAGCAGAGAACTTATTTTTTGTATAATTTAACTTCTAGAGTGGTTTTAACAACAGTAAATACAATAAAATAATGATTCAGCAGGAAACTTACTTTTCATATAATTTAACTTCAAAGTTTTGTAGTTATTTAATATATGTCGGTTTTAATTCCAGGAATGCACCTATGACAACGTGGCAATCTATGACGGGGACTCCGAGTCCAGTTCGGTGCTGGGTCGCTTCTGCGGGGACAAGATCCCCTTCCCCATCTCCTCGACGAACAACCAGATGTACATGGTGCTCAAAACCGATAAGAACAAACAGAAGAGCGGATTTACGGCCACGCATTCAACGGGTAAATATGATATGAAATTTAATCCCCACTTGGGTGCATCTTTTCCTTAATTAACTTGCAGCCTGCGGAGGATACCTGCGTGCCACCAGCCAGGTGCAGCAGTTCTACTCGCACGCCAGGTTCGGGAACCAGGACTACGACGACAGCATGGACTGCGAGTGGACCATCGCCGCTCCGGACAACAGCTACGTCCAGCTCATATTCCTCACCTTCGACATCGAGAGCAGCGAGAACTGCACCTTCGACTACGTGCAGGTCTTCTCCGACATCGACGACGTCTACGGCCAGTACGGACCCATGTACGGCCAGTACTGCGGCAACGTGGTAGGTGCAGCTGAATTAATTGGTAACACAACACCAGACCTTCGAACTGAAGTTGAGATTGCACGCGGTCGGTTTTCAAGGGGTTCGCGATGCGGTGTTCAAATGTAGAGGATGTATTTTAAATTGCGATAAAATTATTTAATTGGGATTTGATTCACTGACGAACCTTTAAAGCTTGTAACTTTTTAATTACTTTGATATAGCAACAGTTATTTTTCTTCTATTACCGTTCAATAAAAATATTTTTTAAAAGATCTTTAAAAGATTTGGAAACAGAATGTGTAGAGAAGTAATTCTTAAATACCTTTTACAAACAGATGTTTTTTATATACCTAAATACCATTAGGAAAATGTATCTGCATACCAAATTAACCCATTAAATTCCCTTTCTTTCCCACAGTTACCCCAGGACATCAACTCGATGACCCACTCTCTGCTCGTTCGCTTCAAGACCGACGGATCGGTGCCGAACAAGGGCTTCTCGGCCTCGTACGTGGCGGTTCCAAACTCCGGGGAGTACGACCACTCCGACGAGGACTCGGAGAACTCGTACAGCTCGGAGGTGGTCACCGCCTTCCCGGGCTCCCTGAAGAGCATCTACATCGAGGACACGCAGGAGGAGACCGACGAGTACGGCGACTTCAGCGCCAACCAGCTGGTCTTCAACGGGCAGTATCCGCGTCGCTACAGTCTGCCCCATCGATACTACAGTGGAAAGGCATAGAGCGCTGGAAAAGCGCCACAATTCATGACAATATATAAAAACGGAATTTATTTAACAGATTTAGGCATATCGCGACGAACTCTCTTTCTCTCCTCTGGAAAGATTCAAAGAAATAATCAAGGACCTCGTCTGGGTCGCGATCCAATATTAGTTGTAGGCACTCGAATGAGAAATGAGAACAGAAATCCTTAGATCTGTGGTGGCAATTACTTAGACCTGTGGAATACATGTAATGTACTTTGATTAGTCTTTTCTAGACTCTGTAGCTAAATGTGCAATTTCCCCTGCATTTCTCTGCTGAAACTCTGAAGCATTTTCCCCCTCGATTTCTATTTTCTATTTTATTGTGCCATAGCAAAGATGGCCAAGAGCATTTCGTTAAGCATCTTAGCATAAGTCGATGGTGTCCCATATCAAAGACGGATCGGAAACGGAAACGAAAACATAAAACTAGGCTAGAACACACATATCCTTGGAAACTGGAAGGTCCTTGCAGAGGAATGCGATAATCCTGCTGCAGGGACACACTTAACTTCTCACGCATGCATATGTACAACTCTCGGATATTTGACTCAACTTAATACGTAATTAAATATATACATACATACTATTAAAACTTGCATAGTAACTATGTTTTAAAACCAAAACAAAATGAGTTTCTCTTGGGGGTTTATGGCTTCGGTTGCACCTTGCTTTTGCAGGCAGAAGCGCCGGGCTTTGAATAGCACTTAGAGGTGGAATTACCGCGAATCGATTCGTTCATGCGCGGGGTTTACGATCCATTAATGACCTGCCCTAAAAGAACGAGGGCCCAACACCTGATCCGGATCCCGCACTCGAGTCCCGAGATTCAGGTAGAGCGATCAGCGATCTGCAATCCAGAGAGGCAATGTCAAGGTGCGACACCCGAGGGAAACCCAAATCAAAATCCATTGAATGCAAACAGGCAGCACAGACAATACAATGGATCGCCGGCCAGTTCGCATTGCCAATGAGCAGGGTCCCTTTGAGCGGTCAGTCGGGATCTGCAGTCCCTCCCCTCCCTTCCCTCTGGCCCTCCAAGTGCCATCTCTTACCTGCTCGACGATCGGTGATCCGGTGGAACCCTCGTCTCGGCCCAGTATAATTCGGCAATCGCAGATCGAGAGCGCTCAGTTAGAACTTTGAACTGGTTGCGGCAGCAACTTCGAGGAACGAGAACGAGCCCCCCGAAACGGAAAAATGAAAGCGAAATTGATTGTGGTATTCTGGCTGGGTGCCATATTAGTCACTTTCCTGCTGGATTTCGCCGAAGGCAGGCGACTTCTGAGTCAGCTGAAAGCCGAGGGCGAGTGTGATTTCGACTTCAAGGAACAGCCGGAGGATTTCTTCGGCATGCTGGATTCCCTGCCGCAGGTGAGTGGCCAGAAAGCAAAGCAAGCGTTTGAGAGCTGAATTACAAACCAGGATAACATCACAACAGGTGCCCCCTGACGAGCCAAAGGATGTCACTCATCTTCAAGTGGAGACAGAAGGACAATATTCGGGGTAAGTTTCAAGGGGATTAGTCGCGCACAATGGCGCGCAATTAGGCGGCCCACTTGAGTTGGCCTTTGGGCCAGCACGTAACCAATACCTGAGCTCATAAGCCAATGCCCGTCTGCCTTCCCTTCCTCCCGCTCCACCAGGAGACGCCGGAAGCCGACGCACAAATCGCGTAACAAAGCCCGGCTGAGATTACTCCCGCCACTTCTCTGGACGGATGAAGCCGAAGATGTCCTTCAGCCGAGCAGGAATCAATATTCTGAGGCGAAACCAAGGCAAAGGGTAAGGAGAGCTGTCACCGTGAGGAAGGAGAGGACCTGGGACTACGGGGTCATTCCCTACGAGATCGACGGGATTTTCAGCGGAGCCCACAAGGCGCTTTTTTAAACAGGCAATGCGCCACTGGGAGAACTTCACTTGCATCAAGTTCGTGGAGCGCGATGCCAGTTTGCATGCTAACTACATATACTTTACAGTCAAGAACTGCGGGTGAGTTTGCCCTTCCATATTTATTTATTTATAATAATTGTATGGTATTTCTTTCTTAGTTGCTGTTCCTTTCTGGGCAAAAGTGGCAATGGTCGGCAGCCCATTTCTATAGGTCGAAACTGTGAAAAGTTCGGCATTATAATCCACGAACTGGGTCACACCATTGGTTTCCATCACGAGCATGCTCGTGGAGATCGGGATGAGCACATCATCATCAACAAGGCGAACATCATGAGGGGACAGGAGTACAACTTCGATGTCCTTTCGCCGGAAGAAGTTGATCTACCTTTGCTTCCCTACGATCTGAACTCCATTATGCACTATGCCAAGAACTCCTTTTCGAAGAGTCCCTACCTGGATACCATCACACCCATTGGAGTTTCACCAGGAACTCCCTTGGAGTTGGGACAGAGAAGGCGCCTCAGTCGAGGGGATATTGTCCAGGCGAATCTCCTCTACAAATGCGCCTCCTGCGGACGCACTTATCAGCAGAATTCCGGACAGATTGTGAGTCCCCATTTTGTGTACTCGGGTAATGGAGTTCTTAGCGAATTCGAGGGCAGCGGAGATGCAGAAGAGGATGTTTCGCCGCCAGGATCAGAGTTCGATGAATCCCTGACCAACTGCGAGTGGAGGATCACGGCCACCAATGGAGAGAAGGTTATCCTGCATCTGCAGCAGCTGAACTTGATGAGTTCCACGGACTGTTCGCAGGATTATCTGGAGATCAGGGATGGCTATTGGCACAAGTCTCCTTTGGTGAGACGTCTGTGTGGAAATGTCAGCGGGGAGGTCATCACCACTCAAACCAGTCGCATGCTCCTCAACTATGTAAACCGGAATGCGGCCAAAGGTTATCGAGGGTTCAAGGCCAGTTTCGAGGGTGAGTTTTCTTATTTTTAACTACAAATAAATTAAGTTAATAAACTACTTATTATCTCTTTTTCTTAGTGGTTTGTGGAGGAGATATTCAGCTGACCAGGGATCAGTCCATAGACTCACCCAACTATCCACTGGATTACATGCCAGACAAGGAGTGCGTGTGGCGCATAACAGCCCCAGAAAATCACCAGGTGGCTCTAAAGTTCCAGAGCTTCGAGCTGGAGAAGCACGATGGCTGTGCCTACGATTTCGTGGAGATTCGGGATGGCAACCAGAATGATTCCCGGCTCATAGGACGCTTCTGTGGGGACAAACTGCCTCCGAATATAAAGTATGCTGTTAATGCTTAAAACTGGTTCTTTGGCTTAAACGTTCCTGTATCTTTTAGAACCCGCAGCAATCAGATGTACATTCGCTTTGTCTCCGATTCATCGGTGCAAAAACTGGGCTTCTCCGCCGCCTTGATGCTCGATGTGGATGAGTGCAAGTTCACGGATCACGGCTGTCAGCACTTCTGCATCAACACCTTGGGCAGTTACCAGTGTGGCTGTCGAGCGGGATTTGAACTGCAGGCCAATGGAAAGACCTGCGAGAATGCCTGCGGAGGAGTAGTGGATGCTACAAAGTCCAATGGTTCGCTCTACTCACCTTCCTATCCGGATATGTATCCCAATTCGAAGCAGTGCGTTTGGGAGGTGGTTGCCCCACCGAATCACGCCGTCTTCCTAAACTTCACCCACTTTGATTTGGAGGGCACGCGATTCCAGTACACCAAGTGCAACTATGATTACCTCCAAATATACTCCAAGCTCAGGGATAATAGGCTGAAGAAGATTGGCATTTATTGTGGTCATGATTTGCCACCGGTTGTGAACTCCGAGCAAAGTGTTTTGAGATTGGAGTTCTATTCGGATAGAACTATACAGCGAAGTGGTTTTGTGGCCAAGTTTGTGATAGGTAAATTATGAAAACAATATCTCATTTTAAACTGTTTACTGATATTTGTAATTCACAGACTTGGATGAGTGCTCGATAAACAATGGCGGCTGCCAGCACAGATGCAAAAACACCTTTGGATCCTACCAATGCAGCTGTCGAAATGGTTACACCCTGGCTGAAAACGGACACAATTGCACGGAGACGCGTTGCAAGTTCGAGATCACCAGCTCCTACGGACTCCTCCAAAGTCCGAACTATCCAGAGGATTATCCCCGCAATATATACTGCTACTGGCACTTTCAGACCGTTTTGGGCCACCGAATTCAGTTGACTTTCCACGACTTCGAGGTGGAGAGCCACCAGGAGTGCATCTACGATTACGTGGCCATTTACGATGGCCGTTCCGAGAACAGCTCCACGTTGGGCATCTATTGTGGTGGTCGAGAACCCTATGCGGTAATTGCCTCCTCCAACGAGATGTTTATGGTTTTGGCCACCGATGCCGGTTTGCAGAGGAAGGGCTTCAAAGCCACCTTTGTTTCCGAGTGCGGTGGCTATTTGCGGGCCACCAATCATTCGCAGACCTTCTATTCGCATCCGCGGTATGGGAGTAGGCCTTACAAGCGGAACATGTACTGCGACTGGCGCATTCAGGCGGACCCGGAGAGCAGCGTTAAGATTCGGTTCCTGCACTTTGAGATTGAGTACTCGGAACGGTGTGACTACGACTATCTGGAGGTCACCGAGGAGGGCTACTCCATGAACACCATACACGGGAAATTTTGTGGCAAGCACAAGCCGCCGATTATCGTCTCCAATTCGGATACACTGCTACTGCGATTCCAAACGGACGAGAGTAACTCGCTGAGGGGATTTGCCATTTCCTTTATGGCCGTGGATCCACCAGAGGATTCAGCGGGAGAGGATTTCGATGCAGTCACTCCGTTTCCGGGTTACCTCAAGAGCATGTATTCCTCGGAAGCGGGTAGCGAAAACCTGCCAAGCACCCATATCTTGCCGCCAAGCAGGCTAATCTAAACAGATTATTGTTTGTTGTTGAAATTTGTAAATAAATTGTGAATGAAACTCATTTCGAATTAACCCATAATAAACATATATTTTTTTTCATTTTAATTAGAAGAAAAGTTAAGTTAGCACATTGACCCTTAAAAGCCTTATTATAATTTTTCAAATTCATTTTTGAATTAACATTCAAATTTGAATTTGGCGCCTTATATTTTTTGGTTATCGATAATTAGTATTTGACAACAAATATTTTATGCGAGCTCTGTCTGAACACCCCCAATATTTGCCAATCGATAGCTTACGATAGTTCGAATAGCCTTAGCGCCAGCAATCAAACTAAACAATCAGATATCGGCGTCGCTTCGTTTCGAGCGGCTTCATTTCGAATTTGGAATTTTGCGGCGACGCTCTAATTTATTTACTCGCTGTTCGTTAATTGTGTTAAGTGTTTAGTTAGTTAACGTGTTAATGGGCTACTAGGCTCGCTGCGTGCCCGTTTTTGTTTAGTGCCAGTGCTTTTTGTTTCGCGATGAGCGCCTTTGAGGTTAGTGGCTTTTTGCTTCGCGGAGTTTAAAATGGTTTACGCAGAAAAATTAATGGTTCCCGTTAATTGCAGATCACAGTGACGCCATCGCGGCTCAAACAAAAGAAGCGGGTCGAAGGACGCGAGCCCACCGTAGTGGTGATGGCCCCCTTCTCCGCTAAGTCAATTGTGCAGTTCGAGGATGTGCCGGTAACCAAGACGGCCAAACGCCAGGTGCGCGTCGTCAATCCCAGCGACGAGGACATCGAGGTTAGTAGGTCGAAGTAGATAACTCCCTAACAACCTCGTATTAAATCAATGTAACACCTTTTAAAAGGTCAAGGTAATGAAGGCCATTAGGGAGGAGCACAACCTGGCCATCGAGTGGCTGGAGCACACCGTGCCCGCAAGGGACGAGGTCTCCATGGAGCTCGTGTGGAGCCCCCAAATAGAGGTAGCCTGCAAGGAAACTCTGCAACTAATCGACAACCGTAACTTTCGCAAGGATGTGATGATTATCCTCAAGTCCAAGAGCAACCAGCCCGTCAAGGTGAGTCAAAAACTGCATATTTCACCCCTAATGAGTACTCACCCTTTTCCGCATGTATCTTCTTGTCTTTCTACCTGAAGAACCCGCGCAAATTTCCTACTGTGGGCAAGACCCTGCAGCTGAAATCGCCGACGGGAGGTGGCAAGACAATGAAAAGCGCGATTACCGCTGCTGTGCAGCAAAAGAAGCGTATGTCTACGGCGGCACCTCCTCCCTCGAAACAGCCTTGGCGAGCTACTGCAGCAGCCCGACCCACCGCCCGTCCAAATCCTCCTGCTGCAGTTCCTCTGGCCGAAAAGAATGTCTACAAAGCGCCGCAGGAAGAACCAGTCTACATATCGCCACAGCCACGCACCCTAAAAGAAAACCTGAGTCCCCTAACTCCAGGAAATCTACTCGATGTGATCGATAATCTTAGATTCACACCTCTCACCGAATCGCGTGGTAAAGGACTATCTGCCATTTTGCCGGACAACCTGGCTGCCTGGCCCACACCGACCATAAAAGGTAATGCGACACAAGGTGTCAACGAAATGCGACCCCGAAGGATCACTGCAGATGATCTAGAGGATCAGCCAATCACTAATAAAACCTTTGATGTGAAACATTCCGAGACCATTAACATTTCGCTGGACACTTTGGACTGCTCCAAAAGTGAGACACCAGTGCATACGCCCTTGAACAAAACCACAACAATTGTTCATTCGACACAAACCAGGGCCTTGGCCTGCATTCGCGAGGAGGAGGGTCCCAGTCCGCCGAGGACGCCTACCAAGAGCGCCATTCACGACCTGAAAAGGGACATAAAGCTGGTGGGCTCGCCCCTGAGAAAATATTCTGAGTCCATGAAGGACTTATCGCTGCTATCGCCGCAAACAAAGTTCGCTATTCAAGGCTCCATGCCCAATCTGAATGAAATGAAGATCCGTTCGATTGAACAGAATCGCTACTACCAGGAGCAGCAGCTCCAGATGAAGGGCAAGGATTTGAATAGCTCTTCCGGCAGCGAGGCTAGTTTGCTGGGCCACCAGGAGTTTATGTTTAACCACAACGAAATTCTGGCTCAGTCGAGTCGCTTTAATCTCCACGAAGTGGGTCGCAAGTCGCTTAAAGGAAGTCCGAAAAGGAACCAAAATCCTTACAAGCGAAGATCCCATGAATTGAGTTTCTCCGATTCACCCAGCAATGAATCCCTGCATCGCAACGAAACGATGGCTATTTCTCCACCTAAAAAGCAACGGGTGGAGGACACTACCTTACCGAGAAGTGCCGCTCCTGCCAATGCATCTGCCCGAAGCAGTAGTGCTCATGTTTGGCCGCACGCCCAATCCAAGAAGTTTAAGCTGGCCCAAACCATGTCGCTGATGAAGAAGACCACCACGCCTCGAAAGGTCAGAGATAATGGTCTTCAGGCACCAGTGAAGCTTTACGATTCTGAGATGTACATGCAGACATACATCAACCCGGATCCTTTTGCGGCCACCACCACAATGGATCCCTTTCTGGCCTCCACCATGTATCTCGACGAACAGGCTGTGGAGCGCCATCAGACGGACTTTAAGAAGTGGCTGAATGCTCTGGTGTCCATACCCGCCGACCTGGACGCGGATTCGAATAGCAAAATAGACGTGGGCAGGCTGTTCAACGAGGTGCGCAACAAGGAGCTGGTGGTGGCTCCCACAAAGGAGGAGCAGTCCATGAACTACCTCACTAAATATCGCTTGGAAACGCTGCGTAAGGCTGCCGTGGATCTGTTTTTCAGCGAGCAGATGCGTCTGCCGTGCTCCAAGGTGGCCGTGTATGTCAACAAGCAGGCTTTGCGCATCCGCAGCGACCGTAATCTCCACCTGGATGTAGTCATGCAGCGCACCATTCTAGAGCTACTGCTCTGCTTCAATCCCCTCTGGCTGCGCCTCGGACTGGAAGTGGTCTTCGGCGAGAAGATCCAGATGCAGTCCAACCGAGACATCGTGGGCCTCAGCACGTTTATCCTCAATCGCTTGTTCCGGAACAAGCTGGAGGAGCAGAGGTACAGCAAGGCCTACACTCTCACCGAGGAGTATGCGGAGACCATCAAGAAGCACTCGCTGCAGAAGATCCTCTTCCTGCTGCTCTTCCTCGACCAGGCCAAGCAGAAGCGCATCGTGAAGCACAATCCCTGTCTGTTTGTCAAGAAGTCGCCGCACAAGGAGACCAAGGATATCCTGCTCCGCTTCTCCTCAGAGCTTTTGGCCAACATTGGGGATATTACAAGGGAGTTGCGCCGTTTGGGTTATGTGCTTCAGCACCGGCAGACTTTCCTGGATGAATTCGATTACGCTTTCAACAACCTGGCTGTGGATTTAAGAGATGGTGTGAGGTTAACCCGCGTCATGGAGGTCATTCTACTGCGCGATGATCTTACCCGTCAGTTAAGAGTTCCAGCCATTTCCCGCCTGCAGAGAATCTTCAATGTAAAGCTGGCCTTGGGAGCCCTGGGCGAGGCCAACTTCCAGCTGGGCGGCGACATCAATCCCTCGGATATCGTGGACGGGCATCGCGAGAAGACGCTCTCGCTGCTCTGGCAGATCATCTACAAGTTCCGCTCGCCCAAGTTCCATGCGGCGGCCACAGTGCTCCAGAAATGGTGGCGACGTCGCTGGCTTTTCGTAACGATTCAACGGCGCATTCGCCACAAGGAGTTGATGCGACGTCACCGGGCTGCAACTGTCATCCAGGCCGCTTTCCGCGGCCACCAGATGAGGAAGTATGCCAAGATATTTAAGGCGGAGCGAGTTCAGGCCGCCATTGTCCTGCAGAAGTACACTCGTCGCTATTTGGCGCAGAAGCAGCTTTACCAGAGCTATCACAGCATCGTCACCATCCAGCGCTGGTGGCGCGCTCAACAATTGGGAAGGCAATGCCGTCGGCAGTTCCTGGAGCTCCGACAAGCCGCCATCTTCCTGCAGCGCATCTGGCGTCGTCGTCTCTTCGCTAAGAAACTTTTGGCGGCAGCGGCCACAGCTCGACTTCAGAGATCCCAGAAGCAACAGGCAGCTGCCAGTTACATCCAAATGCAATGGCGAAGCTATCAACTCGGCAAAATACAGCGACAGAAGTTCCTTCGGCAGAAGGAGCTTATCATCTTTGTTCAGCGCAGAATGCAAAGCAAGTGGAGTATGCAGAAGCAGAGAAAGGAGTTCCAGCAGCTGAAACAGGCCACTATTAATGTGCAGCAGCGCTGGAGAGCTAAACTTTCGATGAAGAAGCACAGAGCTGATTATTTGAAACTCCGTTCTAATGTTATTAAAGTCCAAGCTCACAGGAGAGCCACTATTCAAATGAGAATCGAACGTAGCAACTACCAAACTCTCCGGAAAAATGTCATCTGCGTGCAGCAGCGCCTGAGGGCCACTTGGAAAATGCGAGAGCAGAGGGAAAAGTATCTGAAGCTCCGCAGTTCTACTATTCTCATCCAGAGACGTTACCGCATGCTCCGAAAGATGATCAAGGATCGGAATGATTTCTTGCGGGCCCGTCAGTGCATCATCAATGTACAGGGCCGCTGGCGAGCAACCCTAGAAATGCGTCGCCAAAGGAAAAGCTATCTCCAGCTGCAATCCACCGCCAGATTTATACAAACTAAATATCGTGCCAACCGTCAGATGAAAAAGCAGCGAGATGAGTATCTCCAACTGAAAAAGGCCGCTTTGGTTGTTCAACAACGTCGACGAGCTCTGCTCATGATGAGGAAGCAGCGCCAGGAATACTTGCATCTTCGCGAGGTGACGATAAAGTTGCAGCGCAGATTCCATGCTCACAAGACCATGAGGTTTATCCGAGCCAAGTACCGGGGAACCCAAGCTGCTGTCAGCTGCCTGCAAATGCATTGGCGTGGGCATCTGCTCAGAAAACGGGAGCGAAGCAGATTCCTGGAGCTGCGTAAGGCAACAATTACATTGCAGAGGCGTTACCGAGCTCATTTGGCCATGATCAAGCAGTTGAGGAGCTACACTAAGCTTAAGCAAGCAGCTATTGCCATTCAAAGCCGCTTCAGAGCAAAGAAGGAGATGCAAAAGCAGGTGGTGCTTTATCAAAAGCAAAGGGAAGCAATCATCAAAGTGCAGCAGAGATTCCGTGGCAAGTTGGAGATGCGAAAGCAGATGGCAGTGTACCAAAAGCAGCGCCAGGCAGTCGTCCGTCTGCAGAAATGGTGGCGCAGTGTGCGCGAAATGCGGACTCTTCAAGAGGGCTATCGCAGGATTCGGCTGAGTTCCTTGAGCATCCAACGCAAGTGGCGGGCCACCATACAGGCTCGACGTCAGCGTCAGATCTTCCTCAACACAATCCACAAGGTGCGACTCCTGCAGGCATTCATCAGAGCCACTCTGCAGATGCTGCAGCAGAGGAAAGAATTCGAAAGAAAACGGAATGCTGCGTTGGTGCTGCAGCGACGATTCCGTGCCCGCCAGGCAATGCTAATCGCTCGAAAGGATTACCAGCTAATCCGAACCTCTGTGATCCTGGTGCAGCGCAGATTCCGTGCTAATCGCAGCATGAAACAGGAACGCGCGAAGTTTATCCAGCTGCGTTCGCTTGCCATCCATCTGCAGCAAAAGTTCCGAGGCAAGCGTTTGATGGAGGGTAAACGTGATAGTTTCCTGATTCTCCGCCGCTCTACTCCCGAGTTCCAGGCCCGTGCCCGTGGCTTCATGGCTCGCAAACGTTTCCAGGCTTTGATGACGCCCGACATGATGGATCTGATCCGGAAGAAGCGAGCTGCCAAGGTGATCCAGCGATACTGGCGTGGCTATCTAACTCGTCGTCGCCAGAGACATCAGGGTCTGTTGGACATCCGACGAAGAATTGTGCAGCTGCGGGCAGAAGCAACGGCGGTAAACTCTGTGCGCTGCAAAGTCCAGGAGGCTGTGCGTTTCCTTCGAGGACGCTTTAACGCCTCAGATGCTTTATCTGTCCTAAGTCGATTGGGTGAGTCTCTTGAATGGTATCTTAAGTAGCTGATTTAACTAATCCTTGCTTTTTTAATTTCTACAGATCGTCTTTCGCGCACTGTGCCTCACCTGCTGATGTGGTGTTCGGAGTTCATGTCCACGTTTTGCTATGGAATCATGGCGCAGGCCATCCGTTCGGAGGTGGACAAGCAGTTGATCGAGCGCTGCAGCCGGATCATCCTAAACTTGGCGCGCTACAACAGCACCACGGTGAATACGTTCCAGGAGGGTGGTTTGGTGACCATTGCCCAGATGTTGTTGCGCTGGTGCGATAAGGACAGTGAGATCTTCAACACCCTGTGTACATTAATCTGGGTATTTTCACACTGTCCCAAGAAACGAAAGGTAATCATACTGAAACTATATTTTACTCCAATGGGGATCAAAACTTTTGCCTTAATGTTTTCCAGATCATTCATGATTTCATGACCAATCCGGAGGCCATTTACATGGTGCGCGAGACCAAGAAACTGGTGGCCCGCAAGGAGAAGATGAAGCAGAACGCTCGCAAGCCTCCGCCAGTGCCAAAAGGACGTTACCAGACCCAAAAGATGCCGGTGTTCACCTTCAGTGCTCTGCCCAGCCTTGACCCGGACTTTGGCATCATCCGCTACAGTCCCTACACATTCGTCTCATCCGTCTTCGCCTTCGATACAATTTTGTGCAAGCTACAGATCGACATAATCTAGTTCTAGTTAAGAGTTAGCGCTAAATGTTAAATGTTTGAAACGTTTCTGTGTTGTGTTTTAAAGTGTAAGCAAAAATTGTTAGACCAAGTTAGATTTACCGAGACAATCGAACATAAGTTAAGTAAGTTTTAACGTGTATAAACGAAAATTGTAACTGCTAGTCTAGCATAGAACTACGAGAAACCACCAACTGATTTGCAAAATAAAGAAGAAAATTAAAATTCACGACAAACTGGATTTGCTCGCGCAGTTTTGCTGCGCCTATGTTTATTTGGGTAGGTATGCATGTATTCACAAAACAATTACATATTCGTAATTTATATAATTTTAAATTAGTAATCACTTTGCTCAAACACTTAGTTACATCGATATTAGTATGCAGTAGTTTACCCAATATTCGTGCTTCTTCGAATGCCGCTCTTTTGTTTTGAGAGAGAGTTCCCCAAGTATATATGTTTAAATCCGCGTGTATATTAATTTATGCCCCTTTAAAATGTACATATATGGAGTACTGTAAATTGGATTGAATATGCATATATAATAGATTCGTATAACATTTTATGTACTTCTTCCTTGATAATTGCACACGCCAGTTTCATTCTCCTTCCGGTTTTCTTTTTTTTTTTAGATTTTTTAACATCTTTTGAAGGCTGCGGTTGATAATAAAAACTAAAAATAAATACATTTGGCTTTAGCGATTTTTAATAAATATTTTTCGGGACGAGGGGTGTGCTCCGTTTAAAAAGACATTTAGATTGGCTCCTGGTGGTGATTTAAGTTTGTAGAAGAGTCTGAGAGCTTTTTGCAAGTACTTCATTGATAATTTATAGGTGGAGTGGGCTCCTCGACGAATGGCGCACGGCTGGATTTGTTCTAGTGTGCCATTCGAAAGGACTTAAGCCCGGTTAACTTAACGCCTTCCCAGGCCAAAGTTGAAGGGCTGCGGACGCGTCGTTCGCTTGTTCTGTCGCCCAGGTCGCACTATAAGTCCGGAAATCAATTGGATAAAGGATATCTATATTTATAACGAGGTGATTGACTTACCATTACGCTCGGCCTGCAAGTAGTTCGCTGGCGGCACTCTGTAGTCGATCTCGTTGTCCTGATCGTAGTCGTAGTCGCTGCGCTTGCCCAGTCCGAAGGAGTAGGGACGAGACCTCTTGCCCAGGCCAAAGTTGTACACCGGCAGGCGCTTCATCCCCGGTGCTCCGTTCGTGTACATGTAGGCCCGGCGACCCAGACCGAAGGCGTACCGCTCCACCCGCTTGTCGATGTTGTCGCCTCCGTTGTCTCCCATCTCGTCGGCAGACAGCAGGACATCTGCATCGCTGTCGCCGGCGAGAGAGCTGCGCTGATCCTGGCCAATAACCGGAGAACTGGCGATGTAGCCAACGCAGCAAATGGCCAGCAGGAGGAGGTGGGCGTGTAGGGAGTTCATTGTGATGCTGGGGGCGTGGCACGGGATAAGGGACACGTCTGGCTGCAAAAGAAAGTGGGCAAAGACAAAGTGAACAGGCGGCGAATAGAATTTTAAGCGCTCGTCCCAAAAGCCTCTGTGTGTCAAAGCGTTGCATACTTTGTGGCGACACTTGTCGCCTTCGGTAAACATGGATACGCATGAGTTAGGGTGGCTCACATGAAAGATAGCAAAAGTTGAATAACTTTTCTTAACGTTTATAAAAATTTATTAGGTAATCATGTAAATAGGAATTTGTAGAATTGTGAAATAGGGAGCTATGCTTTATTTAATAAGAACCCCCTATTTTATATTCTGGATATAAAAGGAATCTACAAACGATTTAATCAGTTTTCATCATTAACTTTTTAAAAAAAGACGAAGTTTTTTAAACTATTTAAAATCACTATTAATTTATATCTATTCTCAAAATCGAATACACCCTTATTTTAAGGCACATACATGCACCTCCGTTTTACGCATATTAATGCAAAATACAGAAGCAAACAATCGACGAGGAATTCCACGCAGCACACAAAATATGTCAACGGCAACAAATGTCGACGCTTTGACAGCCGCAGCCCGGCAGCTGAAAGGCAGAGCGGCAATGGCAAACAAACAGTCAACAGGACCAGAAATAACGAACGAGTGAAAAAATGGCCTGCAGAGCGCTGAGGAATGCGGCCTAAAAGTTTGATGGCATCGCCAAAGCCGCCGGCAGTGCCACTCAACCATGCGGAAGGTCTTTGGCCAGCGCGAATTGCAGCAGACGCGACGGCTTTTCTGGCTTTTCTGCTGGCCTTGCAGGTCGGGTCGTAAAAGCTGAATTTGATCCGCGCAACGAGTGGCTTAAACCGCTTGGCAGATGCCACAATTAGCCAGGACAATTAACCGAAAATTAAAGCCCGACCAGACGTGAAATGTCTCAACTTAGCGTGCCCTTAAAGGATTCCATTAGCGGAATGGCAGTGTCAATGGGTAGCAGCCATCAACGCTTTTGTCGGGATGTCAGTGCCATCAATTTAAAGTGCACGCCGGAGGAGAACAACCGGCAGATATGTCCTTCATCTGCTTGGTTGCATTTCCGCGGGAAAACTCCGTTGCCAGGACACGTAGAAGCCAACCGAAGAAGTCTGCCTCCTTAAGGACACTTCTTGTTTACTTACGCAAATTAACTTTTGCGTTAATTTTCCCAGAAAGAGGACTTAAAGGCCTGCGACTTAGCAGCTTAGTTTGTCGATGGTTTGCTGGGGCACATAATTATGTGCAAACACGAGCCAAATCAATTAATCGAAGCTCGCAAGAGTTGCGCATACGCACCGAGGCCGGTCATAAATTCACTGGGTGCATGTGCAACAGTGCCACAAATCATGCAACAGGTTCCCCGACAAACCATAGACCGCGAAAGTGCCGAGGAGAACGCAAGCTCCGTGTTTGATTTACAACATGGAAGGGAAGGCAGCTGTGCATTTTCCACGCAGGACAATAAAGTGAACGACTGCCGCCGCAGTGCAAAAGGCTATGGCCCCGAGATAATAGGCGGAAAATCGTCACATTCGTTAGACTTTATCAACCGCAACGCGACGACAACAAAGCCGGCGAACTGCGAACGGAGAACGGCGAACTAATCGTAAATCTGACGGGGGCAAAACAAGTTTTGTGAAAAGTGTCAACACCTTTCGCTATTATTTCCATTCCTGCAATAAAATCTCGTTTGTCGTCCGCAACGCCCTTGGCCGCAAATGGGATTCAGGCATTATCTGTTTATGAATTTACGCCACTTTCGGCCATAACTCTTCGGCTCCGCTGAGCTTTTCTCATATCCGCAGCGGCGATTAGTTTTGACCGCCGAGCAAAATGCAACGGAAATTCAAAGGAGCGGCCAAGAAGGGCCTAATTAAGTTGGAAAACTTTCCTGGCTTCGCCGCGAAGGCAAAGGGAAAAAAACAAAATATAGCAGCTAAAGTCAGAGCCAAAGGATATAAGCAAATTTTCAGCTCCAGCGAGAAGCAGCTCCAAAGCAATTTCAGCTGATGCTGCGAATTACCACCGACAGATCCCTCAGGTGGAGCTAAAGCCAAACCTCGAAATGAGCGAAAAATTAGCTGCGTGCAATTGAAACGCTTTTTTAAATTGAAAGCCCTGCCAGCGGGCGAACCCCCCTCGGTTCACCTTCGCGCTCTCTAAGCTCTCCTAATTAAGTTACGTTCAGGTAATGAAGTGGCTAACTTCTTTGCGCCAATTTATGGCGGTTGGGCAATAAAAAGCCAGCACCTCATCGCTCCCCAGACCTTTCGACGGTCCTTTGTTTTGTTTTTTAGATGCGGCTGACCCTTGTTCGCTCTGGCTTCGCCCACTTCCTTGTTTTTCTTTAATTCGACATGTGTATCAATTCTGAAAGTAAACATAAGCTGACCCGGAGCGGCGAATCATCCCCATCCGGAGGAGGAGGAGGAGGAGCCCGTCCTACGACTTGCCCCAACATCAATCAACAATTGTCCTCCGATTTGTTTATTTAATATTCTCGTCCTTGGCTTTTGGGTTTTCCATGTGTGATCCCATTTTTTCTGCTCTCGGGCGCGCTGTTATTTATTTAATTACAATTTGATTGAGGCTTGTCTTTTGTCTTCTAGCCTGGTTTCTGGGAAACTGCGAAACGATTTGGCTGGGTGTTGTTGATATAGACTCTGATGCCATATGTCAATCGTCGCCCAAGGCGTTTTATATAATCAAATTTGGGATTGTCTTCGCGCTAAGCGATTGAAAATGAATTGAATTGGAGTGCTTTCCTTAGATCAAAAAGTACATAAATTGCATTTCGTTTTTCTTGCATACTTTTTGGGGCAAATGTGCTCATTGAATTGTGAGCCTATTGCGGAATGTTTTCACGGATTCTAGGTAATTATTTTGAACTCCAAAAGAGGCAGAGTTTGTTAAAATGTCTTTACTAAATATATGGTCTTAAAATGAGCCTATAGCCTAAATATAGATATGTACTATTAAAAAAGAGACAAGAGGCTTGATTCCAAACGTGCCTCTACAAAGAGTTCTTGAAAGAATATAGCACTTCTTGATTCATATTTTAAGTTTATAACAATTACAATATATTTGTTCCGAAAAAAGGTTCAATACAACCTAAGAATTGAACGTATTTTAACTTGTGTTAAATGCCTAATCAAAATTGTATCTAACGCGATAGCAATTTTTAATTTTTGTAAAAGTAAAAAGGTTTTTTTTAAGAGTATTGAAATAAGTAATATAATAATTTTTGCAAATATTTTTCAAACTGCACTTGGTTCAGAACTATTCATTATCGGAAAAGGTAAATTTCTTTCACAACTTACAGCGAAATGCGGATGCCGCTGGGGAAACTCACAGACCGGAATGCACAAAAATCGCGATGCAACTTTTGCGGGATCGCACTACAACTTATGGGATACGCGGCGCAACTTGAGTGCCAAGAGGTTCCGCGGAGCTGTTAGCTGGCTGGTCCTGTTGCACGTTGACAGATCAGATGTCGGTTAAGTTTTGAATCCGCATCCGCTGGCGCTCGGCCTCTTATATGAGCGTTTTGCGCGCCCTTATCAACGAACCGCCCACACGACGGTCGCTGAAGTGACGACAATGTGTGGTGAGTTTTCCACGGGTTCTCAACACGAACGAGGGGTGGTTTTGGGTCCACAGCCGGGGGTCCTTCGCGCCAAGGATGTAACAAGTGGCCGAGGACAGGCGGCTTTTCCGGAAAACCCAAGAAACTGTATCTCGAGGAAAGTGTAACAGAAGCCGAGAAAAATCAGAGCTTCTTAAACGGTGTGGAAACTGCAACTGGGGGAGAGTGCGCTGCATATATGCTAGATTGTATGCTAAGCAACGGTGCGTATGATGAATGCGATGTTGCGGTTCATTAGGAGGTTCAGCAGACACCCACGGAATATCGCCCCAGCCAGCATGTAAGTCCAACTATTTCTCATTTCAATGGAGAATTGCCAGTTGACTGGGCGCGCATTACTCAAATGCAGGACACTTTGCCTTCTAGCGCCTTCGGCCCGACTTTGTGGGCAATCCTCGGAACACAACTGACAACTCAAATGACATGCAACCCCGGCACTATCCCAATAACTCCCCTTCTCAGCTGTAACATTTCAAAAGCGAAATGCCAAGGAATTTTATGCGGATGCCAGCGTCTTTCTCACAATGCCGCCTTCGGGCCAGAACGCATATCATTTACCATTTGTCCCGCTGCCACATTTGTAATGCTCCTGGCTTGGATTTCTTTGAGAGTTACACAAATGTCAGGGTAATACCAATTCGACGCAGTTTGTGGATTTTGCCGGGAATATAAAAGGATTACCATAAGAATAAGGGCTAGTATAACAAATATTTTTAAAAGATTTAAAAAATATATAAAAATACAGTTAAATAGTTAAAAGTTTTTTAATAAACTACTGGGATTTCCCGAACTCTACACTTTCTTTCCTATTCTCGGAATTTCGCCCATATTTCCAGTCAATCAGCTTACGTTATTCCAATACGTTTCACTGCATTCCGGGCAATTACCCAGATGGAGGGGAAAAAGGAGCCGGGAAATAACCATTACACAAGAAAATCCCGCTGAGACGGTGCTTAGTTGTAAATAGTTTAATTACCAATAAAAGCAAAAATCGCTGGCTAATTGGAAAATATTGAGAAATAAGCACATTGATTGGTTCTGCCGCCCCCCTGGAAATGTCTGAAAATGGTTCGGCCACACGGGTCGTATACGCAATGTTAGGGTCACAGCGAGAAAACGAGGGGACCCACCGATATTGCATTGAGATTTGTGGCGCAATTACAATTTGTCCTAGAAATTTATACGTTTTTATGTTTTTCTCGGTAAAATGGCGGCTAATTGTGACCATGACGTCAGTCATCACCAGACGGGCATTAAGCTCCTGAAAAGCCATAGGCATAATCGCAATTCGCAGTACTTTGGTCAATAAATGCAATTGCATTTTGCAAGTGGAATTAAATAGCAATATGGATATCAGATATATGAACGTGGGCCAGCGCGTGCTTTTCATACTCACCACTGGCGATCGATCATAAATCAGGCCGAGATAACAGGGCCTAATGACATGGCTCGTAACACCAAAACACGGCTAAAGCGTGGCCGCCCCAATCTCGATGGCCTGACACTGCCGCGTCATCGCACCGGAACAGGTTAATAAATTTCCCAGCGGTCTAATCTCGGGCCGAGCAGCTCATTTGGGTATTTGGCATCTGGCATCTGGTTCGGGCCTTGTGGCACATGTGCATATGGCCAGAAGGAGGATATGCGCCATGCGACTCGATTCGATTCGATTTCTGTACGCTTTTCGGAAAGACAAGTTCAGCTATAAATCATCACCGCGGACCGGCGGTAGGCAAAATAAGCCAAAACAAAGACACAAAATTAAACCTGCAGTTGGACGGGCCGAAATAAAAAAAGAAATAAATACAAAATCCGAGGCACCCAACCAGTTTAGCCCACACCTACTCCACACACAGCGATACTAACTTCCCACCGAAAAAATGCATAAGCGAAAACATAAAAATAACCAAAGAAAACATTTTCGTAGTTGTTAGACCAACGAAGAAAAAAAACAATAAAAAAAATGGAAAATCACGATTCTTATGCAGGTTTTCGGAGATTTTCCCACAACAAGTTTTCGTTTTGGGGTTTTTCATCTCTTTTAATTGATTCTGCGCATGAGAAAAACGCAGTGCAATGTGCACTTGAGATCCAGATGAACTTATGTGGCGTCAGATATCAGCAACTTGGCCAACAACAATGGCAGCGGCAAGTAGAAGCCACTAACTGGCAGCAAAAATATGCATTTATAATTAGAAGTCAGCCAGAAGGCGCCCAGCGGAGTCGAGAGCTGAAACGATTTATGGCCAAGACTCGCGACCGTCTTTTTGGCCAGATGCGTTGTCGGGAATCCAATCTGTACAGCCAAGTGGGTGGGTGGCATGCAAATGGCTAAAACTGTTTATAGATGTTATGTATAATTAGATACAAGTGCGGTGGAGTTAACACAGTCTTTTTCAACCTCTTAAACAATATTCATATATCCAGACGCTTTGAACAGAACAGTTTATATGCCGAAGAAGAATCTATGAACAATAACGACACAAAGCAAGAGCTGTTTATTAGCTATTTTTAGATTCTTCTGGTTAGCACTATTATTTTAGCCACAATTGTCGGCACTTGTCTGCTACATACATTCACATAAACATTTGTAAATAACTGCAATACATGTGTAAGCTTGCCGGGAAGAGTCGTAAAGTTAAGGCAAAGAATGTTGCTCGCTCTTCTGCTGAATATTCTACTCTCTCTCTTCCTCTCTCTCGCGATGACACACTTTCCGACATATTTAAGTAGGTGAGCAAACGATCACCTGTGCTTGTATGTGTCTGTGCTTGTGTTTGTTTGTTTGTTTGCTGGCACCCCAAGCACAAACATACGTTCTCCATTCTACGCTTCGCTGCATTGAAATTTCTTTTTTCGCTTTCTTTTCGATCCGAGTACGAGTGTGCTCTTTCTCTTTCTCCCGCTCTCTGTTGGTCGTTTGTTCTGTACTCTCTCCTGTTCGCACTCTCTCGCTCTGCTGACGTCAGCGGCGACTGCGGTGTTATATGTTATATGGGTCACCGTAACTTTTGGGTTCTTGGAGAAAACTGGTAGTACAAGTATTCTGCTTCTTCTTCTGGCTGAGGAAAGTGACGATCGATCGAAAGCGAATGCGTTTGTTTGTCTCTTTTGTTGTTTCTTTGCTCTCTCCGGCTGGAAATTCTTGTGGTAATTTTGAGGTCAGGTTCAGGCTGTTAGAAAGGCAATTCCTTCCCCCTTTAAAGCATTTGACCACTCTTATTAAATTATGTAAAAGCGAGTCCAAAAAAGCCCAAACAAACAAACAAACTACAATATAAAGTCTGCTGCGAAAGGTGAATGAAACTTAATGAATGCCAGCAGCAACAATAAACAGGTGAGTTGCTGCATTGCTTAGTGATTTTCACTTGCTGCTGTTGCCGCTGCTTTTGTTGTTGCATTTGTGTTTTTAACTTGCTGTTGTTGTTGCGAGCGTGCCTGTGGAATTCGCAAATTGTTATGAGTAAAACTACAACAAAAACAAAGTTCCACTGAAAGAGAAATAAGAAAAAATAAAGAAATACATACAAAGACGACGTAAAGATTACACAAGCGCAGCGTCGTCAATTTTAGAGGGGTGTGAGTGGGGGGCATTAGAAACAACACAACAACACTCTTCGCTGCAATCAAGAAAGCTCTCCCAAAATCAGCGACTGCGACGTCGTTTGAAGCAGCGACCACGAAGAGAGCCACGATCAGCTGCAGAGGGTACACCGAAAGCTATATTATTGGTGTTACATTAATATGTGGTATAATATACACAATTTTTTTCAAAGTACAACTTTCTTCCAAATAAATATCCATTTAATTGGCATTAGAAAAAAAGAACAAGCTTTTAAACTTTTGGTTTGGAATTACGAATAGATTTATTCGACTTAAACCTGTTTTTTTTCTGTGTAGAGAAATTTATCATTTCACTGCAGCACAGCATGCAGTCGACAGCGACGTTGGCAGCAAGCTCTCTCTGAACAGCTGCTGATCGCAGCGCTCTCTTGGCTCCCCAGCTCTCTTGGCGCTCATCGCTGTCGACGTCAGCGTCGACTTCGCTGTCGAAGCCTCTGCCGTCTGGGGCCTGGCCACAAAAACAACACCACAGCTTTTCGAAATTAGTTCTAGTGAGTCTGTGAAAGTGTGAGCGACTGCGAGGCGCGATCAATTGGCAAACAACCGCAAGCGGATCAACTGCTCCACACGCCGAATACCGCCGAAAATAAAGATCGGTCTGCCCATCACCAGCAACGGCAATAACAACAGTACCAGCAACAACCAGACATCACGTGCAACATGTCGCATCAGTGCAGCTGCGGTCGCGACCTCAACAACAACTACGTCTCCTATACGAACGCCTACGCCAATGCGAATGCCTCGTTGGACCGCGAGGCGTCCACCAGCGGAAAGTCCGGCGGTTCTCCGCGCACCCAGCTGACGGCCAAGGTGATGTTCGGCACGGTGGGCGCCATCAAGGAGCTGCGCGACAAGGAGCAGCAGCAGCAGCAGCGACAGGCGGCACGGGCGGGCGAGCGGCGCAACTGAGCGAGGGCTGGGCGGTCCTCGGGGGCGGGGCGGGACGAACGGCCGCCGGAGCGGTCGAGTGCTGTGCTGTGGGTTGTCGGCGGGGGATCTCTGGCTGATCGGAAGAAGGATATCACGGAGATTTGGATTGAACGTAACGAATTCGCGGAACTCTGAAAAACTGAATGATCATGAAGAATGGCCGAGGTCCTGCTTTGGATTTGGATTAATCATGAAGAATTCACGGAAGGTCCAGGTGATTTGGTTTCATCATAAGAAATTCCCGAGGTCCTATGACTCCCTGGTTAATCCAAGTAGTTCGAATCGTTTGGGCGTACTGATGACTCAAACGGGTGATCTCTGGATCACGTTAGAGGCTTCAAAGTGTTGGCAGGGGACAGGGCAATCTGTGTAACGACATTCCTTCTCAACTAAACTATCAACTATCCAAAAAGAGCAGTAAAACCAAGTACATCACATATTTATTCAACTTTTTGTTTGCCACACTATCCCTAACTCTCTCTCTACCTTCTGTAAACTCCAGCAGAACTCAATATTCAGTGTAAATTGTTTATTACATATATTTATACTACATAGTGCAATACTTTAGCTATACAGAAACACACACACGTAGGCATAAGTTTGTTTTATTTTGTAAGTGCACACGCATACACTCACTCATTTTACAATGTTGTTTAATTTTTGTTTTGTTGTTTACGGGCTCTGCGAGTTTTGGGCTGCGAATCTGGAGACTTCCAGGTGCTGCTGTAGCTCAAAACGCAAGGCACGTAGCCCACACACACACACCCCCACACACCATACACACCATATAAATATAACTACACATATGCGTAATCTTTAATACCTATACTACTGTTATTATTAATAATCATATTGTATGTGCCGCACGGGGAGAGGAAACCTAAACCGAAACCGAAACGGAAAACAAAAACTCAAAAATGATTCCTCCAAATGGGATGGTGTTTGCTCAAGTGATTTGTACTAAAATGGAAGCGAAACGAATTTAATCGCAAATTGAAGCTCAATTGAAGTGCTGTAAATGGCGAATGTTTCGAGAGCGAATTTAGTTTAGAGAGCGGCGGAGCATCTACAATATATTTATTAAACCTATGGAATAATATTAAAATGTATGTCTACTTGTACATCTATTTATAGAGCTAATCCCAACAAAGGCGAATAAAATCGAACTTTTAATAAACTGAAAACGAAAACATCGGGGACTCTGCAGATTGGCAATTTCAATTACTCCGACAATGGACTGTACACTTTTTCGCGTGGGCGGGGGCAAACCTTTTTCTTTCGCCGGTCGCCTGCGTGTGAAAGTAAGAAAAAGAAGCAGAAATCAACATTCAAATAAATTATAAATTACAATAAAGTAAGGGGAAACGTAAAATATGCGAAACGAAAGCGAAGTCTCCGGCCCAGAAGGCAAATCCAAAAGGCAACCGCGTGTATTGTAGTGTTCCAGCGATTCTTTTCGTATTCTGCCGCCGTCTCGCACTCTTTATCGCCCTCTCTTCTAATTATGAGTGACTGGGAGAGTGTGCCTGTGTGCGTGAGCGGAGAACACTCGCTGGTTCTTACGCTCGTAACAGTGACCCAGTCTCGGTTTCTATAACTTGGAAAGAGTCTCCACTACGTAAGTACATATAAAAGTGTGCTGTCGTCATCGGGGTCCCAAACTTTTTATTTCGTTTCCACTTGACGCCCACGCCGCCTCCTCGCCACGCCCCCGTGGAACGTTGCTTATTAGATCAAAGCCAGAATTGTTTTAGGGTTTTTATTCTGTGTCGCTTTCAGCGGAGGGTATTAAATGTAAGCTACAAAGTGTAACTGAAGAACTTTTAGCACTTATATGGAAATTTGCAATCTCTTAGGAGTTCCGGATTGAAAATATATTTTATTATATTTTGAAAACTTCGTTGAGGAAGAACTGAGATACTGCAGTTCTTTTGGCTGGAAGTTAAGGAATATGATGTATTTTTATACCTAGAAGAGCATTTGGACTTCGACTACATGAAATCCACTTCCTTTCACGTTTTCATTCTTATCCGCCGTTTTGGAGGGCGCTCACAGTTCAATTGAATCCAATTGACCAAGTGCGTGGCTCTTGTCAAGCAAATACATTTGCTTACGTATACTTAATTTACGAGGCGTATACGTAATGCAACGCCCACCAATGCACCGCTGGCTACTGAAACTGAAAGATAAGCCAGCCGGGGGAATGCTAATTGAACCCATTTACGGTGCTCTTCTGGCCGACTAGAATTCATGCATTTGATTGCTCTTTAGCCGCTTACCTTTGACTTTGTCTCTTGGCAATTGAAATTGCAGCTGTTGCGACGCAGTTGCCGATGATCCAACTCTACCGCTCACCCGACTTCTCGACCGATTTCATCACCGATTCGGATTCCGATCTGATAACGTTACATGTAAGTGCAGCTAAAAGCACTCAAGAAACGACGAGAATCCGGGCATTAGGCCAGCGTCTGAGGGGAATGTCACACTAGTGAGTAAGCGCTCTGAAATTCCTGCATTTTAGTTAAAGAAATAAATTGTTTCTAGATTTATTTTTAAGGTTTTGTATTTAAGGTATCAGTGGCTTCTTTTTTGGAACCAGTGCAGTTTTTAGTGCTTAATTTTCGCTTTGCCATACGCCTAGAACTATGGTTTCTTTTAAGCCAGAGTCTTTTCCTCATCAATTATTTTTCATTTTCCAAAAAAATTTTGAATTTTCAGGAACTGTACTAATGTAAGTGTTCTGCAATCTGTATCTGCAATCTACTGTATTCCTCAAGACACTCTCCTATCGATGTCAAAACTCTTCGCCAACGGCTCTATTTCCATTTCGAATTCTATTTTAAGACACTTTGCATTGCTGATGTCATTTGTTTTCTATGCATATTCTGCTTTTCGCCCGGATCAGTTCCGTTCAGTCCAGCTTGGTTTAGTTTTGCCCGATTTCCATCCGAGGACCCGGGGGGCTATCATTACTGTTACTATTACTGTTACTGCTGTTGTTGTTGTTGTCACTTGGCGGGTGATACATCAACTTCTTAATTTATGAGGTGCAATTTTTACGGCCTGGCCCCCTGATTCCACGTAAAAAATAAAAAGAGCAAAGAGTAAAAGCATCTCTCGCCCGGCCGGTAACAACATTTCTTTGTTGATTATTTTTATTTATTTTTTTTTTTTTTCTTGATTTTTGTGGAGTGTGCGGCTGCGCGTTTTTTTCACTTTTTCTTGCATGCGCTTGTGGCAAGAACTTTCTCTTCTAATTGAAAGCAGTTCGATGGCGGCGGGCGATAAGCGGAGCCAGCGGAGCGGTTCGGCGGAAGGGGAAGCGGTCCGCTGAGCAAGCATCCAGCTGGGCATCTTTTGATGAACCGGCTGCCTCGATGGATTGACGTGGATGTGGCTGAAGCTGGAGCTGAATCTGAATCTGAATCTGAAGCTGAAGCTGAAGCTGGTTGCTGGATGCCTGAATCGAATCGGTGGCCAGTTGTGGAGCGGATGAATGGCGATCGGCGGCGGGCGCATAGTGAGACATTTCTTGTGTGTCTGCTTTAATGGGAACTTTATGCAGCCGCAAGGCATTTAATCTCTTTCGCTTCGATTTGAATACGGAAAGAGGCGAACGCCGACGGAGGCGATAAGCGCCAGCAAGTTGAAAATAAATAATAAATATTTAAGAGTAGAAGCTCACGGCTTGATGATGCTGGGGCGGGGTGTTGGACAACAAAAATAAATAAAAAATAAAAAAAAAAACAAACTGCTACTACGCGGGCAGTGAATGAAAGCCAGTGGAGAACTGGTCGCTTGCCTGGAAGACTTGGGTGCTTTTTCATCATTTTTTTTTGTATCTCCGAGTCGGTTTCTTACTCTTTTTTTCCGAGTTTTTGGTGAAGCTGTGGCATGTCTCGATGGCTCGGGCTTTGCGGCTCGGCGTCTGTGTTTCTTTTGGCTTCTAATGGCAGCCGTGAGGTGAGAATCGATTTAGTTCGGTTTACGACGATCCCAGATACAAACGCGAAAAAGTTTCTTTTCGGTGTGTGTTGCTCCGAAAAAGTGGAAAAGATCGCCAGGAGTCTACAGCCTCCTCCAGGGAAATAGGAGCTGCCACACACCCGCGAACTAAAAAATCGAGAAACGAAGAGCTCGAACTGCTCGTAAAAGTCGCCGGCTAATTAAGTCAGGTGTTAATCACGGCAATTACGTACTACAAATTGCCCATCGCACTCGGGGTAAATCAATTTCCGTTTTTGCGCAAAAGATCATCCAACAAATTGATTATTATTAATGGCCGGAGTGCCACAGTTGACTAAGTGAGCGTGTCTGCGAATTTCAGGCAGTACCTACCGGCCAACTAAGGCGGCTTAAACGCTCTGCCTGTGGTCTGTAAAATCTCTCTACTTCCTGGCGGCTTTTATAAGTAGGTGTTTTTTGAGGTGCGGACCCTTGAACGAGGAAGAGAGAAGAGGCCTTATGTAAACCACTAGTCTTGAGCCTAAGTGCATAATTTTGGCAATTAAATTAAGCTTCGGAAAATGCATTAGATCATGTGTTAGTGGAAGTGCCATGTTCATGGCAAAATATCAAACTCCTCCATCTGGTGCCCATCTGCTCATTCCATTAAGACTATTATGCAAAGGCAGTTAGGGAATTGTTGGTAGTAGTTACCCGGCATAAAGTATTTATTGCATAGACCACTGCCAATCTTAGCGCCAGTTATGCGGTCATTCAAGCATTCAAACTATTCCACATTGCATCCAAATAAGTAAGGCAAAACAAATTAAAAAAGCATGAAAAAGCTATGAAAAGAAAGAGGGAAGAAAACATGAACTAATAAAGTGATTAACTTTTGATACACTGGCCTTAAAATGTTTCAAAGATCTTGAGCTTTTCGTTGTTTCTGATTAATTCTAATCAGCAACTACTGACTGGCGAGGTTAAAAATTTGTTATATCAATTTTATTGTGAATGACAAAATTATACAGCTCCATTAATTGATAAAGTCAATCAACTTTTGATCGTAAAGCGTATTCAAATAACAACAAGAGCTAAAACCACACGGCCAAAACAAAATAAAATAAAAGTGCAGAAAAAGTACCAAGTAAAAAACAACAAAAAGCCCAGGAAAAGAGAATAATATGGTTAGGCGATAATGAGTTGCAGTTGAAGTTAATTTTTTGTATTATTGTAATTAGCTGTGGGCAGCTTAAAAAAGGCTAAATTAAATAATAGCAAGCTTTTCGCTGTTTACGAGTATTTTTTGCTGCTACCGTTGGCGGTGTTATATGTTTGAGCTGCCACCGCTTAAATGGATGTTGATGTTGATGTTGCTGATGTAATCGCACCGCTTGAATCACGAAAGAAGCAACATCAGCAGTTATTCATCGATATTGGCGACCGCGGCGACGTAACTCCATTGATAATTATGTTTAATTCGCCCCTTATCAAGTCCATTTTGATTTTATACAACTTTTACACCTCTGGGGCAGATTAAGCGATTTTATGGTTTATGCAGACTCAGCAATCGTTAGCCATTTAAATAATGTAGCAAGTTATAACTGTGTAGATAAATTGATCACAGATTTATTAGGAGTTTTTCGCATTTATTTCATAAAAAAATTAAAAAGATATCTAAAAAGATATCTAAAGATGAGAAGATTAATGAGGATATTAAATACATTACAAATCTGTTCTCTCAAAAATATTAAAAAATATTAAAAATGTTTCTTGAGTAAGCAATGCCTTTAAACCTCTCGAAATGTTTGGATTTGGCACTTTTAAAAACCACTGACATCTCCTAGATTCCTTGGCAATTCCTTGGGCCACCTTTTCTTGCACCGAACTTGACAGGGAATAAACCATTGCAGAAGTCGCCGCTGGAATGTTGCAGCCATCACTTTTGGCGGCGTTGCTGCTCCTGCTGTTGCACTTGCAGAATGCCAGCTGCAAGGCGCCCACCAAGGAGCTGCCCCGCCCACTGATCCCGCTCCACGAACTGGAGGAGGAGGAGCCTCTGCCATTCCAGGGCACACGGAACGGACGCTCGAGGCGACCCACACTGATGGACGTGGCCTTGCAACAAAGTGTGCGGCAGGGACTCGATGCCATGGCCGAGTTGTACGGACGCATTCAGCCCGAGATGCTGCGCAATGGTGGGTACTTCTTCTAGCCTTGAGCCAAAGCCTCGAAATCCCTGAAATCCTCGAAATACTTCTCGAAAGGCCAAACCCTGCAGGACAACCATCCGGCCGCGATGCTGGCCCGCTTCAATGCCCCAACGACGGACTCGGAGCGCCGGGAAATGGCCGCCTATGCCACCATCGCAGCAGCCAAGGCCTTTCGCAAAAAGTAAGTTACTGTGTAGCTCAGATGGGTGGGCTATATGTGGAATATATATCCAGGGTTCATGTGGATGTGTGTGTGTGTGACTTGTGCGCATTGCGGCGGGTCATAAGTTCATCAGCCGCAAACATGTGGCTATGACATATGAAAAAAGTTATTGGCAAAAGCGAGGCGCATGATTAAAAATCAAAGTGGGTGGATCATGGGTGGGTCAATAAGTTGTATTCTTACGGATCATTTTATACCCTCAAAATAATATTTATAAAATATATCCTTAAATTTCATATGTAAGCTAGTACATTTCGGTGAAAAAAACTGATATATTTTGCTTGCTGTAAGAAATTGATTTCTACTTCTTGGAAAGACACTTTCGTCTCAAAGTACATACATATATTTACGATGAATATTGATTAATGAGAAGTGTGGGGACTTCCGAGATTCATGGAAAAATATTTCGACAATTCGGTTAACAGAAATAGCACCCCTCGCCCCCTTTTCCGAATACCCACGATAAGTGGGCATAGTCACTCTCGAGTTTCTGCCCTCCGGCAATCTAATGCAAAACCAGCAACAACTATGCAAAAAAAAAGAAATAATAACGGAAAAGACAAAGGCAAAAAAGTAAGCAATATTATTGAGTAGAGGACGCCTCCCCCTGAGTGCCCCCCCTTCTCCTCCCCCCTTTTCCCCCCTTCGGAATCGACAATTACCGCCGGCAACTTTCTCGCTTGATTAACGAGTTCTACGGCATCCATGGCAGCAACTTCGGCGGCAGCAGAGCTAATGAGTTGGAGCCGGGATCCGAATGGCCTGGAAGTTGGCTCAAGTGGAAGTTGGCTCCCCCTCGGAGGCCCACCCCTTTCGCAAAAATCCAATCGTAGCGAAAAAAAAATAAAGCTGAGCGATGGGAGTCCAACTGCGATTGCTCATGACTAAGAGTCAACTTTCACTTTGACATTGAAATGCCGCATAATTGGCAGACAAGACCAAGACACCAACGCCGACTCCGAATCCAATCCCAAATCCAAAACCAATACCAAATCGAATCAAGTTGACTGCACGGTAAAAATAATATTATGATTTTGATAAACAATTAATTAGATACGAATCTTTAAAAAAGTAAAATCGAACATTCAAGAATTACTAAATAATATAATTACTAAATAACAGAAATTATTATTATTTCCTAATTAGTGGTCCAAACAAATAGTATTTAAATCTTGAATGGATTTGTAATTGGTATTTAATTTCTTTGACTTAAGATCTCTAGAAATTTCCCTTACCCCATATATATTATATTTAACCCACGCCTTTTGATGCAATACCAACATTTTTCTTCTGTGTGGCGACAACTTAGTGGCATTAATGTGTGGTATAAAAGTGGTTTCGAATGGGCGAAGGTAAATAAAAGCGGCCCGGGTTAAATGACCTCTTTGGCCGGGCAACGGAAATGGCAGACGCCACCAACTTCGACTCCGACTGCGACTCCGACTACATTTCCATCTCCATTTTCATCGCAGATTGTTTGCAGTCTTTCCAGTTTTTCCCGCTGGCAGAGTTTTCACTTTTAACAAAATCCATGTGAAAATCCATGCGATTTTCCACTCACACACACGTTGAACTGAGAACTTTCACCCGGGGACAAGTCGAAAAGGCAATTTACCCAGGCGAATTCGACTCAGGTGCAATGAGCTCTGACCGCGTCGAATGCAAAGCTGCCCGAAATCGCATTTATGTAATTGCAATCAATGGGCCGACACGGCGACATCGTCCCCCCCAAAAAAAAAGGGGTAAAAAGAAAAATAACAGACAATTGCCAGACAAAAGATGCTGATGATGATGGCCATTAATGGAAAATGCTTTTTGGTCCACTCGATGTCCACAATCAAATTACGAAATGGCCAACATGTTTGGTTTAATTAAATATCAACAAACGTCGTCAGTCGTCGTTGGTTTTCTGTTGGCTGTTTTCAGTTGGCTGATGATGATCGTTGGCTTTGGGGCTCGTTAATGGTGCCAAAAGCAGCATTTAGCCAAATTAGAAGCCAAAGAAAGCGACAGCGTTAGAAAAACAGCAGAGATTCGCTTATAACCGACGAAAGATCTCTTTCGCACATCTGCGGAGCTTCAGATTCGGCATTCGCAATTTGATTACATCAAGTCGAACGGCAAAAAAAAAAAAAAACAGGGAAAGGCAAAGCTTCGGCCGCAGCGTCGTCGACAGCGACGCCGACTGAGGCAGCGGCGGTACAACTGATACGCTGCCGGGGAAAAAAAAACGAAACAGCAACAGCAACAACAACTGAAACTGAAACACAAACGCGCGGCGACTTTCGTTTTCTACCAGCCAATTCGGCCTCAAGCTCCCAAGACATACGAAAGTTGAGTATTGTATTGTGCTTTTTCTCTGTTGTCTTCGGGGGCCAATGAACTCGTGGCGCTGCTGAAAACCAACAGCAGAAAAAAACAACAAAAATCGAGGCAACGTTGCGGCTGCGCATTGCGACGAGATTGCGTATACGCCGCGTGAACTCAAGGCAAAGGGCGCCTGCACCTTTAAGGGGTTACATGGGTTTCCTCGGGTAAAAAACGGCCTTTTTTCAAACATTTTTTTTGCATATAAAAAATGAAATATTTCAATGAAACTTTTTATTATTTAAAAGATACATATTTAATAAAGATTTTGTGAAATTTTCAAAAAAAAATATCAAAATGTCGGCCATTACGACGCCATTTCCGGCAGTCCCTCGGAAAAAGGTGCCTCCGCGTTGTCAGCAGAACTTCTTTCAGGATCATCCAAAGTAAAAATAAAAAAAAAGTGTTTCAGTATAGACAATAAACTAGGTATTGGACGAAGGAAAAAAAAAATAAATGAAAATTGGATTTTTGGCAGACGTTTTTACAAAAAAATGCAAATTCAATACCTTGTAAATGATATCTCGAATACTTGTGTAAAATTTCATTAAGATCGGTTGAGTAGTTTGCGAGAAATTTTGACAACCGACTTTGAAAACATAGTTTTGAGAAAAACGCGTTTAAAGTTTTAAGAGACAATGAAAATGGTCTCAAGCGTCCACCTTCTCAAGGCTGTATCTCCGAGACTATTACTCGGATCAACTTGAAAATTTAGGACAATATTCTAGAAATGTTATAGAATTTAATAAGACAAAAAAAAAAAAAATCGATTTTTTGAAACCGTGAAACCCATGTAACCCCTTAATGGGCTTTTCTTCGTTTGAAACAATGCCTAATACGAAAATTGTGCAGAGCAATGACAACTGAAGCGCACACAGCCTGGGAAAATACATATTTCCACTTTCACCTGCTGAAATGCTGACACGAGTGGGAAAACTGGAAAAACGTGCCGAAATGATTATACACTAGCTCATCCCCGTGGCGACCATCGAAAATGGCATTCAATCATAGCTCATTTTCTCGGATATTCGTGTGTGGAAAAGTGAAAACTGCTAGAAGATTGATCGCAAGATCGCAGGAAATTATATGCCAGGCAGGAAGTCGAGTTATCTGAAGTTATCAGTATAAGAGAAAGTTAATAGTGTTCAGCCTAGATCGATTGATGGGAATCGCGCAATTATTAATTTAATAACAGCAATTAAAAGCTGCACAACTTTTTTATGGTTTATTTAAGTCATCTCCGGCTGAAGCGATAAATACATTAATTTGCAAGTATGAGCACTGACATACAAAATTCAAGTTTCCGAAGAACAAGTATTCTTATTGCTGGTATTAGTACATTTTTTCGCTTAAAGGCAATTCTCCTCTGGTTAAATTCCTAGAACGATTAAAAGCTTAAGAATTCAAATTGCTTTGTTGATGCAAATTAAAATAAAACAAGAATTCTTAAACACATACCTATATTTATATTTAATAAGAAAATGTTAAGAAGTTATTTAACAAAATATTTGCATAGGTAAAAAACTTTAAAACTGTGAATAATCTTGGTTTAATTAAAACTGAAGAACTATTTAAATAGAAATATGTTTTTAAGGCACTTACTTTTTTAGGCTCTTATCAAATTCGTCTGGCTTTCAAGTCAATTTCCATTTTCTTTGCTCACATCATAAGCTATTTCTATCATAAGCCATAGGAAACCATAAAAAGTGACCCTATATAACGCATATAAAAGCCATCAAAACCCGGCATGTTTCATGACCAAGTCATTATACCCCTCGAGATCCAAACGAAATGAAAATTGACGAAAAAAGAGTTGCTAATAAACGCGGCAAATGGAAAGCAAAGCGGGTAAATTAAAGCCAGCGGCTGCCCACCGATTTCTTGTGCGTTTTCCCGCCTCGATCTTCAGTGGGTTTAATTTCGATGGTGGATCCCATTTTGGAGCCACCACTCCGGCCAGCACTCGCTGGCGAACTCGTTTCCACCAACTTCGCGATGTCGAGCCGCTGAGCGTTTTATAAATAGAAGCCGGCGGCCTGAGCAGTCGGCACTCGATCACGATATTTGAGCGCAGCCATGTCGTGTGGTCCTCATCACTCGGTGGCAGGATGACGGAGGTCCCAGGAGGTCCTGGCACCATCGTCCATCGTCACTCGCCCACTGCCCGCCATCATCGATCTCGATCTCTTTACCCGCCAGCTTCCAGCACATCGATGAGCTGGCCCGCCAGTCGCACTCCCAGCGGATCTCGCTGCGGCGCACCGCCCTGGAGGGACTCTGTCCGCCGCGGGACCCGCCGCCCTGCATGCCCGCCTCGGAGCGGTACCGCACCCACGACGGCACGTGCAACAACAAGAGAAGACCCCGCTGGGGTGCCGCCCAGATGCCCTTCAACCGGTTCCTCCCGCCGGAGTACGGCGATGGCGTGGACACGGTCCGGAGTTCCACGGATGGCTCAACCCTTTCCTCGTCGCGGTTCGTCAGCCTGCTGGTCCACGGAGCCCGGGAGGGGGAGGCCCCGCTCACCCTCATGATCGCCCAGTGGGGTCAGATGCTCGACCACGACATGACCTCCACAGCACAGCCGCGGTAAGTACTTCTTCTAGATTTGTTAAGTATTGATTAGAATAAAATTATTATATAATTTACTCAGCATTTAGTGTAGTTTCATTAAGATACCAAATATGTTTTACCCTTTTTTGCATCTTAAAAATTAGTTGGTTTTTGCGCGCAAAAAAGCATTACCTAATAGACTTAAAATAATGTCTAAGTGTTCTTGTGTTTCTATTTTAAAATGAAACTATATTTCCCTTACCCCTCTTTTCTCTCTAATTTAAAAACTTTTAAAACCGAAAACATAATTTAATTTTACACTTCATTACAGCTCCATTAATGGCTCCATTCCGAGTTGCTGTGGCGGCAAGGACTTCCACCCCGCCTGCTTCCCCATCAAGGTGCCGCTGGATGATCCCTGGCTGGCTCCACTCAAAGTGCGCTGTCTGGAGTTCCTGCGCTCGGCTCCTGCCCAGCGAAGAGATTGTGTATTATCCTGGCGGGAGCAGACAAACCAGGTGACCTCGTACATAGATGCCTCACCCATTTACTCGAATAGCGCAAAATCTTCGGACAATGCAAGGGTTTTCCGGCACGGCTTGTTGGTCTACGGACGCGGTGATCCTGCAGAGGATGTGTGCCAACGGGGAGCCATTGCCACCAAGTGCATTCGATCCGGAGATGGGCGAAGTGGAGAGCAGCCGGGACTGCTGGCCATGCACCACGTTTGGGTGGGCGAACACAATCGAATCGCCATGGAGTTGAGTGAACTGAATCCGCATTGGAGTGACGAGAAGGTTTACCAGGAAACCCGCAGGATTGTGGGCGCCATGTTCCAGCACATCACCTTCAGAGAGTTCCTGCCTGTCATCCTGGGCAGAGAGGTGGCCAAGCTGTTCGACCTGGAACTGATGCCATCGGGTTATTACGAGAGATATAGTTCTAAGGTGAATCCCACGGTAGCAAATGCCTTCGCAGCTGCCGCCTTTCGGTTTGGCCACTCTTTGGTGCAGAATTCCTACACCCGCTGCGATCGCCATCACAATGTGATAAATAATAGTAAGATCTAGAGAAGAATCTAAGCTCTTTAGATAATAATCTTTGTTTTTTGTAGATGTCAGCTTGCATGAGGAGTTCCAGAGAGGGGATATTGGCTCCGCGGGTTCCTTGCATCGTCTTCTGAGGGGTTTGGCCTCCCAGAGAGCTCTCAAGAGGGATGAGTTCATCACCCCCGAGTTGACCAACCACCTCTTCCAGACTCCTGGCTTTCCCTTCGGCTTGGACCTGGCTGCCATTAACATCCAGCGGGGCAGGGATCACGGCATTGCTCCTTACACCGCTTGGCGAGTGCCCTGTGGCCTGAGTCCCATTCTCAGCTGGGATGATTTCGGTGAGTTTGGAGAAGGATCTTTAATAACAACTAAGAATATATTTAAATAAGAATAAAATTTAATTTCTGCTCTCAAAGCTTTTGCCTTTTATGCTAACAAATAATTTCAGAATTAATTTAAAATTTTACTAATAATTACCCTTTTCTTCCTCAGCCAATGTAGTTGGTCCAGAGTCTGCAAAGCGGATTGGCCACGCCTATCGAAGTGTGCACGACATCGATCTCTTTGTGGGCGGCATTGCGGAGCGCCCTGTGGTGGGTGGACTGGTGGGTCCGACCTTCGCCTGCATCATCGCCCAGCAGTTCAGCAATGCCAGAAGGGGAGATCGCTTTTGGTACGAGAACGGCGGCTTCGAGAGCTCCTTCACTCCCGCCCAACTTCACTCCCTGCGGAGGGTTTCCTTAGCCCAGGTACTTTGCCGCACGGTGGGTGGTGGCACATTGCAACCCCACATCTTCATCCCAGCCGAGTTTGAGGACAACGAAAGGCAGACCTGCGGAGTGGGCAGTCTGTCGCCCATCGATCTGAGTCCCTGGTTGGAGCAAGATCCCTTCCACAATCAGCAGGTTCCGGATCAGGTGTTCAACATTGGGCAGCCAGAACTGGGGTCCGTACAGATAATCAAGGAGGACAAGGCGGGCTTCTCGAACCGGGTGAAACCCAACAAACCACAAGTAGAACTGATCACCAATTCGGGGAGTGGATTCCTTAGACCAACGAACGGAAACTCGACAAAAGTTAGCGACAAACTCGACCTGAGACGCAAGACGGCGACGAACTCGAACAAGAACTCTAATAACAGACAGACTTCACAGACTCGAAAGCCAGTAAGTGGAGTTAACAACAAACTGGACAAGTCTCCCAAGATCACCATAAATATAAAGAGCGTTAATGTGCGAAGACCAGAGGGATCGGGTCCCAAGCGAAGGGTGGTCATCAACAATGTGCCCGTAGAACTGAGGAGTTCGGGTGGCAATGCTTCCGATACGGAGACTGGGACAGGAACTTTAACGGAAGACGAAAACGAATTCGAGGACGAGGAAGTTGACTTTGAGGACGTAGAAGAAGTGAGAGCCAATAATGACCCCTTGAAACTAACTAACCCAGAACTAAAAGAAACTGAAACTGAAGCAAAGGCAAAGACTTTGGAAGATGACAAAAAGAACTTGGACACAAAACCTCCAACAGACACCCCTAAAACCGATAGACGTGACATTAGAAAGTTGGAAGCCACAAAAATATCGAAAACTCTGACTAAACCTGCAGACTCTCGACTTTTACACTTTCAACTCAATAGAACTAGCACGCCAAGGGACTTTCAAACCAGCTCCACAGTCAGCTTAGACCACTTCACTCAACAGACAAAAGCTCCAAAGATCAGTAAGCCGACTAAGAGGGCAGTGGAACTGAGACAGTACCAGAACAGACCTCTTTACGAAAGACCCCAAAAGGTGGTGGTCAATGGACCAAACGCAGACCAGTACGAAATTGAGATCAACATCAGACAGACGAACAAGAATCCGGGATCGAGACCTTCGACCGCTGACTACGGGGAATACACGACTGCCCAAAAACCCTACTACAATTCGAACTATGCACCACACTACGTAGACTACGGAAGTACTACCCCAATTCCACTGCCAAGCTATGGTTACCAACCTCTGGCGGAGATTAGCCAAGGACAGAGAACGAAACCTCCGACTATAATCTACCTAAACGATAACGATGACAGACGAACCACTACCACCAGGGCACCTAACATCTTCCAGAACTTTCTGACTTTCGCAACGAACAGTTTCAATCCTCTGGGCAACCGACGACCCATGCCCACTACTCCATCTCCTTCTCCGATATCGCAGAGCCACAAGGAGCCTTCCCAGTTCGAGAGCAATTTGGTGCACAGTCCTATTAGTAATTCGCACATCCTGACTGGGGGATCCTTATCCTATTCACCAAGACCTCAGTCGGTTCACTCGTATCCTGTGGCGGTAACCAGTTCCCAAATTGGAGCCAACCCAGGATCTGGTTTCCTCCATGCCTCCAGCAGTGCCTTGAGCTCGGGTCACTTTGGCAGCATCTCCGGAGTGGCCACTGCCAATGGAGCGGACAGCACCTTCAGCTTCAACATTCGACCACGTCCCAATCCGGAGTTGAGTCCAGTTGTGAGTTCCTATCCCAGACCTTCTGCAAATCAGGGGATAGTGAGTGGTGGAGGAGGATCTTATGGCCTCGTAACTCAATCCTCCTACAGACCAGACTTTGCGCCTCCTCAAAGCGAACTTTACTACGACAGGGAACTGACCAGTGACAGAAATCCCAGTCCCTTTTCCGGATCCAGTTCAGGATCAAGACCAGCATCGACATTCTACGGACGAACACCAGAACTCAAAGAAGCGGGAAACAACAGCAACGAACTTTCACAGACAGAACACAAACTTTACCTACAGGACTACGACTATGTGAGCAGGACACTCTCTAACTTGACCAACGACGAAAGTCAGCCCTCTGAAGAGGATGCAGACTACGTGTACGACGAGGACATGCCCACCAACGAACTGGACAAGACAGAGACCCGAAAAGACACAGACGCCACGGAATCTACCAAGAAATTCGACAAGGACGGCTACATGAGACCGCAAATGATGAGGGACTCCAACCGAAACTCGACTTTAGCCAACGTGACCGCACTGGACGACAACTACGTGATGCCCATGCTGGAGAAAAAGACGCGCACTGGCTACGTGACCGAGGTGCCCAAGCCCATGCTGTCCACCTCCAGCCGGAGTGTGACCAACAGCAAGGTGACCGTGTTCCCGGACAGCCTGGGCAAGCAGCTGGGCAACGACATACTCGCGGACGAGACGGACGACTACGTGGACGGGAACTCGGAGGCGCGGCTGAAGGCCCAGAAGCTGAAGCAACTGGCCAGCGTGGCCTTCGCACCCATCACCGTGCTGACCAAGCCGGACAGACCCGACAACTGGGTGATCTACCAGAAGGTTAGCGAGGAGCCCCCATTGCCACAACCACCGGTGATCAATTCGGATGTGGCTCCCACCGGCGAGGTGCCCACTCCCATCAAGAACTTCAACAACGCCTGGCGGAAGCAGGATCTGAATGCTCAACCGGAAACTAAATTAAAACCGGAAACTAAATTAGAACCGGAAACTAAAATAGAACCGGAAACTAAATCAGAAAATGTGCCAACTAAACTGGAAGCCATGAAGGAGGCGCAGGAGGAAACCACTGTGGCAGCAGCGGACAGTATCTAGAAATGCCAAATTAGCCCTAGATAACTTATTTATTTATTTATACTCTAAAGCAAGAATTAAAGTCCTACCATCATTCAATTCTAGTTTTTTTTTCAGCTACTAAATAAACAAAACTTTTGGTAAAATACCTTTGAAAACTATCTATTTGAAAACAACAACAAATTCTGAAGATCCTTATACAGAGCACTTGGATTTCATATTTCACAGTGCCAAAAATGTAACAATTCTTGGTTTGTACTTTATTACAATGCAGACTAAATCTAGGTTATCCACTCAGAGAACACAGACACGAATGCTTAGCCTAGGAAGTGCCACCCCAACAGTGGGAAGGGTCGACCCTGTATCGATATTAGTTACTAATCCGGCATGTCCAGTTTTGTGGTATTTTGTTTGGCGCAAACATTGCTGTGCTAAGTTGTGTAAAAGTAATTGGGCTACCAATGTAATCAACAGTATTATCAACATCATCATCATCAATTACGTACAAGTACAAGTATAGTTATAGTTATAGTTATAGTTATAGTTATCGTTATAGTTATGTGTATAATAAATTATGCTTGTCGCCGATAGGCCTCTTCACGTGTTAGGTATAAAACGACTAAGTATAACAAAAGTAATGTACACTTTAAGCTACAACACTTTGGGTATTTGCATATTGAGTTGCGTTACTCGAACATCCTAGCCGCAAGCATATGGTTGAAACGTCCTACTAAAAGTACATCCTCGATGCGTCCGCCATCGATGATTTCATAATTCGCTATCGTTGGCAATTCAACTAATTAACCTGTGCTCCTCCTCTGATACTTCCTCTCGCTCTTGATATTTACAATCGTGGTGGTTCTCAGTACGTCGCGTAAATGCAGTTTTGAGTTGGTTTCAGTTTGGCTGGGGATTGTGCGCTCTTCACCAGCGGATCTGGTGCTTGTACTGCTCGTCCACGGCTATGCGCTTGATGGTCTCGTAACCTAGGATAATGCTGAATGAGAAGGCTGCCGACTGCACCAGGCGGGCGGACAGACCCTTGAAGAAGCAGTTCAGCTTCTCCTCCTGCCACAGTTCCCGGAAAGCGACGCTCATCGAGTCCAAGCGATGGACCTGCGGTAAGACATTTTTGAAAAGATAACGCATGAGTGACGAGCACTTTGGGTTATTGAGATAAGAGCTCTGGAGGCTCGAGCACAGTCACCGTAACAAATAAAATTTGCAGTAAAGAAAAGGTTTTATAACCCTATAAACTAACCACAATTCTGATTTTAATTTACATATTTACTGAAAGTTTTAACCTTTTAAACTCCCTCCAAAACTCACCTGCAGACGCGCCCGCACTATATCTAATGGATTGGTTAGTATTGTCGTTGTGAAGCCACCCAGGCTGCCGGCCACGCACTGGATAAACAGATGGGAGACCCAAACGGGGCAGATGCGGAACAGCTCGTCTGCGGGGAAAGCCAAAAATTGAATTAATCTAATCTCGTGGATAAGCGGAAGAGACTCACCCTGATAGAGGTGATAGAAGGCCCACCACATGGCCGAGTTAGGTACGTAGGCCATCAGGCTGGCGGTGTAGCCCCGGTAAAAGCCCCGGAAGCCATCCCGCCGCATTATCTCCCGGCCGATGTCCATGGATATGTGCAGGCGACTGCGACCGGGCCACGACTTGATGCCCAGCGGGTTAATGTCGCCCTTGGAGCCGGCGTGCGCGGACATGCCGAGCACCATGGCGTGCTGGGATATCACGTCGAAAGGAACTATGATGGTCTGGCCCACCAGCGAGGCACAGCCGCCGCCGGCGAGGGCCTTCATCCGATGTCCGGCGCCCAGATCGTTGAGCACGTGGCGCACGCCCTCGTAGGTGCTGATGTAGAACACCCCGGACACGATCTGCACAGAGGAGATCCAGAAGCCTCGGTAGAGACCCGGCACGCCCTCCGACTTGTAGATCTTCATGGCACAGTCCACCATGCCCTTGTACACATCGCTCTTGTGCTGCACCTGCAGCTGCGTCTTGATCACCGTCAGCGGGAACAGGCAGCAGCGCACCGAGAAGGAGCTGAGCATGGAGAGCGGGAAGAACTTGGTCTTGTTCATCATGTCCCACTCGATGGTGCGGATGTAGGGCGATCCATCGGCTGCGAGGCGGGTGTTCTGGCTGCTGCCGCTGCTCTCCGCCATCGCTGCTACCTTTTGTCTTGGACTCTGCTCCAGGTGGACTCAGTGGATCTTCGCATGCGTGGAAGCTTCGCTCGGTTGGGGGCCTTCTTCACAGCCTGGCTTGCTGATCTCTCTGGCGGCATTCGACCTGCATGACTCTAGATCTCGGTTGCTTTGTGTTGCGCCTGTTATTGCCGTTTGCATATATGCATATGTATGTAGGTGTATATCTGCCGAACACAAAACATCATCATTAGTACATTGACGCAACCGAAAGGCGTACGCACGAAAAAACATTCCCAAGGTCGCGAGACAGATACGGATTTCGAGGGTCTGCCCGTGACCTTTGATCTGGCGCCAATGCCAAGGGAATCCGGCGGAGTGCCCACTTCGCATTCTAGCTATCTAATCTATATATAACTTGGCGGGTCCTCCGATTTGGAGTTGTTATTATATAATACGCAGACACCTGACTGAGTGGCGCCCCCTTCCCCTCCCTTTCGCCGTGCGAAAAGCACACGGACGTAAACAAACTTTTCGTCCGGAGTCTGGTTGGCATTTCCTCTGAATAGTCACCGGTTGGGAAGAAGTTTGCCTTCCAGGCGGTTTATTGAGCACTTACCTGGGTCAGCTTGGTTGTTTGGATACTTGGTTTGTACATATCACATAATAAATCTGATGAGAATGAAAATTGGCTATAAGAGAGATTTCGGGAGTGCGGGTGTGGCCAGAGGTTGGAAAGAAGAGTATACTCAAAATGGCCTGAGGAGGGGTAGTAAACTTTGAAAAGTTTTTACTCTGGACGCGAACCATCTCCAATCAGAACATTTTGAAATTTAGGTTTGAGCTTTTCGAATTTTATAATTTTAATTATCAAACAATTTGGAATATATTATTTTATCTGTCATTTCAAAAGGATGTCAGCCATATGAACGAATCTGAAAAGATTGTCGATATTAAGCAGCAACAATTATGGTTTTTATCTATAACATTATCTATTTCTCTTAAAAACCTTTGTTATTATTTAAATATCGCTTATAAAAAAACCCATTCGTATTCTTTCAATTTAAATAAGAAAGCGGACATTTACTTAAATTTGTAAAAAAAAATTTTAATATCTATCTTTTTTATAGAAGATTTTCCCTAGTAAGCGATTTTCTTATCCTTTTCGGTAACCTTTTAAATCATAATTCAAATTTGAATGCTGTCAAATTGATTGACTCTTGACATTTGACCTTAATTACCGCCCACGCTCACTACCCATTGGTTCCTTCGCTTTCGAGCCACTCAACCAATCAGTGAGTTTGGGGGGCGTGACACGCCTGCGCAGAGTGTCCTATCCAGCATCCTTATCAGCACAACCCTTAAGCTAGAGCTCCTGCCACATCCTGGCTTTATGGCCAGGTACCATCTATTCAACCAGTCACCACGGAAACTCGAAAGCAACTGCACGCCGGCAACGGAATGCTCGCTGATCGCCGACAAGTGAAAGCCATCGAGCGGTTAATAATTCAGGACTATTGATGTGCAGCAGTCGCCTGCCAAGGGAAATCCTATTAGTGAAAATCCTACAAGTTCAACCCGAAATCGATTCATGGATACAGCCAAGTTGGTAAGATTCGCTTAAAGCTTTTATTTCTGCTGCATCGCACATAAATAGGGGCTTAAACTAGGGATTCCCGAGGGGGGAGGGAGGTGAATTCAGCCGTAGCTCAGGGTGTAGCCCATGTTCTCCATCAGGGTCTCCTTGATGGCCGGCTGGAGGGCCCGCTGCATGTAGGTGGTCAGCAGGCCGCGCACCCCCATCGAGAAGAGCTTCTCCAGCTCGTGGGACATGGCCTCGCCCACCAGCTCCTCGCGATCCCCGCCCAGATTCGAGCCACTGCCGCTGAAGATGTCCGCAAAGGCCCGGGCATCCGGCTCCACCAGCTGCTGCAGCTGCTCGTCCTCGAAGTGCAGCACGTCCTGGCTGAAGTTCAGCTGGTCCTCGAAGTTCTCGGGGGCGAAGCGCCGCCGGCGCCTCCTCTTTTGCTGAACTGCCGCCGGTAGAAGTTGTCGCCGTTCACGTCGATGAACTCCCCGGAATCCTGGGCCTGGCTATCGCTGCCCAGCTCCAAGCTGTGGTCCCTCTGCGGATTCTGACCTCCGCGGATGTCGTAGGCCGGCTGTGGGGCACCTCCGTGATGGTACTTGCCCCACCGCTGCGCTCTCTTGCTGCCCAGGATCACATGCGGTTCACCCAGTTCCACATCGGGAGCACTTCCGAATCTCCGCTTGGAGTTCTGCCGCAGACGAATGCCACTGGGTCCCTGGCAGCCATGGGCAAACACGGATATGAATCCTGGCTCGGCAAAGTGGGAATCCGTACGCACCGAAGCAGCTGCCAATCTCCTGGATTGTTCATAGTTCGAAGATCCGGAATCATAACCCAATGGAACTGTTCGGAATTCAATGCCCGCATGTCGCAGTCTCAAAATCATGTGACACTTTCCACCCATCGGTTGCATCACCACCTTTCCGCTCAGTGTAAGATCCGGAAAAATCAATCGGGTGTCCAGAGTGGAGTTTTCCGTGCTGAACTTGCACTTGTCGATTTCCACCCAGCGGTTCGCGGATTTTGCCGGCGGCACCCTCACCTTCAGATCCTCCACATCCACCCGGGAAATGGCCAACTTGTGGGGCTGCCGGTGCTGCTGGCTCTGCTGGTTGACCGCAAGCAGATCCTCCAGCTCCAAGCCTCCACTGGAATCGGAGAACGGGTGTGCCTGTCCGTTTCTGTGGAGCAACTTAGCGTGGTAGCCACGCCCCGAGTGGTAGGATCCACCTCCCACATTGTAGAAGTCCTCCTCCGGCTCGCTGTGCTGCCCGTAGAAACTGTGGTACAACTGGTAGGGACTCTGCGGCGGTGGGTTCCACATGGCCCGCGAGGTGGAGGAGCTCTTGGTCTGGACACTCCGACGCCTCATGTGCTCCAGTGCGTTCTCCAAGCGATTCGAGCAGCGGTGCGGCAACTGATAGGGCTGACAAAGGGTCACTAAAGATTGGGGGATTCGTAAGAATGGATTAGGATGAAGTGGTGGCCACTTACCCTGCAGCAAAGCCAACATGGACAGCAAAAAGTGCAGCCAATTTAAATCCCGGGTCACGTTTTTCGACATTGTGTTTTACCAAACATGGAGCGCCGTTTTGTACAGAAATACTTTTGGTGGTACTTTAATTCAAAAAGATTATGAATATTGAAGACTTCAGATTAGATCCTAAACGTTTTGATCTTGTTATGCCTCCAAATTGTTCGCGAATCCAGAAGGTTAACTCTTTATATAAGATCTTTGAAGAATCCTTTATTTGACGATCTAGTTTGTTTCTCACTTTATGTTTGCGAAACTGTTCACCAAACCTTGATATTTTCGCGGAAAAAGGTTGCCAAAATGTTTCGATGAAGCCGGTATTACAATCGAATGATAACTTCGTGAAAGAATCCTTTAGGCCGGTGGAAACACCTCCGAACTCCACCGCAGCTGAACCGAAAATGCTGAAAAGCCCAAGCGGAGCGAGAAACTGGCTCGGTCGCGCTTCCATTGCCACAAAAAAAAAAGCAAAAAAGAAAAAAAATAAAATAAAATAAAAAGGCACCCACAAGAAGACAAGAAAACGGAGAAGAGAAGCCAGCGTGTTGGTGACGACCGTGTCACTGCCTCATCATGTGCAGTGAAAGTGTTTTCCACGACGGGCACGAGTTGGAAAAGAGACGGATTCGTAGTCCAAGTTGGCCAAATCAGCCAAGCCAAGAAACACACACAACGCACCTCGTTGTGGAAGCGAAAGACAAAAGGCCCGAGCCAAAACAATTTGGGAAAAAAGAAAAGCATTGTCTTCTGCGGGCCCCTTCTTCTCCCTCCCCCAACTCCCGACCTCCCCCTTTGCTCTGCTGCAAAGTAGATCAGTACATAAATTGTCTATATATTACATACTATATACGAGTATACCCGCTCGAAGCGCCGAAAAGTAAACACGAGAAGAGTTTCGTAATTCGAGTTGCGGGCGCGCATGCGCCGTAATCTCGCTCATTGTCTTCGAGAGTTCAAAGTTGATCAATCCGTCGGATGAGTCAGTCACCCACCGCCACAGTTTGTTTTCCCAATTGCACTTGTAAGTGGCACCAATTGGGCATACAAATTAGGGCTTAATAGGAGGGCCTGAAAGGTTTACATGAACTTACAAGGGGTATAAACCAATTGAAGATCACTAGCTGTGCCATGAAGATCACTAGAAATTCCATAAGTACGTATACAAAAGAAATAGTTTTCTGAATTGAGAAAAAAAATATTTTCCATAAAGAGTTTTCTTTGATTTGATAATAGATATAAAATAATATAACTACCTACTTAAAATAATTGTACGGAATAATTGCTGATTACAGTTAAATATGTATAGTTAGTTAGTTAGCAATTTCAGAATATTAACCAAAAAAATTTAATAGTAAATCTCTTCAAATGTTTGAAATATAGTTTTCAGAGTTTCAGTCACTTGAGAATAAAATTATACACTTGGAAATATATTTTTCTGTTAAAGAGTGTTTCCCAGTCGAAGTTTCCCCTCCAAGAAAATAATTCCACCCGTTGCAGCTGCGCACGTGTGGCAGGTGACATCGCTTGGCTGACTGCCGCGGCTTTTTAGCTGCCTGCAGATTAGAGTTACACTAAGTAATTGCCATAATTTGATTTGACAAATTGTTTGCTTGCACTTAGCCAACGCAATTCGGCGACATAGTTTGCAATTTATCAAAGATCGGTGCGGCAAATTGCGGAAGAGGAGTCCGTTACGGATTGCCAAATGCCAGTTGAACATGCCTCCGCGAAGATTTACATAACCCTCCGAGATTTGGATTCGGATTCGGATTCGGGGGAGAAAGTCGAGCATTCTGCATTTCTTCTATCCGAAAAATAAAATGGGGGGAAAGGCAAGGGATTGTGCCGCTTTCTGCGTTTCCACCTCAGGTTTTGTTTTTCTTTCAACCTGAAGTTGGGTGGCACATTGCCGATAGAGCCGAACCAACGATTACGAGCATGTAATTAAGGGTAACTATCGCACAAATGGTTCTCGGATGCGACGGAGCACATCCAGGTGGCACTGCATCGCCTCGCTTGCCGCTCCAGTTTCCAAATGTCAGCCAAGGGACTCGAAATTGGGGCAGTACTGCATGCACTTTGGGATCGTTCCTCCGAAAAGTGGGTTCGAAAAATAAACAATGGGAAAGAAAGATCGGTATGGAAACCTTTGAATAGGAATTACAAAGTAGTTCTATTGTCTTTCCTTCTTCGGATTGATGTTGATTTAGTTTTACGTATTTAAAGTCAGCACTTAGGATTGACCTACATATTTAAGTGGCTGGAAAAGGAACTGGAATTAAATGGGTTGATTTACTTTACTATTATATTAAGATCAATTGATCTCTTACAACTTTATAAGTATTTCTATTTTATTCTCATATAAGAAATATCCCATTAGAAAGATTACAAATCATGGCTTTCATTACTTTAAATGGAATTCAAGTTCTTTTTATTTTTGTTTAATAAGATTTAGTTCCCTCGATAGAGACTAGATTGTCAATGAGTTTCCCCCGTGAAGAAAAGTGAAATCCCTGCCGGCTTTAATGAGGGCCACGTGAGGGTGATACGTACGATTTACGAGTATATATAGTATGGTATGGTGGCCCGGAGAGAGCGAGAGTGCGACCGTACACAAAGGTTAACCTCAACACTCAACGCTCAACACTCCGCTCATTAAGTGTACAAGTGTCAATAAACCGCAGTTGGAGTTGGCAGATAGCGACATTATATAGTAGTAGACTCCGCACATGATATGTCTACTCATGAAGGTCTAGTTGCAGGTCCACAATGGCTCATTACTTAATGGCCAAGAACAAGAGAAGCCGGCCAATTGACACCCGGCAAAGGCAAAGAAGCTGTTAAACTAATTGCCACAACTTCCACTATGTCAATGTGACGAGTTGGCCGAAGTCATTGTGGCCATTCCCATTGTCTCTTCTTCTGTTTCTGCTGTTTCTGCAACCTGTTAGCAGCGGGTGGGATTCGAGTTGCCCAGCAGGTGGCTTTAAAGTGCGGCTGGCTTAAAGGCAAACCGGGAGGAAGAAGTAGCCCCAAAAATTCTGTTTCCTGGCAAATTGACAACTAATTTGGCCGAGACGAAAATCCGCCCGAAATCGCAGACTCGTGACAATTTCCTGCCGCGCCCTGACTCATTTCCTTATTCCGCAGAGCGACTACGGCGAGGCCAAGACGCACTTGGAGCAGCTGCAGCAGACGCTCACCCACCTGGAGCACCCGCACCACCCGCACCACGCGCACCACCACCTGGGGCTCTACCATGGCGCCCTGCCCAGCACCGCGACCATCACCACCGACTCGGTGGTTTCCTGCGTGAGCTCCACGCTCCCGGCGGTGGCCAAGGCCATCTCCTCCTCCTCCTCCTCCTCGAGCTGCGGCGGCCTGGATGCGGAGCGCAAGAAGTGCCTCGCCGGCGACCTGGACGCGGCTGGCCACGGCCTCATGGAGGCCATCTGCATCGCCGGGCAGAAGACCTCGCCGGTTCCGCCGGCTCCTCCGCCCTGCTGCCTCTCCTTGGGCGGGAGCCCCTCCTCACCGAACCCCATCGCCACCGCCGCCCTGATGAACGCCTCCTCCGGATCCGCCGGCTCCGCTGGAGCAAGTGCCTCGCTATGCAATGGTTTGTATTGTAACTATATTAAAAATTCTAAAAATTAGTTATCAAAAATTTAAAAATTAAAAACCTAGTCTTTAAACCAGACAAAAAGAACACTTAAGGAACACCTTTAAAGGTCCAAGCTTCTCAAGAGAATTTTGTTTAAATTCTATATTCTTAATTTAATGTTCGTATATTTAAAATAGATAACTACCTATTTATTCCTGCTTTTAAAAATCTTAATATATCTCTTATGTTAAACCAGTCTACTCAAATGGCTAACAACCTACGTTTATAATTTCCCATTCCAAACTCGCTTCCAATTTGCCATGATACACTAGTACCTAATAAATCCCTTCTCCATCCAACCACTCTGCAGATCTCACGCGGGAGTCCTCCTGGTATGCGCACCACCATCACCACCACCACCACCATCACCACCAGCAGTTGGCGGATGAGCTGGTCATGTATGCCACGCCCACTCCCGCGCCGGCCATCGGGAAGTTCGGACTGGACACCTCCACCGAGGGTTACCTGAACGCAAGGTACAATGGTAAGCGTCCTCGTCCACGTCCACTGCCATGTCCGGATGCACCAGCTCCTCCACCTCCTCCTGCTCCTCCTCCTTTTTCATCCTGATCCACAGCCCACTCCACCAGTTTGTATCCACTTTCTGTTTGCTTTTGCTATTTACACGTTCGCTTGTTTATTAATTTTCCATTATGAGTTCTGAAAAGTGAGTGGGGTGGCCAGGGGCTTGGGTTCCAAATGTTTCCCGGGGAGTGGGCTTCGGTTTTCGGATTTGGGATTCCTGCTTGCCCTTTGCTGCCCGAAGGCTTTGTTTAAGCTTAGGTTGTTGTCTTTAGTTTTTTATTAAGAAAACATCTACGAAGTTGGCGCGTGCCGAGGCCCAAGGAAGATAAATATATTTGCAGATTTAGTAGAACTTGGCTGAAGTCAGGAAACTTGACTCAACATAAAACAATTTGTTATTTTCTGGGGTGATAAGAGAAATCAACATTGTTAATAGTTTTTGGTAATTTAGTTTTTAAGTTAGCAATATATTTTAAGTTTTTTTATGTTGAACGGAGGAATAACACATGAAAGATAGACTGATAACTATCTTTAGTTTCTCTAATGTTTAGTTAACCACTCTTTAATCCCAAAGCCACTACCCATATCCCTACCTCAGTTATCTATTCCCAAGCTTATCCTGGCATTCGATTATGGCCAAGTCAAGTGCATGTGACAAGCTCGATTTGTGGCCACAAAGGCGTCCCGGTGCGAGCGTTAATATAAAATATTATCTAACAAAAGTCGAGAGATGTTGGCCGAAAGGGAGCTTCTCTCTTTCCCTGGCATTTGTGGGCTAAAAAGAAAGTAACCTGGACTTGTTTTTTGTACCCTCCTCCCTTCTGCTTCTGCTTCTGATTCTGCAGTGAATGTCAAAGGCGTGCGGCATGAAAGAACATCGAGTTTCTTTGACATACCCGCTGTGACGCACCCACACTCGCATCCGCATCCGCACTCGCACCCGCATCCGCATCCGCACCCGTACTGCTACAGGTAAGAAATCCGGGGATTAAGCTCCACGCTGACAAGACAAGTCAACTTTAAGTCAATCAGCCGAACCGCTGGCTCCTCGATCCATTTCGCCATCTGAATATTTTTCATGATTTATGCTCCAAACAGATTTCCATCATCGCCACCCGCGGGCATTCTAAAAAAGAGCGACGAAGGTAAGTCCCCCAAGATTGATTGAAAAATAAGAGAGAGCGCGGAATTATTAAAGCCATGCGTTCATCATTTATTCAAATTAGTATGCGCGATATGCATACCTATCAGTTTGATAACTCAATTTGCTGCCTCTCCTCCACTTGGCGGCTCCAATATTTTTTCAAATAAAATGCAAGAAATCGCGCGCATAATTTACAATAACAATAACAATATCGCCGGTGTTAGTAACCGCTAATCCAATTGGCGGCGGCACAAGCTTGCAATTCAATTTCGAGGGCCAGATATACATAGTTGGCCACCGGTGGGTGGTGGGTGGTGGGTGGTGGTTCGCTGTGTGCTTCCCATCGCCCAGCGAACAAGCAACTCAATCACGGGGCAGCCGTTGAGTGGCTTATGTTAGCTACACCACCCACCCCAAACACCCCATCGAACCAACCAATGCACTCACAAAAATATTTGTTAATGGTTAGAAGAATATTAAAAATATTAAGAATGTTGTTTTAAACCTTTTCTGAACCATGAAATATTTCTGTTTAATAGAACAGAAGCCGTAGGGAATTGTTCATTTAAAAAACAGTCTTTTTCAAGTGTAGTGCACTGGCACACCCACTTACACCCACCTGAAACCCACTGAAACCCACACCCCTTAGCAGCAGCAAGGCCAACAGGTCTTCGCTTTCCATCAGCGAGCATTGCTTTCCATCGTTTGTTGTTATCGCCAATGATGTTTTTACTTGTCGACACTTGCTCATGGATTATGCAAAGGTATCTCCTGAATTTTTAATGCGCCCAGCGTCGAGTCGCGTTGAGGGATGGAGGATAGAGGGATGGAGGATGAGGAGTGGAGGGGTTCCAGTGGAGTAACTTCCTAATGAAAAGGGCAAACTCGAGTGGCTCGGCTGGGGGGTGGGGGGTGCTCGCCCCCCGTTAAATTGCAGCATATTGAGCATTTTGCAGCGACTGCCAGGAGTGGGTTGCTTAAATAATTAATCGCTGCTAAATACTCTGGCCATTTAGAAGGGCCAACAGCCACACAAACAAGGCAAAACAATGGGTAAGAGTTTTCATGACAATAGAGAAGGCGGCATGCCCTTTAAATGGGGAAAAGATTTATGTAATTTATCATAATTAACTGGGGAAGCAAAAAACAATCTGTTATTATAACATAAGTTCAAGTTATTTGAAAATACAACAAAATATGTGTTTAGGAATGCAAATTCTTCTATAAATTAAACTATTATTTTGTGTTATATAGTGGATTTAGGAAAACTTGAGAAAAGTATCTTCTAAAATCACCCTTTCTGGCTTAATAAATAGTACAACCCTTTTGGAGGGAGAGTATCCAAAATACCCATGTAATTAGCATCCATTACATTCCCCCGATTCCCTCGACACATTGCTCAAACGTGCATGAAAGCGGCTTTCCCTCAACTCCTCTAAAACTGCTTTTCCGAATCATTTTCTTTTGCAGATTCGGCCACGGCAGCCGCAGCTGCTGCCGCCGCCGCTGCTGCAGCCGCAGCAGTCTACTGCAGCGACGTGTCCTCCGGCCAGCACTTCCAGCACCACACGAAGATCGAGCACGCGGACTCCACCACGACGGCGGCCCAGCAGCAGCAGCAGCAACAACAGCAGCAGCAGCAGCAACAGCAGCAGCAGCAGCAGCAACACCAGCAGCAGCAACACCAGCAGCAGCAGCAACAGCTGCAGCACGCTGCTGCACTGCACCCGCACCACCACCACCACCACCACGGACACCACCACCAGCAGACGGAGCAGCAGGCGCTCACCCACCTGACACCGCTCCACACCTCGGCCTTCAAGTTCAGCCACACGGCGGTCATATCTAGTTCGGCGGTATATGCCACGCCCTCCCACTACGCCCACCAGCAGCAGTCGCAGTCGCAGTCCGTCTACCGGGATCTCTCGCCCACCTCCTTGGCGGCGGTCAGCGATGCGGACCTGAAGTATGACAGCGGTCCCTACAACGCCACCATCTCCTCCACGTATCCTTCTGCGTTGCGGCCCAACGTGGTGGACTCCACCACCTCCAGCGATGCGGAGCTGCGGCTGGACCAGTTCTACGCCAGCAACGGCATCTCCACCAGCAGCAGCGGCCAGGCGATCAGCCAGCGGAGGGGCTCCCTGCAGCTCTGGCAGTTCCTGGTGGCCCTCCTGGACGAACCCACCACCAGGTGAGTGCAGGTTTTCAACCGAAATCATTAAATATTTCTAGAGAATTAAAACACAAGCTCTTAGAGGTAGGCCACTTCGAAATCCGACTTTATTTAAAAAGGATATTGGCACAGAAATCCTGATTTTTTGACATTTTCACGTAAAACCATTTTACGATATTTGACAGGGGTAACATCATAAAATTGTTGAAAAAAATATTTATTTAAAACTTAAATGCAGTTGTTTAGAGAATCAAATTACAAATTTTTACAAGCATACCACTTCAAAATCGGACTAGATTCGGCAAAATTATGGACATAGATATACTGATTCTATTCCATTTTTACATAAAGCCATTTATTTATTTATAAAGACATCGGAGAAATCGAGAAAAATATTTTTCAAAATTTATATGAGCTCTGTAGGATTTTAAATTTAATTAAAATTGTTTGCCGTCAGTGCCAGCTGCATCGCCTGGACAGGAAGGGGCATGGAGTTTAAGCTGATCGAGCCGGAGGAGGTGGCCCGTCGCTGGGGCCTGCAGAAGAACCGGCCGGCAATGAACTACGACAAGTTGTCCCGCAGCCTGCGCTACTACTACGAGAAGGGCATCATGCAGAAGGTGAACGGCGAGCGGTACGTCTATCGGTTCGTCTGCGATCCGGACGCCCTCTTCAACATGGCCTACGGTCACCTGACCACCGGATCGGGAGCCGGATCAGGGAAGGGGGAGCAGCACCAGTTGACCCTGTCGCTGGCCAAGACGCCTCCAACTTCCGGCGAGTCGCAGACGCAATCCCCTCGCGTGGCCAAGTCGGAGTACTACGATGCCGCCGGGTTGCATAAATATTAGCTATGTGTGTCCAAGTCTGTGTGTATCCATATGTGGGCGGAGCGTGGGAATGCGGCCGAGTGGGCGTGGCCGGGTCCCGTGTACATTGTGTAATCTAGTTGCGTGTGTATGTGCGTGGGGTCACGAATTTGAAATGAAGGTTTCGTTATGATGAGCTGACTTACGGAAAAGTTTGTTATTAGGATTTTACTTTGGAGAAGATAATACACTCCAAATAAACCTATTTGTTCCACTTTATAAATAATACATTATTCAAGGAAGTTCAACAAGATGTTTTCATACTGTTTTATTTGTTCATAATTAGATTGTCAAACATTTTAAGTTTCCGTGCCCTTCTCTTGTTTATTTGCCTGACTTTACCAAACATATTTATTGATCCCAAGAACGAGGCTCATCAGAACGACATAAACGAATAGTTATATACGATATTTACATATAGCCTACACGCCTATGTAACACATACATTTATCTGTGTATATAGAGGAGGATCTGAAAACAACTATGTGTCCACCATTAATCGTAGTCTGCGTTGAGGTTGAGTTACTTAAATAAACTATTAGCACTGTCTCCGTTCTCAAAGCAGATTTAATTTGGACTATTGATTAAATATAATCCTTTAATGTCAAATTAGATTTGATTTGAAAGCGAAGACAGGACTAAATGAACCGTTTCTGTTCGTTAATCAAATGGCAGCAATGTTGTTTTAATAGAAAGTTCCTCACTCCTCCTTCTTCTTTTTCTTCTTGGGCTTGTCCTCCTCATCGGAATCCTGGGCAGAACTACTGGAGCTGTTGGCACTGCTGCTGCTCTCCTGTTTCCGCTTCTCCGGGGTCTTCTTGGCCAGCTTTTCGATGTATTGTTTCAGCTTATCCGGCTGCGGACTGTACGCCCAGTGGATCAACTGCAGGTGGAGATCGGTGGGTGCTCCGGACTCCGCGTCGAAGAGCTTGGCCTCCTCGCTCTTGATCTGCTCCAGCAACTTGGCCAACTGGCGATTGCGGACGATGTCCCAACTGGTCTTGTCATCCGCCTTGGGGAACATGGTCCGCAGGTGCTTGTAGTTTCCCTTGGCCTTGGATCCTCCGTAGGCTTCCAGGAACTCGCTGGCCAGTTCATCCTTGGACTCCGGCAGCTTGTCCACAACTGCGAGTGGCAAATAGGCACGATTGTCTTTGATCTTGTTTTCAGCCTCGAACTTCTCCAGGAAATCCTCCAGCACTTGGACGCCCTCTTTGATCGCCTTGATCTTGTCCTCGTTCTTGGTTCCGGAAAGCACGCGTTTGGAGCTGCCAATCAAACCCTTGATGGCCAACCTCTGGTAATCCGGGTCACGCTCCGCCAAAATGCTGCAGCAAGAGATGCATATATAATTATTTTGGATACAGGCAAACTGAGGAATGTGCTGATATATACTTGTAAATATTAGGGTGGATCGGTATTCAAAATTCAGCAATAAACAATGACTAATAATTGAGAGTAAAATACACATTTCAAATGAAGATATTTGCAAACAAACTACCAATATTGTTTATAAATTGATTTTGTAAATATTTTAAGCTTATTGCTTACAAATATTTAAAGAAAAGATGTAAACTCCAGAGATCTAAGTTAATGTATTACTAAAAAATTCTCTATTAGGAATGAGAAGTCCAGACTTGAGATCAAATTAAGTTAATCAAATCCCTAAGATGCTGGTTTTTATCCCATGACTTAATCTAATCGATCCACCCTAAAATACGTATTAGCATGCGGAGAACACCAAATAGGAAGAGCGCAGTGGCCGCTCTATCAACTTAATGAGACTTCCGAGTTCGACACTCTAAAACTGTGCCATGACATCATTTGACGTCGCAGCGGTTGCCTGGGCTGAAGGTCTCCGGCCGAGTGGAATGCCAGCGGGGATGACTTACCTCAGCGTGGCCTCCGCAGCCGCCTTGTCCTTGAAGCCGAGTCCTGGCACCGTCTCCACCTTGTCCTCGCTGTCGGTCTTGACATTCTTGCTCGATGCGCCGCCGCCGTTCTCCTCCAGCCACTTCTCAAAGACTCCGATGGCCTCGTTGATGTTCTTCAGCTTCTCCTCCGCTTTGGTCACTGAGGATCAAAGGAGGCGATTGGAATAAAGAAAATCTCCCCAGACATTATCACTTACTTGATAGAACTCGCTTTGCCCTGCCGAGCAATCCACGCACAGTCAACTTGCGGTACTGCATGTCGTGGCTCTCCAGCAACTTCAGCGTTTCCAGCGCCTTCTCCATGTCCTTGAAGCCAAACTTCGATTCACCCTCCGCCGACATGATTGCTCCTTTGGTGGCTAATACTTGGTTATACTTGGATATATCTGATTAAGAGCGTCTGCTGTGTGCAAGCGCCAGACTACGACTAATTTTGGACAGCCCGAGTTCCGAACTCGATGCCAGATGGAATTTAATTATAGGAAGGCGAGAAAGAGCGCCACTGAGAGGCGCTGAGCACCGCTGAGCAGCCCAATTAGATAAGCACCACAAAATAAATGGGTGACTCTATGCTTGGGAACCGGTTTGTTGTCGTATCGGAGGAGCAAAACAAAACCCACGAAAAATAAACGCAATATCGTTGCCATGACGTCACCGGTGCGAGAAATTGATAACAAACAACATATGCGAACACAGGGGCGTACATATAAGAAACATGGAAGGGGGTTAATTATTCTGAAAACATTTAAGTCTGACATGAACAGGGGTCAAACAATAAACCTTCAAAAAACAGTTCGATTAGAAATTCCATTGCAATCGTTTAGAGGTAAGTCACTTTGGAATCAGATTAAAATTGGAGGAGTTATGAAGCCTGGAGCTTCAGAACTAAATTTAAAAATAGTGGACACATCCAATTAGTTATCAATACTATAATATAAAGAAAAAAAAAGCCTTTAGTCTTAACATAATTTATTGGCATAACCAAAAGCACAACCCCTGCCTCCAATCAATACAGATTACTTTTGTGTAATTTGTTTCTGTTGTATTTTAACATGGAACTTGAATCGCTTTGGGCTTAGAGGATTTCTATTGGCTAGTTGCAGCTGCGTCGTATCTGGAGCACATCGTCCACCATGAAGTTGCGCAGGTGGCACAGTGCCTGCACCACGTTGTTCTGGTCGCGCAGATTCGGTCCGATCCACTGTTCCGGAAGCGGTGCCTTGGCCACCACTTGGGCCGGGGTGACGTGCGTCAGCGCCCGCCGCCAGTTGTTGTTGCAGGTGGCCACGTTCAGGTGGCTGCCCGTCTGCAGGCTCTCGATGTACTTGATGTACGCCTCCGAGTGGATGACGCGCGTGGTGCGCGGCGGCACTGTGACGAAGAGCGGTTCCGGCGGCGGACCGAGGACGATCGTCTGCTGCTGCATCTGCTGCTGGTGGACGTTCTGCTGCTGCTGCTGCAGCTGCACGGCCTCCAAGTTGTTCGAACCACGGGGCGATTGCGCGAGACCTGGCGGAATGGGCACCATTGTGGCCAGTTGTTGGTGCTTCTGGCGACGCGGCACGAAGTTCTTGCTGCGGTCGCACACCGCCACCTGTTTGCCGCACTTGCTCAGATGCACCTCCCGCACGTGCTTGATGAGTCGCAGTACGTTGGGAAAGGCCTGGACTGACTTCTTTATCCGTGGGCAATTGCGCCACAGGCAGACGTACTCCAGCTCCATGCCCGCCTGAGGATGGCGCTGAATGTGTCCGGTGGCATCGGACATGCAGTGCTCTGTGCAGTCGCCCAGCTCCTCGAACTGGAAGTCGCACTTGTCCCACTGACACTCGAAGGTGAGCACCTGCCCGGTGGCATCCTGCGACACTTGCGGCGAGGGACTCGCGCTATTGTGGGTGTCGTCCAACTCGCGGCGCATGGCCGCCGTCTCCTCGTTCTGCCGGCTGGCCCGATCCTCCCAGCTTTGCTTCACGCTGGAGGGGAGATTCTTCCACTCGGTGCCCACCATGCGGGAAATGTCGCCGAAGGAGGCCTCCGGGTTGCTCTGGCAAATGCCTAGAAAATAAAATTTTAATTTTAGCATTGAACTCTTTACTTTGCAGTTAAATACAACTTACTTTTTCGCACTTCACTGGAGTAGAGAATGTAGCCGGTAAGGCACTTCTTGGCCGACTTGGCGGCCTTCATCTTCGACGTCAGTGGCGTGGAGTTCACAGAAGGAGCGGGAGAAGACATTGGTGCAATGTCTGAGCTGAGCGACGGCGTATCCCCATCCATGGAGTCCTCCAGCATGCCCAATTCGTTAATCTCGCTCTTAACATCCTTTGAGGGCTTAATCGGAGTCTTGAAGTAGAAGATCTCGTCCTCGGTGACGGCGGAACTGTGATGGAACTTGCGCAGGTTGCCGGAGACCAGCTTGCGGAGAGCCTTCTTCATCTCATCGTAGACGGACTCGCAGATGTAGACATCGCTCTCAGAAATCTCGGTGGGCCGCGAGCTAATAAATTCCGAGTACTCGAGGACGGCGCAGCGACCCACAATGCCCACCACCGGACTGACTTCCTCGACGGTGCTCAGCAGCAGCTCTTGCCGATAGAATTGCTTGCCCAGACCGGGAGTCGTCTCACTTGGCGGCAGAAGCCAAGGGCCCTTGAAGTATGACTTTCCGTTCTCCTCCCAAATCTGCTGCACTTGGGCCACCGACTGCTTTCCGGTTTGCGTAGCCACATACACAAAGTCTCCCGTTTTGATGGCCCCGCTGCAAACCGTGTTGTACTGCTGGTAGTAGACGCAGCTGTTCTCAGCATTTGGCGGCGGATCACAGGACACATTCGGCTTCTCCTTTTCAACTAGGGTCTCCTGGAGCTTAAGCTCCTCCAGTTCGCCCTTGTGCTTCTCCAGCCGCTCCTTAAACACGGACATCACACGCTTCAGCTCCAATGGCTGCTCACGCGGAACAAACTTTACTGAGCTGCCCTCGCGCACAGGCGGCCAGTTCTTGAGTTTCTTGAAGCAGCGAGCCTGGATATTGTAGCGAGACTCGCAAACGAACACATCCTTCTCGGGCAGCTTTTCGGGACGCATTTTGATGTAGTCCTTGATGTTCATCACATAGCACATGCCCAGCACCTTGTCCATCGATATGGTCTGCGAGAGACTGCTCTTGAAAACCTCCTTCTCGAGGAACTTGCGAGTGGTCACGTGGTACGTTTCATGCGGACGCACAAAGATCGAGGCCTGCATTAGTTTTTCGTTCGTGGGCGATGTCCACAGGCGTTCGATGCAGGCTATCGATGGGATCTTGTTCTCCGGCATCTGCACATACACATAATCGCCGGGTGAGAACACCTGCTGGTTTATTGTCATGCTTTCGCCCTTAGCAGCGTTGAACTCATCTTTATCCTTTTCCTGCTCCTGGTCCTGTTCCTCCTGTTGCAGCTTTTGCTGCCGACTCACCTCCACGTCGGCCAGGAGGCGCTCTAGCGTGAAATTGAGAGCGGGTGAGCTTAGGGTGTCCTTGCAAAGCTCGTCGCGCTTGCGGATGAAGTAAGTCTGCAACTCAATGGAGTCCTGAAGGAATATTTGTAATATTAAGAAATATCTCATAAATATTTAAAATGGTTACCCACCTGAAATACATCGGAATCCGTGCGCGACAACTTCCTTGCCCTCTCCAAGCAGGCAAATATGTCCTCCTGGTAGACGTCCAGTCGCTTGTAAGCTCCCTTATCCAACCTGCGCTTCACAAGATCCAGCGATATGCCGCGCATCTTGGGCCCTTCGCCCAGCTCATCGTACTCCGGCAGTTCGGCCAGGGAATCGGAGTAGCAGCGACCCTCCTCGTCCTGGTGGTTGTACAGAGTGGTGAACAAAGTGAGGAACAGCTCCTGTACGGCCAGCGGAACATCCGGAAGCGAGTCTCGCTCCGTGCGCAGTTGCTGCTTCAGCTGCAGTGTTAGCTGCTGCAGCATCAGCGCATCCTTGTAGATCTGCGAGTCCGGCTCGTTGTACTTGCAGGCATTCTCTAGCATCAGGAGGAAATCCGCAGCCAAGTCATCCAAGCTCTCGTAAACGCCCTGTTTCAGTTTCTGGGCAATGCGCTCCATGTCTATCGGCTCCTTAATGATGTCGTAGTAGTCCGGATACTCGCTCTTCGACGGCAGCTTGGTAAAGATAAGCGAAAGCTGCCTCTTGCCCTTCGGCTCCTGGTACTCCCGCACTGTGCTGTAGAACTGCCACAGGCGCTCCGTAATCAGAGCGGTTTTCAGCTTCCTGCCCACCTTGCTGTACTTCTGCTGCTGCTTTTTGACCTCCGAAAGACCCGGAAACTCCTTGAGTTTTTCGTTCAGTGCTCGTTCCAGGATGTTGGCATCCTCGTATATGTTGGAGCCTTCCTCATTGTATTGCCGGCAATTGGAAAACATGAGGCGATAGTCGGAAACCACATCTTCCACGGCGGCATAGCGATCGGTTCGAATGTTGTGCTCAATTGTGTTCATGTCAATGGGATTCTGGATGATGTCGTAATAGTCTGGATAAACCTTTCGTGGCGGCTTCTCCATGAACATCTCGATGGGCCGACGATTACCCAAAGAGTAGTCCACTAGGTATTTCTGTATGCTCAGGATCTTCTTCTTAATGGCCGCATTGATGGCAATGCGATTGTTCTTCGGTGAATTCGAGTTGTTCGGCGTGTGAGAAGAGTTGGAGTTGGAATTAATGCGCGGTCGGCCTGGCTTGCGTCTCTCCGGCTGTGAGCTTATAAACACCTCGGCGTCAATATCGTCGGCGTCTTCCTCATCCAGATCGCTCGTCTCCACGAGGGATTCCTCCACTAGTTTCGCGTTCATTAACTTCAGCATTTTCAACGCATCCTTGTGCGTGCGATGGCTTGGCGGAAACGCCTTCTTGGCGTTGTCCAACATGAGATACAGGTCGGCGGTGAGATCACTGATGTTCGCATAGTCGCCCTTTTTCAGCTTCGTGTGGACTTGGCTCATCGAGATGGGGCGTTTGATCAGCTCAAAGTATTCTGGGTGGAATCGGCGCACAGGCAGTTTCCATAGTGAGTTCCCCAAGGGAGGACCAGTGACTCCCGGATGCTCGGAAGTTCCCGGTGCGTTGTACAGGTGATCGAAAAGCGCCCACATGGGACCCTCTCCCTTCTTGCTGGTTTCCTCGTCGTCGGAGCTGTCCACCTCTTCTTTTAGCGCTAAAAACAACAAGAACGGACATCTGGTTACATCTGAAAAAATCATATATTCTTTTTAAGACCCTCACCAGCAATTGCCGAACTGGACAGGCTTTTGATTCGCTTGGCCATCTTTCCCTTGCCCGTCTCCAGCTCGATACGCCGCTGCGTAAAGATGCGTTTCAGGGCCTTGGCGTCCTTGTATATCTGCGAACCGGGTTCGTTGAACAGGCACGCGTTCTTTGTCATCTGCAGCAGATCCCGCTCCATCTCCACCAACGAGGAGTAGGCGTTCATTTGGATTTTGGTAGCAATCAGACGCAGATCAATCGGATGCTCGATCACATCGTAGTAGTCGGGGTAGATCTTCTTCGAGGGCAGCAACTGGAACATGCGGTGCATGGCCCGGTCGCCTACGGGATCGGTGGCGGTCATAATGGAGGCAAACAGCTCCTCGTACGGGTTGTACTCGTCATCGCCGGCACCATCGCCGCCGGGTTCCGTGCTGCTGGTCATCCGGCGCACCTGTCGCGACATGCGCCTGGCACGCGGCTCTTCCTCCGCCAAGCCATTGGCCTCCATGATACGCTGCCTCTGCGCCTGGATATGCTGCCACAAAGAGACGGCATCCTGATACTCGCAGCTGTCTGGTTTGTAAAATGCCTTGGCATTTCCGATAAGCAGCTCCAGATCGGCCATCAGGTCGTCCAGATCGTCGTACGAATCCGTTTTCAGTTTCTGCTGCACCTTGAGCAGATCGATGGGATTCACTACTACGTCATAGTAGGATGGCTCCTGGCGGCGTTTTGGAGCCCTGATGAAAGTGTCGCACAGCATCGAGCCATCCTCCTTCTTGATGTTTCGGATCGAATCGTACAGCTGCTGACAGAGTTCTGACGGATCGAGGCGCCGCTTTTTTCGCGCCGATTGTGTGGTCGTCTGCTGCACCGGCGACTGTTCCGGCGTCGAGTCGTCCAGCTGCAGTGGGTCCTCGTCCTGCCGGCTGGAGATGCTGCTCGCCCGGCGCTTGCGGCTCAGCATCTTGCTATCCCAGTGATTTGTTCAATTAAAGTCAAAAAATAAGACAATAAGACGCCACCACACAAAAAATGCCACAAAAATGTTCTAGAGATGTGAGAAAAACTACTGGTGGACAAAAAGTGCGATAAAAGCCAGGAGATATATCGGCCGATGGCCTATCACTAGTGTGGTGAGTTATCGAAATCGAATTGGGAGCCTTTGACAGTGGTAAAAAAGCAATTTAAATATTTATGCATTGAAACCATAAATGCTTGACAAATATAAAACTCAAACTTTTAAACTATGGTTTTTAGCTTAATTAATCTTTTATTTATTAAATCACAGAATAAACGTAGTGGGTCTCCCATATATTGGAAGTTTCTTCTCAAAACTGAGACATTTAAGCCAATAGGAACAGCGACGTCAGGCTGAAATAGAAGTAAAATTATATGAATTTTTAAAAAACAAAAACACTGCGGAAGCTCGTTAATAAAAAGCCATGAGATGTCGATTAATTTAGTAAAATGCTTTGTTTATTATATTTTATCACATAAGTTTTAGACGCTTGTAAGTGTGATTGTGTGAATATTGGGTTACAGTTTTGAGTATGCAGTAAAATGAAATGACGGCGCCTCAGTCGATGCGCTACTTAAGGAACATTGTTAAAATCTCTTAAAATTAACTCAAAACTACATGGATAAATAGCATAGAAACATGTATGAAATGGAATTCAACACTCGACTCTGTACGACAGGAGATTTGGTGAAATACACGAAATTTAGCCTACGTCTACTGCAAACGGTTGACTGTGGCTAACGCTGTTCTATAACATTCTCTATTTACAGGGTAATTATTGACGATATACTTGCGAGTACATATATCTTGGTACACAAGTGCCGACACGGTGATATGCGGTCCCATTTCAGGACTCTGTATAGAGTACAACAGTTAAGCACAACAGTGAACAGCTCAACATTTAAATATTAGTATCAGTTCTGCACAACTAAAGGTGATCATATAACATATGTAAAGGTATATTATATAGTTTCAGCTGCCATCTCCCATGTTTCTCTTATTCCTCAACAGTTCATTTCGTTTGCCTTGCGACTAGCGGTGGTATTGCGACTGCGCTTACGACTAAGATTACGATACTTTGTATAGAAACTAGTTAGGCTCTTCAGCGGCGACTCGACAAGGCGTCGCACCAGGTGGCGGTGGACGAAGAACGCGTTGTCGTGTCGCTTGCGCCAATATCAGTTGATGAAGCTCATGTAGTTAGTAAAGAGCACATAGTTCTCCACTAACCGGGCACGAAGCTCCCGGCGCACGGTGGCCGTAAACTTGTTGGCCAGACAGAGGGCCGTGGTGGTGCCGAAGACCAGGTTGTAGAGCAGCACAATCTGGAAGTTGCCCAGCCACTCGATGGCCCCAAAGTCACCCAGCAGGTCAAAGTTGGTGATGCCTGAAAGCGAACACAATATCTGTATTAAAATATTCTCCTCATTAGTTGTATGCTGATATGTTTACCTATGATCCTGCTGAGCAAGGGCAGCGCCGAGGACAAAACCAGCATGAAGCCACAGTTCAGCATTAGCTGTGGCAGCGATGTCTGGCGCCGCTTGGGGCAGACATTCCGCATAAACGGCATGCTGTAGAAGCCCACCACCGAGGTGGCTCCCAAGTAGAAGATGAGACACACCTCCAAGCCAGCGCCAAAGGGTCCCAGCTTCGAGAGCGACGAGATGCCCAGCGTAAATTGCTAAATGAAGGTAGTAAATTAGTAAATATATAAATTAACAAACTATTATAAACTTACCCTCGTACTTAGTGGAAGCGCCTTGATGCCGATAAGCAGCTCGAGGGTGTTTTGCACCACCAGCAGAATGGTGACGCCTGTGCAGAAGAGCAGCAGCAGCATCGCCAGCGGATAGACGAAGGTGCGCTGGAAGGTGCTCGACTTGCGCAACTTGTCCAGCTCCTTGCGCTCGGAGTCCAGTTCTCTCAGTCTTTCGTTCAGCTCGCCCACATCGCTGGCCATCGCCTTGCGCTGGTAGAGATGTGCCTGCGACTGCTGCAGCAGGGGTTGTGGCAAGAACGTGCGTCCACGACCCGCTCCGATACCGTTGCGACCGCCGTTGGCGGCATCCGAGATGCTCACGTTGTGCAGCTCGATGTGGGCCAGCTTCCGCTTGACGCTCGCCTCCTCCATGTAGAAGGCGCTGAACTCCTCGTTGACGTCGCGCAGCAGCATTGGTCGCACCAGCACCTGATTGACGACGCCAAACAAACGCACAAAACCGTAGGGGGTGCAAACTGAAAGAAAACAAGAGGGTTGTCTAGGTTACCACACTGGCAAAAGGTTCTTAATACAAGTTAACTACCTAAAGCATTACTATAATTTAATGAACTCAATGTTTTCTTCCCTGTGTACCAAACAAAACATAGGTTTCCATGACATTCTAACAGGCCTGGAAATTCTAGACAAATCTAAGCAGTTCCAAACATTTAAACTAGCCAGTAACAAAAATATATTCGAACCCTTCAGAACCCCAAAATGGCAAACGAAGAAGGTAAAGATGTGGCCCAGCTAAAGGCTACTCTTGCGAACTGCAATTTGAATCCTAAGGATGGGGATGATTTTTCCGAGTTTGAGGCCACTCTTGCAAAGATTGAAGATATATTAAACAGCAAAGGTCCCATTGAGGACGATTCAGAGGCAACAAAAGGGGCAGATGGAGGTGCCAAGGAGAAGAACTTTGACAACCTGGACGTGGACAAGGTGCGTCTCAAGGTGCGTCAAAATCGCACGCTCATCAACAAGAAATCCATGGAAGAGGATAATGCGAAGCAGGCCAAGACCATGGACCAGCAGAGCTTCATGGAGCAGGTGGAACGCGATGCTAACGATCGCGCCGAAGCGCGGGCTAAAGCCGAATACGAGGCAGAAGTGCAGAGAAGGTAAGAAAGGGATGTAATTTAAAGAATATAATTCACTAAGACCCTTTTGCAGCCAGGGAAACGAAGCATTTCGCTCTGAAAAATACGAGAAGGCAATTCTGCATTACGACAAGGCCATAATTAAAGTTAAGGATAGCGCCATATCATATTGCAACCGAGCTTTGTGCTATATCAAGTGAGTTATACAGACTTTTGTCAGCTATTCTAAAGATCTATTCTTTTAATTTAATCTGCACTACATTTAAAAACTTTTCGGGAAATATAAAGCAAGTTTGACGATAGATTTCTTTCTAATTATACTTAAATATTTTCCAGACTCAAAAACTACAAGCGTGCCCTTCGCGACTGTGACTACGTGTTGGAGAAGCTGAACGAGAAGAATCTGCGTGCCTTGCTGTACCGGGCGAATGTCTATAAGCGTTTGGGCCAGAGCGACAAGTTCGAGGAGAGCGTGGCCAAGGCACGTGAGCATAATCCCCACCAGCTGGCCTACATCGACAAGTTCGTCAAGCAGTTGGAAGCGGAGGCTTAAGCCCTTATTACTAGTTTAGTTTATTTGTGCATATTGTACTCACTCAGCATAAGCATCACGCCCAGAAAAGAGACACACGAATAAAGGAACGGCAGGTGAACACTGCCCAAATCTGTGGAGCGTGAAAAGCGGAAATTAGCAATGCATTGTGCACCCAGAACCAATCCCGATTTGGGGATGGGCTTGTCACGGGCGCGGATTCGCAATTGACATTGATGTCGATCTGTTCCGCACCCGTGTATTTCCATATACTCGTATACTCACTTAGGAACCAAAAGAATTGGAACTTCTCAATGCCAAAAACTGCACTTAGAACGGCTGTTAGTACCAAGACAATAATGGCCATCAGCATGAATACTGTAAAGGTTTCGTAGACGCGCGGCAGAATGCCCTTTTTCTGACCCACGAATCCCGTGGACTCGGAGAACAAATAAACAAATGGCAGGAAGATGAACAGCGACAGATTGGAGAACAAAAACACATGGTTCCACAGGCCTGCAAAGAGAGAAATGTATGCGTTAGTTGGAGTTCATTGAAAGTAGGGGAAATTAGCTAGTTATTATCAAGAATATACATACGTACAGGAAACAAAGCACTTCGAAAGATTTAATTTTAAAAGTATATTCCTTTAACAAAAAGTGGTTCCCCTCTCAGTTTCAATGGCGTATTCTTGATGTTTGCCATGATTATCCCCTTGACTTGTACTTACCCTGTATAAGTGAGCTGTTGAGCCACTTCACATAGTAGCTGTTGGGATACAAGAGCAGCACCTCGTTGCTGGCGATGGAAACGGGTAGCAACATGGCAGCCCCTTCGGCCACGGCCAGTGTGAATGTGCATAGCCAAAAGCTGTGAGAAAGAAAAAACATTTAATACAAACACAACCATTTGTTACTGCGAATGCAACTCGAGTGACTCGGCAATTAGCGGCACAGGTTGTTGACCACTGGATGCCTTACCTTATGCGATACACCAGCACCTCGTCCTCGTCATTCGAATAGAGATCGTCACGATCTCGCCGCCGAAAACGTGAAACAACCACATATGAGCTGAAGTACAGCAAGATGATCAGTAGCAGAAATATCTGAAATAACAATTAAACTTAAGTAAAAAATAATCTTTTCATTGCAATCAGAGATTTTATCCGAAAAGTAATCTCTAAGTACCAAATGAACACCTGCAATTTATTGTTACTCTGTGGTTTTCCCCAGTAACTTGCGGTTGGGATGTGTGCCAGCATGCATTTGTTTTTATTGAAAAGTTTGCTTTATTTCCTCTGACACCTGCTACTTTTTATTAGAAAACCCCTCCTTTACTTAGCTGTTCCAAGAAAATTACGTAAAACCAATGTAAATAGAGACTTTGTCTTAAAAAAGCTTTTAATTCTATAGCATAAACTTCTTATTTGATAAATATGTACGTATTTGCACACCTGCAAATTTTGTTTGATTCTATTGTATTCATTTCCTCTCATTTACTTGTGTTTAAATAAATGTCAAAAAGTAAACATAGACACCCACGCATTTCTTCTGTTTTGTTTTATAAATATTTGTCGTTCTGTTTACCACCAACTGTGTGCACATTAGTCAAATACATTTTCAGCAGAGTAAATTTAGAAAAATCTTCATTAATCTGGGCGAGTAATATAATAATTGTTGCTGCTACAAATACATTTTTAAATTGGGTGTCAAAGTCTGGGATTTCGAGTGTCTCAGGGTCTAATCTCCGAAAGTATTGCCACAATGATTGGGAACTATTCTGAATGGAAGGCAAGGGTACATACATATGTTTTCGATTTCCGGTTAAGTTTATTTTTAAAATAAGTTATAGCAAGCTGTTAGCTTTTCACGTAGAAGACCAAAAGTTTCCGTGGTTAACCACCACCATAAAGAAACAATCGATGATTAATTATGACCGCCAATTAAGACAATATACAAAGCTACTTTTCGTCTGCGAGCAAAGGTCAAATAGAAAGCTTATCAGTGGCCGACGACAAACCCGAAACATTTGATAAGAGCTAAACCGATAGCGGTCATTTAAGCCCAGTGAATGTCAGCCCATCGATTATCCGCAGGCTGAAACTCGAGTAGGGCCGAAATCTGAATCTGCGTCTGCGATTTAGCAAACATTGGACCCCCGAACTGCTGGTCATCCATTATTTACGGCCACGAATTAGATGCCAATCATACGGCACACGTCATATTTGCTATTCGCTATTGTGGGTATGCGAAAGTCGAAAACAAAACAAAGCGTAGATAGATAGTCGCACACAAGACTGACTAGGCACACAAATAAATCATTAACGAAAGATACTTTTCATGTTTTGGCTAGCAAAAAAAAGTAGAAAATTCGCAGGGAGAAAAAATTAATTAATTTATACTCACGTCTGTGCATTGTTTTGCTATTTTTTGTTTGTTTTTCGAGATATTTTCAGCGATGTTCCCTTGCGTTATACAACCCGGGTTTCAATTAACTTTTAACTTCATTCTGCCTGCCTTTGATCCAATCAATTAACTTAAATTAACTTCAATTATTCGCATTTCGGGACTTCAATCTAGCATCTTGCCATTTTAAGTGGCCTTCTCGGAGCTCTAGATATTCTACAGCCAATATTTAAACAGTCTGCCTTGCTAGTCGACAAAAAATATGGTCAAATATTTGAAAATGAAATACAGAGACGCAAATCGCTTGCTATCAACTGTGTGCCTTGTTTATTAATAGAAACCAAGTGTAGATCATGGAAAAATGTATATACACTTCAAGTCAAAACTATAAAATTATGGGACAACTGATTGTAAAATCCAATGTGGGTAAAATTATATAAATAATTTTACAGAAAAAATGTGGTCACCTGTGATAGTTTTACCAGAGGCTGTCTTGTTATAAGGTCATCTTTTAGTTATGAAACGCACTGCATTTATAGACCGTGACGTGTTGAACTTTGAACACGTAGGCGACGAATACCAAGTGATATGGGCACCTCTCCCGCTGAGCATTTATAGTACACATAGAAAGCATTCCTCAATGAAAGCAAAGTGAGCCAGCGATCTTCAAGCTTAGTTTAGTGGTTATCAGCCGGGAAAACGTGCAAGTGCAGTGTGCAACAAGCCGCATTTGTCACGCTCCAAGCGATTTGGCCAAACTAAACGATTTCTTGCCTCGAAATTAGCTGCACTGCGATCGTAGGCGAACATCGAGTCAATGACTTGACATGAACTCACAAGGGGAACCCAACTCACGCCCCCCTTTAAATGTAGACGGCGAATTGGCTATAAATAGGCAGCAACGCCCAAAGTGCAGCCAGAAAAAGGCGAAAACGGCGACATCGTGGCCAAGACAAGGAGGCAGAATTGCCAGTCTGACGGGTTTTGGCTTGTTTTGTAGACAACTTTGCCGGTGAATGGGCTACGATATATTTATACTTTTCTCGTACCCAACAGTTGTACCGTGCCGGGGTATATTGTATGTATATAATGCAACTTAGTTAGTATTGACTTTCTGATAAACCCTGTTTTGTATGGCTCGTTCGTATTATTTAATACAACTGATATGTCACTATTTTTAATTTTAAGAATTCCTACTCTTCTCGAAACTCAATGCTAAAGCAAAAAACACTTCAGCTAGAAGATATGAGTCGCCCCCAATTGTTTTAATTACTACAGTGGAATGTGTTATGTAATATAGGCGTTGGTAATAGGGGAATTGCATTTACGATCCACTTGACTTTATTTTTGGAATTAAATACAGTTCTTTTTTAAGCTGTTTCTTGTTATCAGACATTCTGGGTATCAAAATGTTCAACCAGAACGCACTAGTTAAACAAGTCTTAATGTTACACAACCATTCTCCCATTTCCCCAAGTGTTTTCCCCAGTTTAAAGTCGCAACAACGGCTGGAAGTAGTGGTTTCAATTCGGGTTTGGCTTTAGATTCCTGCATTATTTATGAGTGCCTTGGCTTGCTTACATTTATTCATTATTTGGATTCGCATTGGGCGGTTCCCGAACGACACGTACTCGGAGGTTGACCCACATTCGGCGACGAATTATTCAATTTTCGGGGATTCGTTGCAACAAGAACCAATGATAAAAACCGGTTTTTACTTCCTGAATTATGTCAAACCTGCTCTACAGTTGAAGGGACCCTTCTTCTGAATAAAATAAATGTGTATTTATAGAGTTGAAAGTCATCTGTGGCATAAAAACAATCCGCATTTGTATTGTACCTATGCAAGTTTGTTTAAACAATTTCTAATGTATTCAACGCCTTGTCTGGCATTGTTTTAACAAAATCCAACAGCTGGTCACGACAGCAGACACTTTCAAAGCGCCAGACGGAACGAAATCGTGACCACTAGCCGTGCACTTGAAATTTGGTCCGCAAGTGTTGGTATTCAACCGAAATTTCACAAAAGGAAATTAATGCCTTGCGCAATCCTAATAAACATCTGTTTTAATATGTTGCAGTCCGTTGTATACGTAAATCTATGGTTTTGTTATTTTACGCCCAAAATTTCTATAAATAGTAGCTCGAGGAAAACACTTTCACTTGTTGCTTTTGCCTTTTGTCTTTTAACCGTTTAATTTTGATTTGCATTGCAAGTTCTGCCAGCTGAAGTAGAGTAAAATATTAACCCTAACAGAATTTATATCAATTGAATAGAGGAAGTTGTTTATCTTATTATTTCGTTTGAGATCTAGAAGGCCCTTTTTTAACTTTAAGAAAACCGTGAACCTAGAATTAACTTCTAAGAAAAAGAAAATGTTATGTTATGAAATACTTTTTAAAAAGGTTAAAAGTATTGTTACATTACATTATTAATTATAAAACAAATCGAAGTAAGGTGCTTTGAATTGCATTACTCATTATCACATTTAAGCTAATTGTGGCACCATTTAATAACGGACATAATCAATAAGAGGAACAATAATTGTCAATTAATTGGGTTATATAATTGTTTATTTCAAACACCGTATATCCATGCAATAAAATTATCCATTTATTTTACCAAGTATCGATCAGTCGAATCTTCGATTATGTTTAAACTTTCTGATTAACAACAGGTGTCCGTGTGGGTATCTTTTCGTGTGTCTGCGTGATAATTTTCGCAGCCCAAATAGAAAGTGCAAGAAGAGAGTGGCTGGTTCGCTATCGCCACTACTGCCACTTCCTCCCCCAATAATCGCCCATACAAAAATATATACAAAGCCAAAACGCAGGCGCTAAAAACGCTGACCAATGTGTTTCAAGTCCCGATAAGAAACCATAAACAAATAAATTTCAGTGGACGTACCAACTGATTTCTGTTTATCAAAAGGCAAACTGTGTGTAAGTCAATACGTCATTTTATAACTCATACGCACTTACACCCCGCACCACATGTACAGTTAGAACAACAAAAACAACAAAAAGGGCAGCTGCGCCCTGATTTGTTGTTGTTATTCAGTAGTTGGGGTGGAAAGAGGATAAAGGTAAAAACAACTTACAATGTGCTCGCGTACTGTATTGTGGAACAATTGCAGCTTCAGATCCGTGACCTCCTCCTCCTCCTCCTCGTCCATGGCCACAAAAAATGTGGACAGTTTATCGCTGGTAGCCAGTTTTCTTTGTTTTTTTACTAATAGCTCGTCTCACTTAAAAATTTAACATATATTTTTGACAGGCGCCTGGCTAGGGGGAATTGAAAATTCCTATGGGCAGCTCGAAGTCTCCTCGAAGTTCTTTTGTTTCGGCACTTCAGGTGGATTTTCCTGAATTAAGATCTTTGTGGCGCTACAAAGCCATATTTCACACTATAATTATGATTAACTTAGTAAGCTATTTGCTGCCGCATTTCGTCCCGTCCCGATTTGCACTAGCCACAACTTTACTCTCGTTATTCGCGCCGACTTGCGTCCGAAACGTTAAAAAATTTCTATAAACTGAGCGTCAGAGTGACCGCTTGCTCTAGTGGTGGCAAAAACTGCTAAGTATCGATAGATATCGACGTTTAGTAAAAATGTAAAGATCTGTAAACAAATATGATGTAGACTAACGCAAAATATTGAAATTATTAATTAACTTAATGCCTAGTTCAACGTTATTCCTCTTCTAAAAATGTTGTCTTAAAAATATTGTCAAGAAAACGACAGCCTTATAACATATCATAAAAATACTGGTCTGCAAGCTGGCAGCTCTGTCCTCATCAGCTGTTAGCATCCAAAAATGTCCAACTTACGGCGCGAGGTAAATGTTATTAAAAACCATAAGTTTATTGGTAATAACTTCCGTTTGCAGGTGCTAAGTACTTTTAAGAAGCTCCATCGGACACGACAGTATGTGTTTCAAGGCGATGCGAACGCTTTAGCGGCAGGACGACTAAAAATCAATGAATCTTTCCTGCAGAACCGCAACGAAACCAACGAGGATGAGATTCAAAAGGTTTGAACTGATTTTTTGTATTGCAATGCCTCTTACATATTATTAATTTGCAGATGATCAAACTGGCGCAGGATGTGGACTTGGAGCTGCGCACGAATGTGATCCAAGCCCAAAAGAAGGATGACGGTGTTTATGGTCAGTAGTGGGGCATGAGCATTACATAAACAGGCGCTTCAAACTTTATTTCCGGAATACTTTCTTACAGAGCTCAGAATTACGCCGGAGACGACGCGGCTGGACAATGTGGTCTTCAATCCCGATGCAGTGATCGAGAAACCTCGCAGGCGGCGTGGTGAAAAGAACACCGAAGGTTGCTGCGGCGGAGCTGCTATGGCGGCTTTGGAGTCCGAGGTCCAGGCCCGCAACAAATAAAAATTATGTATATTAATTAGCTCTAGTCAAAATGCTTTTGTTCTGATCAAGAATTTCGTTTATCTTTATTTCCTATGCTGTTTCCTTTTCGATTTGTGGCTTCTCTTTGACTTTACATTATTTTGTTTGGATTTCTTGCTCTTCTTGCGCTTGTTGCGCTCGTCCGATAAAGAGGAACTGTTACTAGTGGAGGAGGTGTCCTCGGAGCTATCTGAAGATGTTGTGTCCGATTCACTCTCGGACTCCGAGGAACTTTCACTGGAGTCTGAACTGCTGCTGGGTGCACGTTTTGATTTCTTTTTAACTTGTTTGGGCACAGAGAGATTACGCTTCCTCTCGGGACTTTTTCTTCGGCTTGAAATTTTATTCTGTCTATGATCATCGCGATCCCTCGATTTCTGTCTGTAAAATTTTATTTATGAGTTCAAAAATTACCAAATTTTATGGTTATTATAAATAACATACCTTCGTTCCGGAGATCTTTCTTGTTTTCTGATCGTGTCTCTATAAGAATTTGCTTTGCGTTTTCTGTCTTGGGGCGAGTTTACCCTTCTACGATCAAAGCCCTCCCTGGATCTGGAACGCCGTCTTTCATTTTGATCTCTTGGCCTAGAACGTCTTCTTTCGATTTGGTCTTTTGATCTAGACTGTGTTCTTTCCACTCGATCATTTGACCTAGAACGCCTTCTTTGTGCAAGATCTCTAGATCGCGAATTTCTCCTCTCGTGACGATCCCTTTGATTTCGTTCATTAAAGCGCCTTCGATCTAAGTTCTCCCTTGCTTGACTGTTGTTTGGATTTCTTGACCTCGAGCGTCGTCGCTCCCTTTGCTCCCTGGATCCCGATCGTCTTCGCACGTTCTTTTGGTCGTTACGATCATTGCGCTCCAAGTGACGGTGCTCCCTCGCCTTTCGTCGCTCCGCAGAACTCATTCTGCTTCTTGGATCCTCTGTCCTCCTGCGATCTTTGTTGTCGTCAGTTCCCCTGCCATTCTTGGGTTTTCTGCGATCGTTGTTGTCTCGCAAATTGTCAAAGTCCAGCTTTCCCTCGTCACCTACAACTCCACGTCCTTTGCCACGCCAGGTGACCTTGGAAACCGACTGCGAGAAGTCCACGTGGATGCGACGATCGTCGATAAGTACGTTGTCCATTTTAAAATAGGCTGCCTCACAGGACTTCTGGTCCTCAAACTCAACAAAGGCATACTGCAGTGAGTCGCCCGTTTTGCGGTCGCGAATCACCTCGCATCCTTTGACAACTCCAAAGCGGCTGAAAATGATCTCCAAATCGTCGTCGGTGGTAACAGGATTGAGTTTGCACACGAAGAGAACGTTTTCGGGCGGAGCCATGTCCGCATCCGGTAAATCGCCAACAATCTCGAGGATTGTTGCGCGCGCCTTGGCCTCTCGATCAGCCAGCATCTCTTGCAGCTCCTCCATGGTCATGCCGTCTGTGTCGTCAATGTCCTCGTCAGCAGCGATGCGTCCATTCTGGAGGCGCTCCGCACTGGGCGATGGCGAGCGACTGGGAGCCTGAAGGCCGCGAGGATTGGGAAAAGGATCTTCCAACACCACAGTGTGAGTGATCCGGATATCCTGGTACGGCCGGAAGCTGTCGTCCACAATGGCATCGTTCAGCTTGCGGAGCACCTCGTGACCTTCCACCACCTCACCAATGACGCAGTGGCACCCATCCAACGAGGACAGATTCTCGCCCAAAGTGAAGAAGAACTGCGAGCCCACTAGATTCTTGCCGGCACTGACTAGTGATAGCATCCCGGCACTAGAGTGGTTAATTTTAGGCAGATACTCAGCCTCGAAAAAGCGTTTCTGCGGCCCCTCCACAACGCCCCAAATCGAGGAGCCTCCGTCTCCACTGCCACTGGGATCACCTGTTTGGGCGATGAAGCCCTGCTGCACCGTGTGGAATAGGTTGAAGTTGTAGTATTTCAGCCGGCACAACTTCAGGAAGTTCAGACAGGCGATGGGGCGCTCGCTGGTGAACAGGTCGACGGTCAGGTCGCCCAGTGTGGTTTCTATCACCACAGACATGGCTGAGACTCAGAAACACCGGCACTTGGCGGGACAAACACAAACTCTGCAAAAACACGAAAACCAACGATGGCCATTAGAGATGGCACCAGTTGCAGTTCCTAGAGATGGGAAAAACATGACAATTATTAAAACAAGCGTTGCCCATTAATTTGAATTTCTTCCAATGCATTTAAAATTCTAAAAATAATACCAACGGCAAATAAACGTTCAAAGATCTAAAAATTAAAAAAAATATACAAAAGTTTTTAAACAAACTATATTTTGGAGTATATTCGGTATTTTCAATATACCAGCTATCTTAGTAGTCGCCATTTTTGACTAGACTGACGGCAACCCTCTTTTGTGTGTGTATCAGTGAAACTTGACAGGGAATTTTCACACGTTTTGTAGACGGGAAAAAGAATATTGAAAATAATTTTCCTGGATTTTAAAAGCAAAGAAGTTATAATTTACAATTAAGAAGCGACCCAGTGACCAATTAAAATAAACCATGCCCGAGGTCGGAAAGAAAATCGCGGAGTTGCGCGTGTGCGACCTAAAAAGTGAACTTGAAAAACGCAAATTGGAGACAGTCGGTCCCAAAGCGGTGCTCATCGACCGTCTCGAAAAGGTAAGTGTACATACATATAGGGTTATAGATACGCGGGCGATAGATGTAATTTTGCAACTATTATTACCCGTCACCATTAAGGCCCTGAAAGGGGAGGGACACGACCCGGCCACCCACTTGATTGTTCCGGGCGTTAAGGGCAAAAAGCCGATTGCCATGCCCATTAAAATGCCCCAGTCGGAGGAGGTGATCATAAAGGAGGAGCCCATTGATGCCGACGAGGAAGAGGTTCCAGAGCAGCAGGATGATTACGAGAATGGCAACGACTTCTCACATCATGCGGATGACGATGGTCACGAGATCGACCAAGTGGGCGATGTGGACGATGAGTGTGTGATCCTCGATGATGACGATGAGGACGAAGAGGATCATGGGGAGGATGACCAGGAGTACGATGATGAGCACCAAAACGGTGACGGCGAAGCTGAGGGAGAAGCTCAGGACAGCGGAAAGGAAGACAATGGCGACGACGCGGCCATCAACGACATCCAAGAGGAGGAGGAGAATACTGGGGACACCGGAAACATGGACAACGACGAGTCTATTAATCTGACCATTGGCGAAGACGAGCAGAAGCTACTCCACGATGAGGTAATTTAAATTCGCTGGCCCTCAATTGCTCCATTCTAATTCAATTTGTATGCTTCTCAGGCCCCCGACGACAAGTCTATTAAGTCTGGTGAGTCTATAGATAGTCATAGATCCAGTATTGCCGCTCCATTACCATAGGATTTGTATTCATTAATTATTTAAGGTGTTCTGGTTTCGCAATCAAGATGCAATTGTTATCTAACTGCGCATATATTTACATTTTTGATCTCGTTTAGATAATCTTATAATTATAATCAATCACATTTTTATAGCCTAATGAGCTATTAGACTAATTAAGCATAATGATTCACAGTAAAACCGGCTAACAAGTCCGATAAGTCTAACTCAAAGGATGCCGACAAGAAAAATGACGACGGCGCACGTTCTAAGAAACGAGATGAGAAATCTTCTGACAAAAAGGACTCTAGGTAGTGTATAAAACGATAATCTGGTTTTATTTCATTCTAAAACCTTCTATCCAACACTTATTTAGCGATCAAAAGTCGTCCGGAAAATCGAATCAAAAGGATGATAAAGGTAATTTAAGTTACAGTCTTAGCATGGATAAGTTCGGTGTGTTCGGAAGGTCTTGCGTTGGGAATGTTCGGACCAAGCATGAACCCAGTTAAGGTCGATAAACTTGACGAAAGTTGAGAAAACCATTGAGGAACATGTATAAAAGATTGTGCAAGAGAGTGTGAATTTGGTTGGGACTTGGACGTCGGCGTGGGCGGAGCACAGTGGATGTACGTTTTGGCGAAGGAGCGGCGATGGACCAATTAAATGCATCGATAGCACCTGTTCTTAAAGTCTGTTCCAGTTAGCTTCGGAGGATACTTCTTCTGTACTAATCCAGCGTGCATCCAGATGTTCTTCACGGAGTTTTCGACATGTTCCTTCTATAGGAGTATTTCTAGGCAGAAAGGCTACATGGAACCCCGGAAATTGACATAAATATCTACGTCGGAAAGTAAATGGAGTTGGAGAACCTTATTCTTCTTGGCAGGTAACATCTGCATTTGGATACTTCGATTGCTACAACGTCGGCTAGATAAAACGCACCATGACTTAAGTTGAAGCAATAATGACTTGCACCTTGGACGCCTTCAGAAGCAATGGACGCTGAAACCTCACCTGGAACCTCCCTCTCATTGATCCTCTCTCTATCCTGGACCTCTCCACGAAGATTTGGACCTGATGCAGTGCATGATCTTCACCATCAACCCAATCAAATTCATACTCTCTTTGCTGGGTTAGGTGAAGTTTGTCGGTAACTTTGCGATTGCGCTCTAAACTCCAACATCTGCAGCAGCTACAAAATGTGTGCGTTCACAACATGCTTCCCTTAAAAAAAAAAAAACGTATCATAAACAAAACAGTTAACCAGTTAAAGCCACTCAAAGCTCTGACCATATCTCTCTTCCAATATTATTATTTACATGGAACTTGCAGAGAAATCGACAGCAGCAGCCGGTGCCGCATCCTCCACTGCATCGAGTGCCGCTGGCAGCAAGTCGGGATCGGGTTCTGGTGCCGGCAATGGTAGCGGTGCCAACCCGAACAACAAGCAGGCGGCGCTGTCGCGTAATCTCTGGGTTTCCGGGCTGTCCACTCTGACCCGTGCCAGCGACCTCAAGGCAAGGTTCTCCAAGTTTGGCAAGGTGATCGGTGCGAAGGTGGTCACCAACACGCGCACGCCGGGCACCCGCTGCTACGGCTACGTGACCATGTCCTCCTCGGCGGACGCTTCGCGTTGCATCGAGAATCTGCACCGCACCGAGCTGCATGCGCGCATCATTTCGGTGGAGCGCACCAAGAACGAGATCGGCGGCAGCCTGAACTCCAAGGATGGCAAGGGCAAGGCCTCAGGCGAGGCAGGAAGCAAGAAGACGGACGATGACAAGAAATCCGGTAGCGGCAAGGGCTCCTCAAGCGCCAACGGCGGCGACGACAAGAAAGGCGGCGATGGAAGCGGCGGAGACAACAAGTCCACCGGCGGCGATTCCAAGCGGGATGGCAAGGATGGCAACAAGGAGCGCAACCAGCGACGCCTCGACGACAGGGGCAAGTCGTCGGCCAGCCAGGACAGGCCGCGCCACGAGCGTGAGCGATCCGGCACTGGGGGCCACAAGGGAAGTCAGGACCGTCGTCCGGGGCGCAATCCGCGCGACGTCGATCGTGAGATCCAGCAGCGCCAGCGGGAGCGCGAGCGTCGCCAGCGGGAGATGCTGTCCTACCAGAAGATTCGCGAGGAGCGTGAGCGCCAGCGCCTCCGGGAGCGGGAGCGCGAGCTGCGCGAGGAGGAGCGTCGCCGGCGGGAGGCGCGTGAGCGTCAGCGCATCGAGGAGGAGCGCCTGCAAGAGGAGCGCCGCAAGCTGGCCATCGAGCGGGAGCGGCTCGAGCGTGAGAAGGCCGAGCTTCTGCGGATGGAGCGCGAGCGTCAGAAGCTGGAGCGAGAGAAAATCGAGTTGGAGCGCCTCGAACTGAAGCGACAACAGATGAAGTATGACAAAAAAAAGTAACCAAAACAGACCGTAATGCGTTGCACTCGTGCCAACGCAGAGGCGACAACACAGATATACCACTATATTTTTTTGTACTCTCTCGGAAAGCATTTGTCCTTGTGATTAGTGTGTTAAGTTGCAGTCTCCACGTTGTTTCCTCAACTCAAATTGCTTCTAAACGGAACGTTGATAGGCAAATGCATCCTAGTCTAAAGTCTGACTCTGAGAATCTGATGACCCAACCTCTCCTCATACCGGCCCATACTAGCTTTACTAACTCTACTCTTTTTGTCTCTTCCATCTCTCTTCCTTCTACACTTGTCGATTCACTCGCACAGGATCATGGAGTCCCGCGAAGATCCTGGCAAGCGCGGGGTGAGCAAGCGGACCGACGACCGCTACGGAGACGTTTCCGATCGCAAGCGCACTGCTATTTTTGATGCCCCACCACCACCGAGATTCGACACGAATCTAGTTAGCTCCCGCAGGTAAGATAAGCCCACAAATAATAACCTTATGCTCGCCTAAGTTTAAACCCTAGCTTTTAACTTAAAACGACTTATAATTCAATCCACTTTGCAGCACTTATGACAAGAAACACGATGACTACGGCTCCTCGTCGACCACCAAGCGTGTGATCGATGACTACTCCGGCTCCAACAAGCGCTTAGACTACGCCAACAAGCGCAACGACTACAGCGCCTCGTCTGGATCGAAGCGCGGAGCTGTCGACGAGTACTCCGCCGTGCCCAGCAAGCGCTCGAACGATTACAGCGGTTCCTCGTCCAGCAAGCGTGACGACTACAAGCGCGAGGTGGAGGTACGCCACCTGCCACTTTCGGGAACCGCTGGCGGCGGCTCCAGCAGCTCCTATCTGCACAAGAACAACACAGGCGGCGGAGCCGCCTCCTATGTGCACAAGAACAACACCAGCGGAAGTGGTGGACGCTACAACGATTCGGATCGCAGCAATTCCACGAGCTACAGACGCGATGACTCCCACAGCCTGTAAATGATTCAGAGACGAACATTAAATGAGCTGTGAATAACGTTATAATATTCAATCTTTTTAGGGGAAACAAGCGCTATGACAACTCCAGCGGCGGCGGCGGAGGCTACGGCAGCAGCTCGAACAGCGTTAACATCTGGGCTCCGTCCTCGGGCGGAAGCTCTCACCTGGGAAACAGCAGCGGCGGAGGAGGCAACCAGATCAAGTCGTACGGCAACAACGGTATGTCCTCGAACATGCACGGCACCAATTCGTGGCAAAAGTCGACTCCCGTGGATGACAACACCTGGCGCCAGGTGCCCGGACGCTTTGATCGCGGCTACAACGACCGTTCCACCGGCTACCAAGGCCAGAGCAGTGGCGGCGGAGCAGGCGGCATGTACGGCGCCAGCCGTCCCGCCCAGGATCGCTACAGCGGACCGGTGTCGCGCTACTAGGGGACGCGCATTTTACCAGAGGCAATTCGAATCGAGCATCCCAGCACCAAATCACCTATTTAAGACCCCCCGAATGACCTTCCCACAGCGCCTAGGAGCGCTGCCTCTAATTTAGTTCGCCTTAGTTGTAGTTTTAGCTTCTACAATTACATTTGGAAACCAATAAATGTATTACGAAAACATATGGCAAATATGCACATAACTAAAATATATTCCTATGGTTTATTGAACCTAAAGCTGTGGGTAGTCGCCCTCGTAGGAGGATATGAGAGGCGTGGTCGTGTCCACCAGCACAAGAACACTGTGGGCCAAAGGATAGACGTCGTGGACCTGGACGTAGTAGCCCCGCTCGCACTGCTCCTTGGACGAATAGAGACTGCAGGAGAATGTCATTGTAAGTTTAAGGAACTTAAGATAAAGTTAACTTACGCCAATATATCCACTGGTTCCAGAATCAACTCCGACTTGTACACTGAGGCCAAAAAGTTTGTGAACGCCGCCGTGTTGTTTCCCAATTCCATTTCGGTGTTGGGCGTGCAAATCTCCAGTCCCAGTCCGCTGTTGCTTGAACCGATCCCCGGCAGGCCATTGCGAGTACCCCAAACCGTGATGATGTTGTCCTCCGAGGCAACAATGGTGCACTGATCGCTACAGTTTGCCTTCTGAAGAGATAAGTTAGAAGGAAATCTTTGCTAAAATAAGGGACTACCAACCACTATGTATCGGGCCTTGACGGAGTCCACCAGCGTGGGATGGTCCACCGCGTTGCAGTGCCTGATGCCGCGCTGACCCTCCGCATTTCGACCCATCGTGTAGACATACCCACCCTCCACCAGGAACACCGAGTGGGTGGACGAAAAGCAGGCCTGGATCACCTTGTGTGGCAGTTGGACTTTCTTCTACAGAAAAGTGTAAGGATTGGATCAAGCGATTTGGGATTCGGTTACTCACAAAAGCTGTGATCTTTGCGGGGCGCTGGAAACCCAGTTTGTTGTAGTCGTTGCTCCCGCAGACATGGAGCTCTCCGTTGGTAAACAGCACGGCGGAGGTATCTGGACCACAGTAGATCTTTGATGGCTTGGTTTTCACATGCGACAGCAGAATCTTTTGGGGGAATTTCCTGAATAAAAAGATTGTTAATTTAATATGTATGTATATGTATGTATATTCTTAGAAACATAAAAATGTAATAATAATATTTAAAGTGAATTCTTTAAATACCCACTGTTGCTGCTGGTAGTTTCCCAGGCCGAGTGCTCCGCAAACACTGGTGCCCCACACGTAGACCGCTCCCTCGCGACTGAGGGCCAGGACGTGGTGGAGACCGGCGGCCACCTGCTCCACCCGCACGTCCGCCAGTCGGCCGACCAGCTTGGGCGTGTGGTAGTTGCGCTGCTCGTCCTGACCCAAGGCCAGATGGGCGTTGCTGCCGCAGCTGAGCAGGCTGCCCGCCTGGGTGACCAGGATGGTGAAGCCGTCGCCGGCACAGGCGCCCACCACGTGGTAGTTGCGCACGCTCTCCATGCGACTGGGGTAGTGCTTCCAGGCCTCCAGGGCGGTCAGGCCCAGCTGGCCGTGGGTGCCCTCGCCCCAGGCGTACGCCGATCCGTCCTCGTTGACCACCACGAAGTGCGAGTCCGACATGGCCACGCCCACGATGACCGCCTTGGGCGGCAGCTGGATGGGCGCCATGCTGAAGCAGGTGCCGAAGGCCTTCAGCTGGTACAGCACCGATCTGGGGGTGGTTACCTCGATTAGACTGGTCGGACTGGTTAGGAATGTCTCTTTACCGCTTCTCAAGGATCTCGTGCGGCGCCGCCGTCTCCGCACTCATCAGCTGTTTGGTCTCCGTCTGGGCGGTGGGCAGCTCCAGTTCCATGGACACATTGCTGCGGGCGACGGAGGGATCTGCAGGAGTCACTTGGTTGCCACTGGTGCCACCCACATCGTCCTCGTAGGAGTAGCTGCATTTTAGTTACAAAATAAATAAATAAATAAACACAACGTAAGAAATCCCAGATATACCCTTTGTTTTTTCCAAGGCTGCGGAAAATCAGGGGGATCCAGTAGACCAAAACCTCGGAGGCGGTGGGTCGCCGGGCGGCCTCCACTTGGAGCAGGTTGGACATGAGACTGCGCAGGCCGGAGGTGTAGCCCGAGGGCACGGGGGGTATAGTTCCCTGCCATGATCTTGGTGACCAGTTCGGATAGGTTGGAGGCAGCGAAGGTCTTTTTCAGGCAGCACATCTCGCCCAGAATGCAGCCCAGAGCCCAAATGTCGCTTTTGTTGTCGTACTCCTTGCCCTCACACTGGAAATCGAGTGAGAATTAGGGATACATATGGTTCCAAATCGAATAATTACATTACCATCTCCGGACTGAAGTAATAGGGTGTTCCCAAAACAGTTTGGGCATGGATCTTAGTGTTCATTATTTTGGAAATGCCAAAGTCACCGATCTTCACGATTCCGCGACGGTTGAGAAAGACATTTGCTGTCTTCAAGTCCCTTGAGGTATAGAAAATAATGTAAGCCTGACTTTTCGACTGACCCCTTAAATACTATTTATTGGTTTTTCATACCGATGCAGGATGTTCTCGGAGTGCATGTAGTTGATGGCGCTGGAGATCTGCTCGAATACGGCAATTATATAGCGTTCCGGGAAGTGCATTTTGCCCTGCCTCTCGGCGATGATTTGGGCCAGGGTGCCCCCATCCGCGTACTCCATCTCGATGAGCAGAGTGTTGTCCTTGATGAAGCTCCCCAAGTAGCTGACTATGTTTGGGTGATGTAGCTTGGAGAAGACATCCACTTCGTTCATGGCCAAGTCCCGACCAGGTGGCGTCAGTTCACTCAGGTTAATCTGCTTGAAGACGATCTGATGGCCATCGGACTTTCGGCGATACAGGATGGCGATGCCGAAGGATCCCTGGCCCACCACCCGCACCTTTTCGTAGTTGGCCAGTTCTGGTCCAGCTACACCCATCGCTGCCTCCCGTGGAACGCTGAGCTGAAGGAGATTGTCCTGCCGGGACGAAGGCAACTGGGCCTTGTTGCTCGACATGGCCTCCGCCAAGGAGGTACTGGCCGCTCCGGTCGTCCCGTCCGTAATGGTGAAGACAGTAGGCAGAACCTTCTTACAGGTGGACTGCTTCCGCGGCGGACTTGGACCCAAAGGCAACTGCAGCGAACTGGTGGTCAGCGTGGTGGCGTCGGTGATCCGACCGTTGAAAATGGGCAGGGAACTCGCCTTGGCCCGGAACTTCTTCATCGCCTTCAAGGGACCACAACCTTTGCTGCGGACGTTCCAAATCGAACCGTGTCCTGTCTATTGTGTAATTGTCCTTTGACATGTTCGAAACGGAGTTGTGGTCAAAGCGGTTGCCTAGGCAAAGTGGATACTACGATATGGCGAATGGGTGGGTGGACCTCGGCTAACGCTATCAGTGGGTTTGCTAATTGGTCAACTAACGCAAGCAATTGAACTGGAAATGGTTTAAGCATATGCAGAGCCACCATTCCGAGTAATCCATGCTAATTTTTAGGGACCAAAGTAGAGTTAAGTCAAAGAAAACGTAATTGACTAGAAAATTAAATTAGTAAACCCTTTGGGATATTAATGTAATATATTCACCTCAAGAATTATATAATTTTTATTATTGTAAAATTAAAACAATTTACAAAGTTTATACATATTTCAAAAATATATTCTTTCAATGACGTTCGTTTTAGATGTTAACTTTTTAATATTTAGGGAAGAATTCGACTAGCCTCTTTGTTTGGGCCAACTTTTAGGTGTGGATCCATACACAGGGCCCCACTTATGTGGTGGCTGATGTCTCTGCGCCGACGCCAAATATTGTTCCAAGAACAACAGGATCAGGATCCCACAAAACAAGAATTTCCAAGTGTACATTCTCAACAATATCAACGGTCTGAAAATGTTTACCTTCGGAATACTTAACTTATACTTGCCAAGAGCAAAAAAAAGGCACGTTATCAAAAATAATTCAGTAAAAGATCACAAAGATCATTATAAAAATAAACATATACATATGTATATTTAGGTGCAAAAAGATTGTGTCTTGATGCACTCCAGTAGCGGATTTAGAATTTCAATCTGGGGGGGTTTTCGATTGAAAAAAAATACGAATACGAAAAAAACGAATAGTTTCAATTCAATTTTACCGCTCTGCGGGGCTTTTTGGTAGGGGTTTGAACCCCCCGTAAATCCGCCACTGATGCACTCAGAAAAAAATACAACGTGTATGTTATAGACTTGTTTTTGGCTTCGTGGTTCTTGTCCTGTTTTTCCATTCCTTGGGATAGACGTGACGAGGAGTATGAAGGGCCAATTGCCCCAATATCTTCCCCAGGAACAGCAGAAATATGATCCCAAGTGTCAATAACTTTAACGCAACCATACTGAACGATTTTAATGAACTGACTGAAATGGAGTATTTTTAATTCGTTCACCCTCGAAGAAATCTCAAAAACAGCTATTTAACATGAGTAATACAAACTTCCGCGCATAATATATAAAGTAAAGTATGTAAAGACATTAAAAAATAGAATATAGATGAATGATGTTCTACGTAATGTGCGAAATTATCTCAAAAATTTTTACGAGTGTGCGTAATACGAGCAAAACCTCAAAGATTACTCCGTTTCCCAAAAATAGAAAGCCATGACATGTTTTTTTCTTACGGGTATAAATGTATTTAGCATTAGATTATAATTATTGGAATCGAGACAATATGCATGTATAATCGACCGTTATGTATTTGCAGGAATATTCTAAAATATTTATGCTATCTCCTCTTGGACTAAGTGTACCTTAAAATGCACAATCTGAATGCTTTACACAGAATGCAATGCAGGCAGCCCCTCAAGTGGTTTGCATTTAAAACGCGGCCTATTCACGAACATTTGGCTACAACGCTACAACGCTCAATAGCTTTGGACAACTTGTTCAGGTTTTGCGGTTTGCGGTTGCGGTTGCGATCGCATCGTAATCCATCAATGAGTATTTTAGCAGGTGCAGCGATTGTCGCCGGAAAGACTGCCAAGACTAAAGGTTCCGAGGCCATTGGAGCCGGGTGATTTCTTGTCTTTGCTCTCGTCGTTGTCAAAGTTGTCCCCCTGGCATGGAAACAGAACAACAAATAAGACACATTGAACAATCAACAATAGATGTATGGATTATATATAGAATATATATTCTATAGCTTACCCGTCTCTCTCTTTGCTCTCGGATTTTGCGGGCTAGTGACAGAAAAGCATCCTCAATATTTATATTCGACTTGCAAGACACCTCGAAAAAGGGCATATCAAAGTTCTCGGCAATCTGGAAGGGATTGCGTGGATTAATGACAGTAACATACTGGACTGGTCCACTGGGTTACCTTCTCGCCCCTTTCCTTGTCCACCATTCGCTGGGTGGCGGAGCACTCGCATTTGTTGCCCGCCAGGACTTTAACGACGTCCGGCGAGGCGTTCTCCTGGATGTTGCGCAACCAGTAGGACAGGTTGTTGTAGCTCTCCAGATTGGTCACATCGTACATGAGCAGGATGCCCATGGCGCCCCTGTAATATGCCGTGGTCAGTGTCCGGAATCTCTCTTGTCCTGCCGTGTCCCAGATTTGCAGCTTTATGGGCACGCCATCGAGGTTAATCAGCTTCTGCTTGAAATCTATGCCTGGGGAAGATAAAATGGGATGATAATGCCTTGCTGCATATGTAACTTTTCCTTACAGTTGCGGTTGAAATAATAGCTTACAATAAGAATACCATGTTTTATTAGGAAGGGTTTTTTACAGGAATAGTTTAACTGGCAATAAAATTTACTTTATTTTATTACAAATCACGAACAGCTTATTGCGATGATTTGACGGAGTATGGCAGAAATCCAAAACAAAATCTTTAAAAAGCTGCTGTGCGCAGAATGGGAGCACTCACCTATGGTCGAGATATATGTGTCGTAGTACTTCTCATCGCAATACCTGTGAACGATGCAGGTCTTGCCCACATTGGAGTCCCCTAGCACCAGAACCTTATAGGTGGCCACAAAGTCCAGAGCCATGTCTGTGGAGCTGGCGGATTTCGATCGAAAAAGTAATATTAACTGCGGAGGTCTTTGGTTACAGATGGGCTGCCGTTGTTGTTATTGGTGGTTGGGTGGTGCAAGTGGTAGTGGTGGTGGTTCGGTTTTTGGCTCCGAGGGGTTGCAGCGGGCTGCTACTTTTGTTTATGTATCCGCTGGCCTGGCTTGTTTTGTTGCTGCTCGCAGCTGTTCCACCTCGAATTGCAGCGGCGTCACTCGAATTTGTTGTACAATTTTCACAGTCCCCGCATCGAAAACATCGGTAGTTCACGCTAATTGACAAGTGGCTTTTGGCATAAGTCGTTCGATTTAACCTTTATTTGATTCGTATTTAAATGTAATATATATATGAGTGGTGTTAGGTGTGCATAGTGCGCCACTTCTGAGGCGGATTCGAATTACGCCGTTCGCGTGAATCAACCTCGAAGCACTGACTGCGAAACAAACCAGCCCGTGGATGCGGAGTGGAGTCAACTAATCAATAGACCTGCGCACGCGCAGCATCAGCATTAGGCGGCCGAGTAATCGAAATCGGAATTCAAATCGAGGGCGTTTGTGGCGGCCGCCTGGCTTATCAATAGTAATAATATTAGACATAGGTGTACACAATAGATATGAAGTTACATGTTCAAAAATAGAGTCGTTCATTGCTTAACATAGTGCGGTTGGGTAGGAAGAGGACCGGAGGTCGAATCCTTCGCCGCTTACATCACAAAGACCTTTTCGACCTTGGGGTTGGAGAATTTGGTGTTGGTCACCGGACAGGTTACGGTGCCGTCGTCTTTGGTGATGTCCGGCAGAGCCATCTGACCAAAGATTTGGCCGTTGGGCAGCATCATCGGCTGATTGTGCTCATTCAGCGGCAGCCCCGTCACACGGCAGATGAGGCGGCTCTGCACGCAGTGCGAGTATGGCAACTTGAGGGCGATGCGGTTGAGATCGTCCTGGCAGACGGGACAGTTGAGGTTGCGGCAGGTCTGCGCATAGCAATGAGGCGTCTTCAAAGCCGACAGACCAGCCTGCACGGCTGCCGAGAATACGGACGTGCTGGACAGCTGGAACAGGCGGTAGTTCTCGTGGCGGAAATCCAGCACCAGCTTCTGCCAGCGCTGCGGATCCATATACTTGCGGTAGTGATCCACCTGGGAGTCGGCGGGGTAGGCCAACAGGGCCATTACGTAGCAGATCTCGTTGAGCTGAGTCTTCTCGTAGGCGGGAAAGTAGCGGCGCGAATGCTTGACCGCCTCGAAGCGCTGGTTTTGACGTACTAGCTCGATGAACTCCTGAACCCGCAGGCTGAATTCAATGGTCGAGTTGATCTTGCGTAGCTTGGATTTGTTGTCAATGCACCAAAGTACGCATTTAGTGGTGCTGTGGTTGGCCAGGTCGTCCTCGACCTCGCGAGACGTCTGGAAGATGTCCAGATTGGTCAAGTGGCGCACATCGGACTTGGCGGCCAGCTCCTCGGCCGTTTCATAGTATCCCATGCGCAGAAGGTGCTCGATCACCAAGCGGTCCAGTCGGACGCGCTTCCACTGGTCCACGGATCCCTGCCACAGGTCGCCAGTCACACTGTTTGGTGGGGTGATGCCCTTCAGGTGGTCTAGCTTGCGCTTGCATATCTGTGTGACGCTTAGTTCGTCGTTGATGCTTTCCTCTGCTTTGCGCTTGAGCACCTGCAACTTCTGGGCGACGTTGTCCACTAGCTTGGTGACCTCGGAGAGAATAGGGCCCTCCTCGGCCTCCAGGGCCTTCTCCACCTGCCGAGATACGTTGGTCACCTGGTCCACCTCACGGTCGATGATCTTCTGCGCGGAGCGGAAGCGCTTGTTCAGCATCTCATATGGCACTTTTAGTGTGGCGTGTTCCAACGCCTTGATCTCCGACATCTTGCTTTTTTGGGTGCGGTGCAAATCGTTTTTATCTTTCGTTGAAACGCAATTGCGTTTTCTTCTCTTTCCTTGCCTTGCTTTGTTTTGCTTTTGTGTACCATGCGTTGCCAGATCGTCTGCAGTCAGCTTATCGAGTTAACAGTTGTGTCATAGTTAGCTTTATTTTTTGCTATTTTGTGTTCAGAAAACTAAATGAAATCAAACAAAAACAGAATGTGAGCTATAGCTACAATTTTGATAATATATTTGTAATATCTGTTCATTAATTTTCATTATGTTTCATCCAAAAATACTTTTTAATTACCAAGTTTTGTCAATTTCAGCTATTTTTTGTGTTTGACTTTCCAGCTAAAATTAGAATTTTTCGACGGGCTGGTAGCACGGTCAAAATATACTCCATGTTATCACTGTACTGTTATCGTATAACAGCTGATTGACGCCAAGTAAACATAAACAAACGATTTAGGATCCAGGCGTTAAGGAAAAAATTATAAGCAAAATAATAATAATCACATAATACAAGTTATAAAAAACGTTTTATTGCAGAATATAACAGAGTTTTTACAAAATTATATTGAAAAAAGTAAGCGGCAATCTTAAAAAAAAAAAAAAAAAATGGTTTCCTAATGGTTAAACAGGATTAATTTAATTAAAATTCAGATGGGTAGAGTTTCAACAAGAAGGACGAAAGATAAAGCAACCACTACGGGAATTAAATCATCTACTAAGGGGACCAAGGATAACTCAAAACGCTACCGGGAGAAAATAAAAAAGGATCCAATCAAGTTTGAAGAATATCGCGCCAAAGAAGCTGAAAGAAGCAGGATATATCGCAAGAATCTTAAGGAAGTGGTAAAAAAGAATAAAAGGCTTCTTAATTTAAAGAGGGAAGCCGATCGAGTAAGAAAACAAAGATATCGAGATAAAAAGAAGGAAGAACTCGCTGAACAAAAATCTATGGAGGAAATTTTGAGGAAAGTAGAGCGTGCACTACCCGCAAAAATGTCTAAGAAAATTGAAGTTTTAAAAGTCTTATGTAACAAATACCTTAAAAATTAAAACTTTGAAAGCGGAAGGTAGTTAAAAAATATATTAAGAACCAAGAAATATACGTTTTCTACACATGCAGATAGACTGTTAAATGTCCCGATCAAATATGTACTTATGTTATGTTCAAATAAAAAGGAGCTAAATGTACAAAATTTACATATGTAGTTAGTTTTGAGATTAATTTAATTGCAAATTAAAACCTTTAAACATTTTTACTACTTAATTTATCTCCAAATGCCTGAAGTCTTAATAGATGATTTGTTTTTTTTACTCAAACAAATCTCCTCACTCTTATTTTTTGTAATTAGCATTACGCTAGCAGCCCTCGAACTCCAGTTGACCTAATGTACTTTGCTATGTAATTAATACGTCTGCTCGAGGGAAAAGTAATCACGGACCCATGCGAAATTGCATAGAATTAACCTCCTTTTATGGTACATTGACTTTAGCCAACGTTTAAGTTGCTCTGATAATTAGTCATAGATTAGGTAGTTCCACGTTCGGGGCACAAGTGTAGGTGCGAAAATTGAAAATCCATGAAAACCTAAGAGCTGGGTCTTTGGTAAGTAATTTTTCATTCACGAGAACGGAAGTTACTCGTTTCGAGAAAATTGGGGACACGTGCCGCGATAAGACGCAAAAACAAACAAATAAACATTTTGTTGGTACTTATGGTCAGGATAAAGTGGAAACTCGTTTTCGACATATGTAGGGCGTACTTAGAATTTACAAAAGCAGGTACGGATAAGATCATTTTCCTCAAGATATTATTATTTCAAACAGACTCATTCAATACTCTTTGCATTTGTATCCCACCCAAAATAAGAGTGATTATTCCCAAAAGGTCAAGCATTTACATTCAGATTGCCCTAATGACAAACAATTGAAAATTGCATGTGCGGCAAGAAAGTCCTGGCGGGTCTGAACGTCCAAGAGGGACTGGTTTTGAAGAAATTGCATTTTAATAATACAACCAGCGAAACGCGATTAAATTCAGGCACTTTTTAATTTGAATTCCAATTAAGGAATGTCACTCAGGTGGGCGACTGATTCACACACTACCAATGCAACCTTTTTGCTCTCCACCAACTTGACAAGTTCAGTGCTCTTGGGACACACAAAAAACTTATTAGAATAATTTAGGAAGGTGCATTGAAATTTCCATGGTTCCCCAGGTTTTTCAGCAAGTCAAGAGGATTCCCGTGGAGAAACCACCCAGAAAGAGGGGCCCAGCACTCATTGTAATTGTGGGTCAGTTCGGGAGGTACAATATTTGGAGAAGCAAAAACCGACTTGAAGTCGGGGGAAAGCACGAAGGATGGCCGAGCATTTTGGTGATGTCATGGATTGCGTGCAGCGGAGCCGTCATCAATGGTCTCTAGGACCTGGGCAATTTTGTTGAAGAAGTTTTTGGCGCTTTTGGCTTACCATAAGAAATGGTCGCAACCCATAATCAGAGCGGTTTAATCGTGTTCCACCCGCGGAGCTCTTGTACACCTCCATCCAAAAAAGTGGGGAACTGACCACATTGCTTCGCTCTCCTGCATTGATTTTTTTTGAGTACTCCTACTTCATTCCGACGTTTTCGGGTTTTATGGTCTGCTCTAGAACTTTCACTTTTTGATGTGCGTAAATTTGCATATTTGTCGGACGTTATACAGGGTGTGCACTGCCCTTTCCTTTGCCCAGAACTTTGGGTGAATAATGAATAACGTCCGATGATGATGACGCCTTTGATAATGAGTTTTCGCCTTAGCCTTTCAGATAGGTCACTGAAGTCGTCATGTTTTTATACAAATTTAATGGATAGTTGGTAAATTTGCCGCTATACACATACATTCTACCTAAAGTATTCCAAAAGGATATATTTCTGCGCTTGGGTAGTTCCATACCATTTTAAATTAGCTACTTGTTTGCCCAGTTCATAGCCTCGTAAAATGTGTTTTATGATCTTTTCGTTGTTCGTATGCATTCAGAAAGCTTGTTAGAATGGCTAGTTATTTTTGCCGCCCTTGAATGCTACATACACTTTTCAAGATTTTTGAACAATAATATTAATAATGCTAAGTTTTAACTGCTAAAAGGACTCTAAACTCCACGATAACTCCCATAAGCCATATGAATTTGGCTATAATTGTAGTCCCCCTGGGAATTCGCAGCCTTAGGCAATGACGTCTTAACCTAACCACGCATGAAATGTTATAATAAGTTCGTGAGCTTTAGCATTTCGTAGTTATTTTTATGTTTCAGTCCTGGCCAACATGACATGCGAATCGAGTCGTACTTGGGGTCTGAAAGTCCCCCAAAAGTGTCGCCCCATTGCTGAAAATCAAGGTGTGCATTAACAAATGAACTTGAAATAATACACACACGGGTGTTTAGCATGCATTTACCTGCATTTAGCTGGCAATGTGGAGAGTGATAAATTGGGAAAGTCATGGAAAGGTTATTTGGTCAAGACTTGGCCAAGAGACAAGGCTACAACAAGTAGCAAGTAGCAAGTAGCAAGTAGCGGCTATCGACGCTCCTTCGCCTTGCGAGGCATGCAACTTTCGGGGGCAGGAGGTCCTTAAAGGACTAGGCCGCCTTTGGTTTTGGTTCGGTGGTCTGTGCATGTCCTGGAACGCACGAAAACAAACTTGCATGCAGCCGATGTGTGTGCGAGTGTGTGTGTGTGGTCGCAATTAGACCTGGTCATAATATGAAATTAAGTCCCTTAAATTGGCATTCTTTCGAGAGCCTAATGCGGAGTCGGACTCGGAGTTATAATCGGCAGGAATATGATGACCTCTAGGCATGAGTACACCCCGATGAGATTTCGTGAGAAAATTATATATCGCTGGGTCGGGCCGACAGAAGTTCTACAGTCGCACTAATTAATCATCAGTTAAGACCAAAACATGACGCCCAAATTGTTGAAAGCGAATTAGTTCTTTAATTACAGTGCTCTTTTCGCTGCTCAGAGGGAACCGTTCGGTGGAAAATCCAGAGTCGGCGCCTCCAATCCGTTGCAGTCTCTGATTTGGTCAAAAGATTTCGTGAGTTCTCCATATAATTTTCCTGCTTGTTTTCCGTTTCTCTGCTGTGGCCAGCAACATTTATCAATAATGTCAAGAAATAAATATCCAAAATAAGTTTCGGACTTTGCCGCAGGCTGGATTGAGTGGAGTGGAATGCCAGCTAACCTGAATAATAATTAAAGGAATTTATTTTTACATATAAATGTAAATATTTCCCACTTTCGCTTACGCGGTGCGGCAGGATTTGCGTAAATGGTGAAAGTACTGTGGAATAAATAAATAAAATGCCAAAAGGAAACAAGAAAATTGTAATTGCTTTACTGTAAACGTAATGACATAAATTAAATTTAATTGAATATACGGATTTTGAGGGGTACTACTTGCATTTTAATGACACAGTTAAAATTCTTAGGGAAAATATGGAAAACTGTTCATAGGCAATAAAACCATCTAAAAAGGGAATGTTTTTGGGTTCCCAAGTTTTTTATGCATTCCATCGTTCTTGGACCCAAAGTGAAACGTATCGTAATTAGTTAAATCCCCCGATTTTCGTGAATATTTTCTGGAAAGGCTTTCCGTTCGGCGTGCGTGTGCGAAATGAATTCGCTGCGATGGCTTGCGTTTAGTTAAGGGAAAATTGTTTATGCTGTCGCAGCGATTAAAACAATCGTTTATAAGGCGATCGAGGCGGCAGATAAGGAGCGGCGGAGTTTGACATTTTCCGCAATCGGAAGGGACCCAAAAATAAACGGCAGAAGGAAAGGAATTTGTGTAAGCAAATCGGGCGAGTGTTACATGTCCAGATTGACCTCAAAGTGTTCCTTTCGCTGTAAATTATTGACTCGGTTCGAAGGGGTTCTCTGGGCGTAGGCGTTTCGCGAGACAATGGCAGACATGGCCGAAAGTTTCGCATCCGTTTTAGCCAGTTCGATATGCACTGCAATGGTTATTTGCCAAATTGGGCTGGGAGGGCGTGGCCTGCAACCTTTTTTCGGCTGCAGTTGAACGCCAGAAAGTTGCAGGTTGAAAGTTAAGAGTTAAAAGCAACAAGCAAGCCACTCATCTGGGCAATTCGGCAAACGTAATTAGGGCCATGCACCGCCCAGTGAAAAATAATCATAAACAACGGCCAGAAAGTTGAAGAGAGAGTGAGAAAGAGAGAGAAAGCCGCGAAGAATAATGGCCAAAATAACTATTTGCCTTTGAGTAAGCAGTTTTTGTTGTTTCTGGTGCGTGCTAATGTTACACTTTATTGTTGTGGCTGTTGCTCGACTCGCTGGGCCCCAAAAAGTAGGCTATGCAATGGCTCAGAGCCACTAATGCCTTCGTCATTACTATATGGCCCACACCAACGCACACCAACGTACACCAGGGCACACCAGAGCACACCGTCGCATTGGCCTAGGGTTAAGACGAGGACGAGGTCGCCCCTGCCAGGCCAGGAGCAACAATAAAAACAACTGCACGAAGGAGAGGCAGCTACAAAAATCCATCTTCGTTAACAAAACTCGCTCACGAAACAACGAAGCAGTTACAAGTGCGTTGGAGCCCACTTTGCCTACGAGTACGGGCCAAAACCCAAAACCCAAAACTAAGCCCATACTACATCGAAATCTGCCCGCAGATTCAGCCACCTAAATTGCAAAGGAACATTAATGTAGTGGAATACCCTTCGACTCGGGGGATTCCTTAATTATGCATGCAGTTGTCTCTCCTGCAGGAGTCGCGTTTTATGGATGCTCTGGTGCAGCGTTTTACGAGATTTAATATTAATGAATATATCTTAAACATTAGACAACATTTAAGCTGATTTATTGTCTCATTTCTCTCTGTTGATATTTTTTACGTCACACCAATCAACAATAATTTGCGTTCTCAGCAAACCTGAATATCTATGCTATGCAAATTGTTCTTCAAGAAACCTGTACTTTTAAATTAATCTTAAACTCTGAACTAAAAACAAAGCAATTAATGTTTTTCTTAATTGCTTAATAAGCAACTGACGTCAAACTAACTTGTGGTTTTAAAGTTGAAGTTTACTTTATAAATATTGATTTTTAAAAGGTTACCGGTAAATATTAAAATATTTTATATTTTTTTTTTTTAAATGGTTAATTCAGGTATAAATAAAGAAGGATTTTATATAGAAGAAGGGTATTTAGAAACATTGTTATGGCCCTATTGCCTGGTAAAGGGGTGTCGCTTCTTGGCCAAGCCGTCAAGCGGGTTTTTGGTGGGTGCTGACACGGATTCGGGTGGTTGGGGTGGTGGTGATTGTGAGGTGGTAGGCGGCTGGTGGCTGGTGGCTGGTGGCTGGTGGCAGGTGGGTGGCGCCGGTTTGGTGCGCGAGCGCCAAGTAGCCAGCAAGTCAGCGAGTCAACTTAAGGTCCGTGTGCGCCGCGAATTCTTCACTTGCATTTCGAACGCGCAGGCGACTGGTTGGAGCTTCCCGTCTCGAAAGGAAACCCATCAAGGAGTGCTAGCCGAATTCCCAGAGTGTAGCAGATTTTTTGGAGTGACGCCTCTCGTGCGGTTTTGTTTTGCTTCGGACTTTCTAGCGGAGCGGAAACAATTTCGGTGTGAAAATTTGCATAAAATTACCCCGCGAAATCGAAAAAGAACCGAGGGCGTTGAGGAAAGCGATTTAAAGCCTTTGGGCAGTTTTCAGGCTTGCAAAGTGCGTGCGAAACTCGTCGGTCTTCAGTGGATTTACATAACACCCGAAATCGCCGTCTTCGGTGGTTAGTGGCTCTATCTCGACCCAAAGTTCGACAAATCCAATCTCCAGAATGCAGCCCCTCAAGCGATTCACACAGTGCGGCAGCCTGACCATGCTCTTCGGCATCTTCATCATCCTGTTCGGGGTCAGTTCCACGGCTCTGACCACTTTTGGCAAGACCAACAACGGGCCGCCGCCCACGCACGTTCCCATTGGTAAGAGTTCCGAGTTCCAATTGGCAATAACTCCGCGGGGTTGGCCATAAAATCTCGAACCAAAGTCGCTGGCAAGGTCAAAAGAGGTTTCCTGACAAGAGAAATAAGTTTTTATTTAAATAACTATAGCCTTAATGATTTCCTGAAATATAATGTGGGTTTTACACAATTTACTCTTTAATTTGTTGTTAACAAGCTTTTAAAAAACCGAAGTTCAAATTGCTTTTACATTAACTTACTTGCAAATCAAAGCTGGGCTTCCCTAAAAACAATATACGAAAGAACTAAGGTAAACCATTTGACATTTTTAAAAATACTTCCCTTTAAGAAAAAGTTTGCTATATTACTTTAAAAAAAACTTCTGAGTTCCTTTAAATTACATTTTAGAATCTAATTATCTTCTCAAAATTATAAAGACTTTGCCTCCCCTTGATTTATATGATTAAACTAGTATTCCAACAAATTTCTTTGGCTTCACATATTAAGATATAAAGTAAAACAAAAAGCCCCTTTACATTGTACCACTGATAATGACCAATTAACCGCTTATTAAGACAGCCCAATTGTAGCCCCAACTAATGGGCAACAAATAAAGTTTGTCTGATCCAATCATTTGTCATTCGATTGACTTTGTTGCCACCGGTAAATAAATGGAATAATAATTATGGCAAAGAGCCAGCGATTGAGTGACACGACACAGAACAGGGAACTCAGAGCACAGAACACAGAACACAGTACTAGCACACAAATCGGGAATTGATCAAACAAGTCACTCAAGTGCAATGACAACCCACGCTCAGTAAATCCCTGACATTAGGAGTGGGTTTTCGGGGGCGTTGTAATAGCTCTGTGATTTGTGTGGAGTTGGCAAACAAGACCCAATAGATGGGCCCGCACGAGGTGATTTGCTTTAGCCAGGGACCAGGGTAATAATCACACAATTACCAGGCAATTAGCAAGACAAACGGGCAACTAATCATCCATTTTTTGATTGATAAACGGGCAACTAATCACCCATATCTCGATTTGGTTTGTTTACTTCTTTCTCCAGTGAAAGGACGAGAGTGCACAACCCACGATGACTGCACGGCGATAGATCGCACCAGCTGCGTCAAGGACCCCAATGACTACAAGTTGCGCTGCCTCTGCGGCGACGACTCCGCTCCTTCGGCTGGAAACTGCCCGGATGTCCTCAAGGGTAAGAAATAATATTCCTTCATAACTTAATCATTCAATTCGGGTTGATTACGAGTGACCAAAACCACCTTATCTGTTGTTTAAATTTAGATTTCAGTTTACATAGTTACAAATCTGCTTCAATTGTTAAGCTTAAAACAATGTTTTGGTAATATGTTGATCTATTCTTTTCGTTCCCAAAAACTACATAGATCTTAGCTTCTTAGGTTGCCTTTGTAGAACACTTTAGCTGTAGCTGGGGCCCAGAAATAGAACAGCCAACAAAGACGTCAACTAATTGCTAAGACATGCACATTACATTTATTATTTAAGGGCTGCTGCTGCTGCTGCTGCTGCTGCCTTCTTGGAGGCATCCTGTGTGATGTGCCTCGAGTGGCATTCAGGTGATGTGTCCAAGGCGCCACCTAAATGAGAATTAAACAAAGCATCCTGCCAGATGGATACTGGGTGGCCCAGTCCCCTCCACTATTTGCCTGCTTATTTATTTAGTTTTCGTGCGCAATTCACACTTGCTCGTGGGATCCTTGGCTCCTTTCCCGCCATTGTTGGCCCTCTGGTCCTCCTCGCCTCGTACAGGACATTCTTTCGATGGCGATGGAGGTGGCTCTGGCTTGGCTCTGACTCTAGCTTTATGGCAGCGCTATGTCGATGTCGGATTTATGTTAGGATGTCGTGACTGCGACTGGGGACCCCAAAACGAGGGCCCAAATGAGAGGCAAATGGTAATGGGAATCGCCGCAGTGCCAATTTGTGACATGCACAGCCCAGAGAAATGCTATACGCGATATTTGCATGCCGGAGTTTGGCATTGAGAACTATTTCTAAGAGTGGCAGATCTACTTTCTAGAGAACAAATTGTAATTCTGTTCGCGAAAAGTTGTAACTTTGTTAAGCTAAAATTTGATTAAAGTAAATATAATATAGAGAGCATAATTACTTCAATATTGTGACCTCATATTTTTTCCCACTTAATTTTCCTTTACAGGACTGCGTCACAGGTGCAACAGCAACAACGACTGCGAGGACGGAATGGTTTGCCAGTTGGAGAACAGCAACCGAACCATTGGAGTGTCCAAGTTCATGTCCAGCAAGGCCAAGTTGTGTCTCTGCGATAACGACAACGGATATGTGGAGGACATCCTGCACGACATCTGCAGTGGAGGTAAATAATACTAATACATTTCCCAATGATTTCCTTTAACTTTCCTTAACCATATACTATATCTTATATTTCACAGCCAACTTCCAGGGCCTGGTCAGCTTCTTGGTTTCGATCTGCTCGCTTCTGGCGCCCTTTTTGGTATCTGCCCACATGCGAAAGCATTTCTAGAAGGCGACCGGAGGAACCGGAGTGGCTCGAAGTCGAAGTTTGGCGTTTGTCTCCCCTAGTGATCCATTGAATGTGCCTCAGTGAAACCAACAGAAACAAAGTCTCATCTCCCCCTCCCCCCTCATAGATAACAATAAAAAACGTAATCTTTAAAACCAAAAAAAAAGAAGAAATGAACATGGAAATTAAGAAAGTTTGATACTCGTAAATATCGTTCAGTCGCCATTAGCCTAAAGGTCGTTCTATTGTATAAGTTTCATATGTACCACCGTCAAATTTATTCGCTTCTCACGACAAGTTGCGTTATATACAATATACATTTACTTATATTATCTGATAAATGTTTTCTATAGATCCCGTATCGACCTTAGTCAGTACAGTACTCCTTACACTAGAAAACCAGAGGTAAATTTAGACAAGATGTTTGGCACCATTTTATTGTAATTTTATATGTGTGTACGTGTGTCCAAGAATAACCAAAAAATCAAATAATTATCTAATGATAGGCAACTTTTCTGCAGCACTGTGAACTCAAAACGCTTACATCGCAATTACAAATGTAAAACATTTTAATTTTTGTATGTACTCCAGATAAATAGCTTTACGAGCTCACAGCCCACAATCGAGATATCAAAATAAATACAAGAAAATCTATTCATTTGTGAATTAATATGTGAGGCAGCTGCAACTTTGACCTCTTGTCTCGATTTCATCACATCAAAGTTGCAGGGCCGGTTAAGAACTTCTCCCATTCAAAGCGTTTTCTTCGTAGCTGTTATCTATACTATTTAATAAAAATCTTAAAAACCAATTTCATTTGTGTTTAATGTTCCAGGATGCAAACATTCGCAACTATAACTTAAAATACAGCTTGGTTAATACGGTGTGTTCATCATTGGCGGTCCAATAGGTTTCAATCATGTAAGTTCCTTCTGGGAAGGGCAGGATTTTTGGAAGTCGGTAATTGACCAAGTCAATGGAAAAGTTGTCAACAATAAAATCGTGCTACACAGGAATAAGAAAGGTAATTTTATAAGTTCTGGAAACTGTTTCCTCTTACATTAAAGGGACAGGAATGATTAAAGTTGGTAAAGTCCTTCAGAAGGTTATAAAAGTATTTGGCGACTGGAGTCGCCTTTCGGTTTTTCCAAAATTTACAATAGTCAACGGTTACATTGAACAAGAAGGGCTTATATCCATTGACCAGTTGGTGAAGTCCGAAGTTAATCTGAAAAGGTGGCATTCTAATAGCTTAATTCCGCAAGAATCTGCGCCACAAACCTTTATTTTTCTAATAGGAAACCTCAACACTCTTAGCTTCCCGGACAAGATTTTGAATGTTTGGTTAATTGATTTCAGAATGCAGTATTCGAATTCAAACATGTCCTTATCCATAGATATGCACTTTAAGTTTGTAAGCTCAATCCGCGAACAAATCTAGAGGTCCATTGAAAAATTATAAGACATCCTAAAGAACTTTTTACCGACTTACCTGATTTATTTGAAATGAAATCAAAAGGAGACAAAACCAAAAATGTTTCTGGAAATTCATGTTAATGCAAAGAAGACACAAAGTAACTAAAAATAACTTTTGTGTGGCTCAAGCCTGTCCTTAATAACTCTTATTTTCCAGTTCAGTAAATACAAATGGTTCGGGTAATCAAGGCATTTATTATAATTTCTTTAATCGTTTATTCACACATGGAAAGATATACGATCAGATAGACTGAGTTATCATTGGACTGGAACTAGAACATAAGGTAAAAGTGTTTTATAATTTTTTTAAGGAATAAACCAGGTTCAATTTTTTCTCTAATTGAAGTGTGAATCGGTAATAAAAGGTAATAAAACATTTAAAAACAAACTGAGTTTAAGAAATAGTCCAATAGATCTTTACAACAGCGCGTGTTATGTCATAGGCAATCCAGTGCATCTCGAGCATGTATTCCCCTTTCGGAAACGATAGGATTTTTGTCATACGGTAATTCACGGTCTCAGTGGATAGCTTATCCAAAACAAGATCGTGCTAAAAGATATAAAAAAATAAATTTTGTTCATGCTTGAAAGAAACTCGGCTCACATTATAGGGACAGGTGTGATTCACGTTGGAGATTTCCTTGAAAAATTCGTAGACGTATAAAAAAACAGGATTGCTCTTCGGGTTCTTAAAAAACTTGCAAGCATCTACGGTAAGATTGTACAGAAAGGGCTTATATCCATTGAAACGCTTGTAGAGTCCTAAGCCAATCTGAAATTTCAGCGTTTACCATTTCGTCCATTTGAATAAAGGATTATGTTGATTGGACTACATACCTTCACCCTGGTAATGGGAACCTTGTACAGGTTAACCTTAGCTGTAAGATACTTGTAGGACCGATTCACCGCCTTTATGGCGCAGTACTCGAAATTGCAGAACTCATGATCCAAAACCTTGCACTTAAAGTTGGTGAATTCGACATGAGCAGAAATCTTTACTGGTGTTTGTTAAAAAACTGTTAAGTTGGATAAATAATGTCGATCACGTTACCGACCAGTTTTAGCGAGGACATCACCACTAGTAGCCGAACAAAATAAGCCCACATCATACTGGATTGATTTACGCAGAAGAACTAACTGCAGCTCATCAATTTTATTTATTTTAAAACAATTTATTGGTAAAAAAAAGGTTTCGGATTTCATCGAAAAACTCTTAGCAGTGATATTAATCTCAATAATCTCCTATAATTATAAACGTAACTATACTTTATTGTATCTATGTTTACCAATCGTTGTTTTGCGTTCAGGTTTGTTTTTAAGTTTTAAATTCATAAAACGGATATGAGATATAATTCTTATTTTTCAATTAAGTATATATAAGTGATACGGATAATCGAGACATTTATTATAATTTCTTTAATCGCTTAATTATATTTGGGTAGAGTGCAATTAGCTTGACAGGGATGTCAGTTGACTAGGACTAGAACATAAGCAAAAAGTATGTATCTATAATACTTGTAAAGAGTAAATGCTGATTTTTATTTATTTTTTATTTTCTAAAAAGTTTTATAATTGATCGTTAATAAAGTGAAGCAGTCAATCGTTGAAAATAGGTTATATATGAGTTTAGGAAAGAGTGAAATAGATCTTTAACACAGCGCGGGTTATGTCATAGGCAATCCAGTGCAACTCCACCATATAGTCACCTTTCGGAAACGATAGAATTTTTGTCATACGGTAATTGACGTTCTCATTGGATAGCTTATCCCAAACAAGATCGTGCTAAAAGATATAATAATCTACATTTAGGTCATGCTTGATAGAAGCTTAGCTCACATCAAAGGGACAGGTGTGGTTCATGTTTGAGATTTCCTTGATAAATTCGTAGAAGTAGGAAGTGACAGGATTGCTCTTCGGGTTCTTCAAAAACTTGCAAGCATCCACGGTAAGATTGTACAGGAAGGGCTTATATCCACTGAAACGCTTGTAGAGTCCTATGCTAACCTGAAATTTCACCATTTACCATTTCGTCCCTTTGAGTAAACGATCATATTGATTGGACTACTTACCTTCACTCTGGTAACGGGAATCTTGTGCAGGTAAGCCTTAGCTGTAAGATACTTGTAGGACCGATTCACCGCCTTTATGGCGCAGTATTCGAAATTGCAAAATTCTTGATCCAAAGCCTTACACTTGAAGTTGGTGAACTCGACATGAGCAGAAATCTTTATTGGTGTTGATTAAATAACTGTTAAGTTAAATAAAAAATGTCGATCTACTTTACCGACCATTTTCAATGAGAACATCATCACCAGTAGCCAAACAAAGTAAGCGCCCATCATACTGGATTGATTTACGCAGAAGAACTAACTGCAGTTCATCAACTATATTTATTTTAAAGCTATTTATTGGTAAAAAGGTTTCGGAGTTCATCGAAAAACTCTTAGTAGTGATAAGCACAGATTTAATGATTCAATAATCTCCTACAATTATAAACGTAGCTTTACTGTGTTTATGTTTACCAATCGTTGATTTGCGTTCAAATTTATGTTTTTAGTTTGAAATGGCTTCCGAAAATGTATTACATATCTCAAATTCATGATACGGATATTAGATATAGTTTTTATTTTTCAATTAAGTAAATATTAATGATACGGATAATAAAGGCATTTATTATAATTTCTTTAATCGCTTGAATCAGCTTGACTGGGATGTCAGTCGACTAGAACTTAAACATAAAATAAAAACATGAATTTTTAATATTTGTAAAGAGTACCTAAATAGAACAGATTTCTGATTTTTTTCTGGTCGTATATAATGTGATAGTAGGTACATTTATTACAAAATTGAATTGATATCTGAGTTTAGGAAAGAGTCCCATACATCTTTACCACAGCGCGTGTTATGTCATAGGCAATCCAGTGCATCTCGACCATATAATCACCTTCCGGAAACGGTAGAACTTTTGTCACACGGTGATTTATGATCTCATTGGAGAGCTTATCCCAAACAAGATCGTGCTAAAATATTTAAGGAAATACATTTAGGTCATGTTTGAAAGAAACTTAGCTCACGTCATAGGGACAGGTGTGATTCATGTTTGAGATTCCTTTGATAAATTCGTAGAAGTAGAAAGTGACAGGATTGCTCTTCGGGTTCTTCATAAAACTACAAACATTGACGGTAAGATTGTACAGAAAGGGCTTATATCCATTGAAACGCTTGTAGAGTCCTATGTTAAGCTGAAATTTCACCGTTTACCATTTCGTCCCTTTGAGTAAAGGATCATGTTGATTGGACTACATACCTTCACTCTGGTAACGGGAACCTTGTATAGGTTAACCTTAGCTGTAAGATACTTGTAGGACCGATTCACCGCCTTTATGTAGCAGTGTTCGAAATTGCAGAACTCTTGATCCAAAGCCTTACACTTGAAGTTGGTGAATTCGACACGAGCAGAAATCTTTATTGGTGTTGGTTAAAAAATTGTAGAGTTGGATAAAAAATATCGATATACTTTACCGACCAGTTTCATAAAGGAAATCACCACCAGTAGCCGAACAATAAAAGCGTACATCATACTGAATCGATTTGCTCAAAAGAACTAACTTCTGTTCATCAAATATATTTATTTTAAAGCTATGTATTTATTGGTAAAAAGGTTTCGTATTTCATCGAATAACTCTTAGCAGGGATAAACACATATTTAATGAGTCAATAATGGTTTAGATGGTATTATACGATTATGCGATTAAACTTCTACAAATTGCTACTTAAATTCGGTAGTTATGCTTAATTGTATCTATATTGTAAAATAATTACAGTTCGCAAATGCATGATACGGATATATCTATCTTTCTTATTTTCTAGTTCAGCAAATATAAATGGTACGGATAATCAAGGCATTTACAGTAGAATCCGCTTATAGCGACTTTCAAGGGACCGACGATTTTTCGTCGTTATACCCGGAAGACGCACTAAGCAGAAGGATTTAAGTATATAAGTCTGTCTGGGGACCAATCAAGCCATCGAGTTTTCGTCGCAATACCCGGACGGACACTATAAGCGGAGTCGTTATAACAGGATTCTACTGTATTATAATTTCTTCAATCATTTATTCACATATGGAAAAAGATACGATCAGCTTGACTGGGATGTCAGTCGACTAGAACTAAAACATAAGGTAAAAGTATTTTATAATATTTGTAAGAAATAAACCTGGTTCCATTTTTTCTCTGTTTTTAAGGTGGTAATGGTGTTTATAATTGGTCGTAATTTTAAAGTGAATCCGTAATAAAAGTTACATTTAAAAACAAATTTGACTAATATCTGAGTTTACGAAAGAATCCCATAGATCTTTACCACAGCGCGTGTTATATCATAGGCAATCCAATGAACCTCGAGCATGTATTCACCTTTCGGAAACGATAGGATTTTTGTCATACGGTAATCGACGTCCTCATTGGATAGCTTATCCCAAACAAGATCGTGCTAAAAGGCATAAGTAAATTAAATTTAAATTAAAATAATAATAAAATAAATACTGCTCACATCAAAGGGACAGGTGTGATTCATGTTGGAGATTCCCTTGATAAATTCGTAGAAGTATAAAGTAACAGGATTGCTCTTCGGGTTCTTCAAAAACTTGCAAGCATCCACCGTAAGATTGTAGAGAAAGGGCTTATATCCATTGAAACGCTTGTAGAGTCCTATGCTAAGCTGAAATTTCACCATTTTCCATTTCGGTCTTTTGAGTAAAGGATCATGTTGATTGGACTACATACCTTCACTCTGGTAACGGGAACCTTGTACAGGCTTACCTTAGCTTTAAGATACTTGTAGGACCGATTTACCGCCTTTATGGAGCAGTATTCGATATTGCAAAACTCTTGATCCAAAGCCTTACACTTGAAGTTGGTGAACTCGACATGAGCAGAAATCTTTATTGGTGTTGGTTAAAAGATTATAGAGTTGGATAAAAAATATCGATCTACTTTACCGACCAGTTTCAACAAGGAAATCCCCACCAGTAACCGAACAAAAAGAGCGCACATCATACTGGATCGATTTACGCAGAAGAACTAACTGCAGCTCATCAATTATATTTTCTTTAAAGCTATTTATTGGCTATTTCGGATTTGGTTTAGTTGGTATTATATGCGATTAAACTACTCACTTTATATTACAACTCAAATGAGGCATGTTTAACAATCGTTGTTTTGCGTTCATATTTGTTTTAAAATTGTGAACCGCTTCCAAAAATGTATTATAAATCGATCTCATATGAGATCCAACTCTTATTTTCCAGTTCAGTAAATAAAAGATATGGATAATCAAGGCATTTACTAAAAAATTCTTTAGTCGTTTATTTAAATTTGCGAAGGGATACGATTACCTTGACTGGGATATTAGCCGACTGTTGTGATAAGGAAACTTGATTTCTTGATTTTTTTTTTTAATTTTGTATTTTCGATTGGCCGTAGTTTAAGTGACAATTTTTAATAATAGGTACATTTATTAAAGACTAAGAGTAAAACCTGAGTTTAGGAAAGAGTCGCATAGACCTTTACCACAGCGCGTGTTATGTCATAGGCCATCCAGTGCATCTCGAGCATGTATTCACCTTCCGGAAACGATAATACTTTCGTAAAGCGGTAGTTAATGTTTTGGTTTGAAACCTTATCCACAACAAGATCGTGCTAAAAGGCATAAGAAGTTACAATTAGATCATACTTAAAAGAAGCACTTCTTACATCAAAGGGACAGGTGTGATTCATATTGGAGAACTCCCTGATAAGTTCGTAAAAGTAGGAAGTAACAGGATTGCCCTTAGGGTTCTTCAAAAACTTGCAAGCATCCACGGTAAGATTGTACAGAAAGGGCTTATATCCACTGAAACGCTTGTAGAGTCCGAAGCTAACCTGAAATTTCAGCGTTTATTATTTTGTTTGTTTGATTGTATGCTAATGTTGATTGGACTATACACCTTCACTCTGGTAATGGGAACCTTGTACAGGTTAATCTTAGTCGTAAGATACTTGTAGGACCGATTCACCGCCTTTATGGCGCAGTATTCGAAATTGCAAAACTCTTGATCCAAAGCCTTACACTTGAAGTTGGTGAACTCGACATGAGTAGAAATCTTTAATGATGGTGGTTAGAAAATTGTTAAATGCTTCAATTTACTTGACCAACCAATTTCAACGAGAACATCACCACCAGGATCCGAACAAAAATTGCGTACATCATACTGATTCGATGTACGCAGAAGAACTAAATGTAAGTTCGACATACTCATTATAAAGCTTTTTATTGGTAGAATGGTTTTGGATTTAATCGAATAGCCATTTCCAGTGACAAACAAAAGTTTAATGAGTAAGTAATTGCTAAGTTAGTATTATATGCCAATAAACTCGTCACCACATTTTGCAACTCAAATTGAACCTGTAAAGCAACCATTGCGTTTAGGGTTTAATATTAAACCACAAGTCATCCGACTGTAACTTTCACGAACTTCAAAGAAAACAAGAAGTGAAACATTACTTAGATTAATTATAAGGTAAGATTATGTATCTGGATAATATAGAACTATTTTTTTTGCATTTTTCTCTATTTTGAATTGACTGCGTCAATTAAGCACTCAATCGTTGATAACACGCACACTGATCACTACGTTAGATTAATACGTATATGATTTCAGGAAAGAGCCAGGAAAATTGTTACCACAGCACGTGTTATGTCATAGGCAATCCAGTGAGTCTCGACCATATAGTCACCTTCCGGAAATGATAATACTTTCGTAAAACGGTAACTCATGTTCTCGGTGGTTAGCTTATCCACAACAATATCGTGCTAAAAGGCATAAATAAATTAAATTTTAATTATAATTAAAAGAAATACTTCTCACATCAAAGGGACAGGTGTGGTTCATGTTGGAGACTTGCTTGAAAAATTCATAGAAGTAGAAACTGACAGGATTGCTCTTCGGGTTCTTCAAAAACTTGCAAGCATCCACGGTAAAGTTGTACAGAAAGGGCTTATATCCATTGAAACGCTTGTAGAGTCCAAAGCTAACCTGAAATTTTATCATTGTCTTTCTTTGAGAAAAGTTTCATGTTGATTGGACTGTGTACCTTCACTCTTGTAATGGGAACTTTGTACAGGTTAACCTTAGCTGTAAGGTACTTGTAGGACCGATTTACCGCCTTTATGGCGCAGTATTCGAAATTGCAAAACTCTTGATCCAAAGCCTTACACTTGAAGTTGGTGAATTCGACATGGCCAGAAATCTTCATTGGTATTGGTTAAAAAAACTGTTAAGTTGGATAGAAAATGTCGATCTACTTTACCCACCAGTTTCAACAAGGAAATCACCACCAGTAGCCGAACAAAAAAAGCCCACGACATACTGGATCGATGTACGCAAAATAACTAACTGCTGTTCAACAATTATATTTATTATAAAGTTATTTATGGTAAAAACGATTTCGGATTTCATTTATGAGTCAATATTGATTTACTTGGAATTATAGGCAAATAAACTCGCTAAATGTTGCAACCCAAATTAAACCTGTGCAATTAGGGGTTTAATCTGTACCATTATCAAAAAGTACTTAATTTAAAGTGTATTATATTTTTTCTAATCATTTTTTTTTTAATTCAGAATTGTTTTTAATCTTGCAATGACTTTTAAAATTGTTTTACAGATCCCAAATGCATAATACGGATATGAGATCTAAGTTGAATACCAAGGATGATTTGCTCGTAACTACCAGTTGTGAATTCCATTAAACTGCATTTTCAGCGCTCCCGAGCGATCGGTTATCCAACCTTAATCGATTAAACGCCCGACATTGAGTATAAATAGATCGGCGTAGATTTAATGCAGCACTAAAGTTATCAATATGCTAACAACCTGGATATGTTGTAATGCCAACGCCTTTCGCTGGCCCCCATTCGCTGATTACTTTCGAATTTCTCACAGCCCGGAGTCCGGAGACCGGAGAATTGGAGAAAGAGCGGCGAGAAATGGGGAAGCGGGGCAAAAGCTCGCCGCCGAGCAAAGCTCGAGTCTCGAATCACAAAAACAAACAGCGCCACGCTCCCAAGCACAATTACACGATCGCTTTCCGAGAGGTGACAACTTTCGAGGGCTTTCCGATCCGACGACAGTTTGGATTAAAGACCCGAAACCACAGTACCGCCTATTTACCTAACCGATTCGGCTGGGCGACCGAGGAAAATCCCACAGACAAACCGCGCGTGTGCCAAAAAAAGAATATAAATCCATTTATGCTTCGAGTTTAATGGGTGCATTTCGGCTGTGATTCGCATGCAAATTCGGCGTTCGCTAAAAACTGTGAAACTAGTGCCATATTAATATTTATTGATTTTAAAAATCAAACTTTGACTATTAGAACGCGCAAACAATGAGGAACTGAAGGGGAAACATTTGATTTGAGGTGTGCGACGCGCGCCAAAGTCAAAGTCAAAACAAAACACATTTCCGGTGGCCACAAATCGTTTGGGCCAAATTCAATAGAGCGGATAAAAAACGCAGCCAGTGGGGCATTCCAATTGTAATTGGGCTATTTTCGCCCCCTCAAACGCAAACACAGGTAAGCCCATCCACATTTTTCTCGGCTGACATCACAAAATGACACAGAGTTAGAGAGACGTAGACTTAATTACGAATATAGGACAGACAAAAAGATTTGGCAGGGAAAATTCCCATTGCGAAAGTCTTAAATCCCAAGTTGGCTTTCTGTTGGTTTTAGCGTCTCTTTTATCGAAAACCATTGACGCAATTTAAACGGTCGATTAGCATTTAACACTAAGCGGTTACCAATTTGTTTATGACTCCCTCAAAGCCAACGCCATATGCTAATTGGCTTTATGGGCTGCCAAATAAGTTGCTAATTTTATGATATCCTCAATGAAGTGTCAATTAAATGATTCACTGACTCTTATTTTCGATGGCTAGTTGTCTGTGCATCCACGATACTTTTAAGATCGCATCTGCCCGGCTGTTACCGAACACAAAGTTGCAGTTTTAATGGCCCAATAATGCATTCCAGAAATTATAACGTAATAAGTATTTAAGGGCCAAGACATGCGAATGCGACAGTGGCAATTCATCAATAGATTACGTGACTTAAACGCGAGAACGTGTCCAAAGCGGAGGTTTTCTAAATAGGGCACTTAACTAGCAAGACATGCAGTTGCGATTTGTCTCGAAAACCACCGAAATTAATAAATATCTTAGGTTTTTTAGTAGCACGAACACAAAGAAGGTTGCTACTTAACCAAGAACCAATTCAGTTCTTAATAACCAACTTAAGTTCCTAATAGACTTATCTGTTTATTCTGATTTGTTCCGAAATATTCTGAGGAGCTCTTTGTGCTCAAATTATTATGGATGGCGGCTTGAACTGGTTTCGGTTGGTTTTAATCACCTCAGAAGTGAGCGTCACTTGCATCTCTTAAACAAAAGATATAAAATCTGAATGAAGCTCTTCCCCTAGGAATATTTGGATGGAAAGATTAGAACCCGGTTGTGGTTTTCTCCGATGCGTAACCGCGGGGAAGCGCGTTTTGCATAAAAATCGCCAACTTATCAAAAACGAGAGCCGTCGAATATAAACAATCAAGTCATAAATATTCAAATCAAACAAAAGCCGGTAGCAGTTCTCCCTCTGGGACCATTAAACTTGAAAGCGAATGGCTAGACCAAGTCTGATCGCCGTCTAAAATGGATTATGGAACCCGTATTTTGTTTACCATGCGATTAATCACTCATATAATCAAACAATGATTTCACGAGGAAACCTGTGATTGTGACTTTTAACATGTTATTTCAGTTACTTCAGCGAAATTCGTTTGTTTAAGGTTTAGAGTACCATTTAAGATGCTTTTCCAAGAACAGAGTTCAGGTAAATATATAGTGCAAACAGACTTCTGGGTAAAGTCAATAATAACAGTCTATTTTTGGACAGTTCCAATTCGCATGCCGTCAAACAATTGAGCTATTCATGAGTTGCGGACTAAAAATGAATTCAATGGGCTGTGTAGTTTGGAAAAATTACCTAAGTGAGGACTGCCAATTGGGATATTTATAAATCACTACTTAAATTTATTTGACAGGCTAAGTTTAGTTATAGGTTTTATTTAATAGTAGTAATAACTAGGGATTTTTTTGTGACTTTTAAGTCGTAAGCCCCTTCAAAAAGTTACCCTGATGTTTGCAGTTATCTAAACCCAAACAAATGTGTTTGCAAGTGGGGCAACATGTTGTATACGTGATTTTCTTACAACAATATGTGAGTGTGCAAAAACCCACCACACACACACACACACCCGTTAATCCACCTAGCACCGTGTTAAATACAGCTTTCGGAAATAATTGAGCCACGAATCGAAGCAGAAACAGAAACAATCCGAAAATCAAAACAAGCTGAACGCATTTCATTGAAATGGGCGACAGTTCGTTGTTCGGCTTCGATGCGACCACGCCCACCGCTGTTTGCTACGCCCTTTTCGGGAGATTTGGCAGTCATGCGAAATATATTTTGCAATTGGCCCTGTAATTTGAGTCGGGTGAAAAACAAGCCGCTAAAAAGCAACAAGCAAAAACGAAAACAGCTAATGTAATTGAACAATTAATTGAACATTTGTGCTTCCTGTTGGCTGCTAGACTGTTTGGTTTGCTTTTATTGGGTGATTTACCCAGAGATCAAAATTTGGATAGCCTCATTTCTAGCACTCACTTTTCAGTCCCAAAGCCAAAGGTCACACACCTGTTGGGGTGAAAAGTTCGAGCACGTGTGAAATGTGTGCAATATTTAAGTGCGTATGAGCAAACTTTAATTAAATACAATTATTTTGTTGAGGAAGTTTTAATTTGATGGCACTTAGCACAAATCCCACTGCCAATTGAACACGCCCACATTTCGCTCACTTTCTAAGTGTGTGCTTAAATAGTTAAAAATAAACCAAAACAAAGGGAAACGCCTTCGGAGTGTTTATATATAAAAGACTTTTTTATGGCGAGCGCCAGGTTGTTTGACATCATCCAAAATTAGCTGAAATTTCAGCAGCTGGAGAATCCCCCTCAAGATCAAATCATTGAGGTCCGCCGAATAAAACCAGTTACCGGCATTTTGACGTATCTACTTCACAAAACAAAATTATACTATTTTGCCAGCTGACCGATAGCATTCAAGTCATTGGACTGCGTTTAGGAAACAAAATGCACAACAAAAAAGCCACGAAAAAAGCCCCAAACACAAAGCGGTTTGAAAACGTGGAAAAGATTCCAATCCATTGATTGTCGACTTGGGAGATACTCAGTAAAAAAGATAGATAGTTTTTAAAACAATTTCTATCTTTCCTATGATCTGTTATGTTATGTTATATGTTTTCCGCATTTTTATTTTGCAATCCAGTTAACTGGTTGCTGAATCTCTTTAGTAAACAAATAAAAACACTTATTCGCCATTCTACATATGTTAAAACCCAATAAACCCCTCAAAAAGTGGCTATTAAAACATAACCGCTTGCTTCTCCGTCTCTGAACTTGGCCGGGCTATAAAGACAGTGATATTTATGGCCTTTTATCACATACAGCGCGTTTCAATTAATTTAAATAATTCCATTTGTCACAGCATCAGCTGTCTAGGAAGCCTTTTGGCGATTTTGCTTGAAATTCATGTTCATCTTGAATATAAAGTGCAATGTCTCAACATTTTTGATAAATAAAACGAAACTAAAGCAAATGGTTATTTTATACGGCTGTATAGAAAGTTACTCTTATGATTTTCCTCAGATGTGTCTGGCAACTTGAATGCATTTCAAGCATTCACAAAATGATATCTCAAAGACTAGTGTTTACGATTTCCATACAAAATTCGACCCCAAGCTGTCACTAGGCCGTGCATTTGAATATTTATTTACCCATGACATTTTTTGGTATCGCCTTTTGTGTGTTTGGCTAAGGGCTACGTTGATAAGGTGTCAAGTTCATCTAGAAATATTCAGAATAGTTGCAACAACAACTATTAGAGTTTCATATTTCGTTTGTTAATCGGAAGCCTCGGTAATGTGGAGAAACAGCGGTAGATCGGTTCATAAACTCCTCTGATAAATATATTTCCTTAAACGAAAGCCACACTTGCCGGTTTTAAATAAATTTAAATTCGATTGTTATATCAGGCGAATTAATATAAGTCAGGGCATTAAAAGTAAATCAATTAGCGGAGTCCAGTACTCGTTGATAAAGCAATACCGCATTATTTTGCCTTAAATGTATTTATAATTATTAATTGCCTTCGAAAATAAGGTCTGATTGAAGGGAGGATGAAAGCCAAAACGAGAACTACTCCATTTGGGATTATCAGTTTGGGCCTCTTAATGCACGGCCAAAATGCAGCACTCGGTCACGCATTTGGAGAGTGGCTTCGTCTGCAGACCGGTCAAATCTGGTTTGGGTCAGATCTTAACACCTGGCGACTGGTAACCCCCGACTAGAAACTGCTTGAAGACAAAAGAAGAGCCGCCCGCTTACCTGCCGCTGCAATAAGTGGAAAATTTTCTCCCCGAAAAAAGTCCCGAATATTAATGCACCCGAAATCTGGGTAACTTTCCACTCCGTTTGTTTCCAAAATTCGGGGAGAAATAATAATAATGAACAGCCAGTGACAACGGTTCACGTGTTGACCGAATGTTGCCTGAAGTACCGAGCCAGCAAATAATTGCGGACTAATTCGAAAAGAATTTACAACTTCCTTTCCTTTTTGCTGCTCAATGAGCAACTATGGCAAAAACAAACGAAACCGGAGACCCAGGCAGTAAGTGCTCGAAAGCGAAAAACGAGGCACGCTATGGGAACCTCACTTTTTCGATTAGAGACCCTCCGGTTTTCCTCCATTTCCCCCTGGTCGGATTATCAGTTTCACAGGTGATCATCCCGGTTCCCAAAACAAAACAACAAATACAAAAACCATAACAATAACAAGCCAGATTGAGACTGAACCCCGAAACTGAGCCCCGCCGACTCAAAAATAGTTAAAAAAAAAAAAAAAACGACGAAGACGACGAGAACAATAACAGCGAAGCGACAACAAAGTTTTGATTTTTATAAAAGACAAGGTTCGCATCAAGTACAAAACAGTTTCGTTCGAAACGCTGCCGTGTGAAGAGCCAAGCGACCAGAACGAGCGTTCGAACAACGAGCATCTTTCAGATACTTTCGGTGCGGATAAATATTTATAGGTCCGAGCTGGCACCTCCGCCAAATAGATGCCACATAATAGAGCTAGTGTCACTCCGTGTCATTTGCCGGCTGCTTGTTGGCCGATATTGTAGCCTTACCGGATAACCAAACTAATTTGTAATCCGATCTCAGTGTTTGTTTCCACCCACGGATCGAAAATGAAAGCGAATCCAGCCGCGGATCACGTTTACTTCAACGACGGCTTCAAGTGCTCAACCATCAGCATCAGCACAAACGTCAGCGAACCAAATGGAAGTAGCAACAGCGTGGGATCCCAAGGATCCAAGGAGTTTATACGTAAGTTTTTAATAAAATAAATAAATAGTTAACAACAAGCTAGGGCTTATTTAACAGTCGGAATGTCAAACTTATTGTGTTAATTGTATTAAAAAAATGAGTGAAAAATTTAACGGACTTTCAGCAAAGCAGATTTCACACGTTTAATGACCCAGAAAATGTAATTGATTTATTACTTTTTGACAAATTACCATACATTGTTTGAGTGGCTGAAAAAGCTTTTACAATTTAGACTATTACCAAGTGAATTAGTAATTGCAAAACTAAATTAAAGTAATTGTTCTATGGCAAATATATTAATGATTTTCGTGAATCACGAGATGCAGTATTACGTTTCGAGCCACTTAATTTAGAAAAAACTAAAGTTGCAAATTGCACTTTGATTTCATAATTAGTTCCTTGTTAGCTGCAATTATAATACTGGAATGCAGCAAATTTTTCTGGCTAGCAAAAACTAGGCATCAAGTATACGCCTCGTGCTCTTCAATCGGAGATGCAATTGTTTTTTACGGTTTCTCAGCCGCTCAACTCAAACCTTGGCAATGCATTTCTCGTACATCGGAATAAAAACTCTGGCAATTACAATACCTGAAAGCAAACAGAAAATAAAATGGGAGGGTGGGAACTAAATGAAGTTGATCAAGCGTGGTGCTCGCTAGTACGTGATTCTGAATCAGTACTGTTATCGTAGGCATTTTAGCCATTTCATTGACTCTCTTTCCATTTCCGCCACCTTCTGACCGAGTGATTCACTCTTTCTCTGACCTTTTCAGTGACCGAGGACGGCAAGAAGGTGAAGCCCCCGTCGAGCACACTGGACTGCACCCGCAGTTGGCTGCAGGATTGCCAGCGACGCACCTTCAACCGCAAAACGCTGCACAAGAGACTGCCGATCTGCGGATGGCTGCCGAAGTACAACAGCCAGGATGCAGTGGGCGACCTGGTGGCCGGCATCACCGTGGGTCTCACCGTGATCCCACAAGCACTTGCCTACGCAGGCATTGCCGGACTTCCCGTGGCCGTAAGTAATAGATAATTTTTTTAAGCAATTTCCGATCAGGAAAATTCACACATTTTCAATTGAATTAAATCACTTGTTCACATTTTTACATCTTTTTAGAAAACGAAGAAAAACTTTTAATAGTAAAAGCTTAAATCAATCATTTATTTTTTTGTTTTAGTATGGCCTATATGCTTCCTTTGTGGGCTGCTTCGTGTACATTTTCCTGGGCAGCTGCAAGGATGTGCCCATGGGTCCTTCGGCGATTGTGGCCCTGCTTACTTATCAAGCTGCTCAGGGATCGTGGCAGAAGTCGGTGCTCCTGTGCCTGCTCAGTGGAATCGTGGAGCTGCTGATGGGTCTCTTTGGACTGGGATTCCTCATTGACTTTGTCTCTGGCCCTGTGTCCTCGGGATTCACTTCCGCCGTCTCGCTGATCATCCTCACCTCGCAGATCCAAAGTGTGCTGGGCATCACGGCCAAGGGCAACACTTTCGTGGAGATCTGGACGCAGGTCTTCCACAACATCGAGCACACGAGGGCAGGAGACACGGTGCTGGGACTCACCTGCATAGTGGTCCTTTTGCTCATGCGCAGTCTCTCCTCCTGCCGAATTGGACCGTCGGACGAGGAGGAGTGCTCACCCTTCCAGCGCGCTGTGAACAAGATCCTCTGGATTGTGGGCACCGCTCGCAATGCCATCCTGGTGGTGGTCTGCTGCCTAATGGGCTATTTGCTGCACAGCGAGGAGCACGGAGCTCCTTTCCGGGTGGTGGGAGACATACCACCTGGACTGCCCAGCGTTCAGATGCCGCCCACCTCGCTGAGTGCTAACGAAACCAGCAACGGAGTCGCGCAGGGATTTGTGGAGATGGTGCACAGCATGGGCTCTGGTCTGGTGGTGATTCCGCTGATCTCCCTCATGGAAAATATAGCCATCTGCAAGGCTTTTGGTGAGTGTTTAATTCCTTGTTTTCCAAGCTTCCTCCTTACTAACTTGTGAACCTTTAGCTAATGGCAAACCGGTGGATGCTTCTCAGGAGCTAATTGCCATAGGAACGGCCAACATTTTCAACTCCTTCGTGCAGGCTTTTCCGGGAACTGGAGCTCTGAGTCGTGGAGCAGTCAATAATGCCAGTGGGGTTCGCACCCCGTTGAGTAACATTTATTCGGGTGGTCTGGTGATGATTGCCCTGCTGTTTCTTACCCCGTACTTCTACTTTATTCCTCGACCCACCTTGGCAGCCATCATTATATCCGCAGTGGTATTCATGATCGAAGTTAAGGTGGTCAAGCCCATGTGGAGATCAAAAAGTAAGCACCTGATAAATCCAAATCATAGCAGAGTAACCAATAACATCCGTTTTATCTCTTGCAGAAAGTGATCTGGTGCCTGGAGTTGGAACCTTTATTGCCTGTCTTGTTTTGCCTCTGGAGTGGGGCATTCTCATTGGAGTGGGACTCAATGTCATCTTCATTCTCTACCATGCAGCACGTCCCAAGCTGACCACAGAGCTGCTGACCACTCCGTTGGGAGTGGAGTACTCCATGATCACCCCAGATCGATGCCTCATCTTTCCCTCCGTGGATTACGTGAGGAATCTGGTCAACAAGCAGTCCCTTCGACAAAATGTACCTGTGGTCATTGATGCCTCGCATGTCTACGGAGCTGATTTCACAACGGCCACAGTTATCGACTCCCTGATTAGTGACTTCAACCAGCGCGGACAGCTTTTGTTCTTCTACAACCTAAAGCCGAGCATCTGCTCCATTTTCGAGCAGGTTTCGGCGGCTCAATTCGTGGTCTACTACCAGGAGCAACAGTTGGACGAACTGCTGAAGGAGCGGCACTACGTACAGAAACGCCTGGAGACGGCATGAACTCCTCTTCCTCAACACGTGATACATCTAGATTAGCCTAAGTGTTTGCTTTAGTTATTTATGTTGTAAATAGATTGCGAAGAAATTGTTGAGTATTAGCCAGAGCACAAACACTATTAGAACTTGTAAGACGACCAAATAAGTTTATTTCTTAACTAATTAATAATAATGAACAAATAATTATTATTAGTGTTTTTAATTCGCTGGGTGCAAGTAAAATTAATTAGGGGTCTTAAATAAAAGTTAATAAACATTTTTTAATATGATAAAGTTTTATATTTTTGTTATTTAAATTTAAAATTTAAATATCCACAACAACGAACTATTCAAATTTGAAAAGTCAAGAATTATACAACACCAGCTTTTGGCGCGTACCAGTATTTTTCAGCTATCGATACAACGCAACGATAGTTTTTCGATATCTGTAGTGCTGTAAGGTGGTGCATGTTTCTTTTTTTTTCAACACTTCACCATTCTCACGTGTAGCCAGTTTACATTTTGTTTTCTACTAATTTGTACATTATTTAGCTTAAAATGAAACGCCTTAGCGACGAACGTGCAAAGATCTTGTTCCAGAAACTGTCCCAATAGTGAGTAAACAGAGAAACATGTAAAAAAGTATCTAAATATTGTATTTTCAGCATTGGCACAAATGTGAAGCAGTTGATCGACCGTCCGGATGGAACATACTGCTTTCGAGAGCACCGGGATCGGGTTTACTATGTGTCTGAGAGAATCCTGAAGCTAAGCGAATGTTTTGGATACAAGCAACTGGTGTGCGTGGGCACCTGCTTTGGAAAGTTCTCCAAAACCGACAAACTGAAGTTCCACATCACCGCGTTGTACTATCTGGCGCCATATGCCCAATACAAAGTGTGGGTGAAGCCCTCCTTTGAGCTGCAGTTCCTCTACGGCAACCACATCCCCAAAACCGGACTCGGCCGCATCACTGAGAACGCCGGCCAGTACCAAGGAGTGGTGGTGTACTCGATGAACGACCTGCCTCTGGGTTTCGGAGTCTTGGCTCGTTCCACAACAGATTGCAAGACAGCCGATCCCATGACCACCGTCTGCTTCCACCAATCGGACATAGGCGAATACATCCGTGCGGAGGACACGCTGTTTTAAATCCCTAGATGCTAAGTTTTACATGTTTTATAGCAATAACCACGTTTAGGTAAATAATAAGTATGCTGAGAAAAACGGACTTTGCTTAATGTTATAGAAAGAGTGAGGGGATACTATCATTTTATCTGGTAAGGCAAATTTGGCAACCTTTTTTTTAATTTACCGCAAAATTACTGAATTAGAAATTCGGTTCGGGTGTCTGAATTTAAATCGGTGCGGGTAAACTATTTTTCAGAAGGTGACAACCCTAGCCAGAAAAGAGCAGACCAGTGTTACCGGACCAGTAACAATCGAAAACATTTGCTCTTTCACAAGATTTTTATGGTCACCCTCGCGTGAATACGTTAGCTGTGCTAATTACCAATCTCCAGCTCACATTTGACCCATCTCTAATTAAAACACAACTGGACGCAATTTTGTTTTCCTCCGATGGAAAAGCGTCTGAATGCGGTTGCAACATGGCTGCTAATACTAATTTATGGGGCTATTGTGGGTAAGGATCTCAAAGAAAACTCTTCAGAAGTATGGTGGTTTTTCGAAACTCCCACATCCCCATTTTATAAATAGGTTAAATATTCGCCTGAGTCATCTAACGTTAACTTTCTTTGTCCACAGCTCAAGGCGAACGGACTCGCGATAAGATGTACGAGCCCATAGGAGGAGCAAGCTGCTTCCGCAGATTAAATGGCACCCACCAGACCGGCTGCTCATGTAAGTATCCCAATGAAATACCGGCAATCCCTTGTTAACAATTGTCTCTCCAACTACAGCCACTTATTCCGGTTCCGTGGGCGTACTTCATCTGATAAACGTCGAGGCGGATCTGGAATTTCTTCTGAATAATCCACCATCGCCACCATACGCTCCTTTGATACCACCTCACCTGTTCACACGCAGCAACCTGATGCGCCTTAAGGAAGCTGGGCCAAAGAACATCTCGGTGGTGCTTCTGATCAACCGAACGGACCAGATGAAACAGTTTTCGCACGAGCTCAACTGCCCCAATCAGTTTAGTGGGCTGAACAGCAGCAGTGAGACCTGTGATGCCAGCAATCCGGCCAAGAATTGGAATCCCTGGGGAACTGGCCTGCTTCACGAGGACTTTTCCTTCCCCATCTACTACATTGCCGATGATGATCAAATCCAAAAGCTGGTGGACTGCTTCCAGAAATTCAACAATTTCAACTATGAGACGCACGCCCTACGAAGCTTATGTGCCGTCGAGGTAAAGTCCTTTATGTCGGCAGCAGTAAACACCGAGGTGTGTATGCGGCGCACCAACTTTATAAACAATCTGGGCGGCAGCAAGTACTGCGATCCCCTCGAGGGTCGCAACGTGTACGCCACTTTGTATCCTAGAAAACCAGCAGTTGAAAATGGTCTTACAGTAGTGCACACGAACGAAAAGTTCATCCTAGTCTCCTGTCGCCTGGACACAGCAAGCATGTTTGATGGCGTCGGTAAGATTTCTTTTATTTAAAAATATGTGGTACTCAACCTCATGGGCTCCTACAACTTCCAGGTCTTGGAGCAATGGATTCCCTCATGGGCTTTGCTGTTTTTACCCAGGTGGCGTATCTTTTGCGACAGCTTTTACCACCCCAAAGCTCTTTGCCCGATTCCCTGCGAAATGTTCTGTTTGTGACTTTCAATGGCGAGTCCTACGACTACATCGGATCTCAGAGATTTGTTTATGATATGGAGAATTTCTCATTTCCACCCGAATCCGCTGGCAGTCCTCCAATAGCATTTGACAATATTGAGTTTATGCTGGACATTGGCACCCTGGATGACATAGCTAACATTAAGCTGCATGCGCTGTCTGGAACACCATTGGCTCAGAAAATTCTAGAGAAACTCAATAACTATGCTAAATCGCCACGGTACGGCTTCAATCTAAACATCCAGTCTGAGGTGGGCGCCCACTTACCTCCCACATCAGCACAATCATTCCTGCGAAATGATCCAAAGTTCCAGGCTCTTATTCTAAACGCAAGGCCAACCAACAAGTATTATCACTCAATCTACGATGATCTGGTCAATGTAAATTTCACGTATGCCAACACAAGCAAGGATTTCACCCAGCTCGCGGAAGTGAATGACTTTAAGAGCCTTAAGGCAGACTCACTGCAAATGAAAGTTCGCAATGTTTCCTCTATTTTGGCCATGACGCTCTATCAGGAGCTTACTGGAAAAGAGTACACGGGCACCAAGGTGGCAAATCCTTTGCTGGCAGATGAGTTCCTTTATTGTTTCCTGCAGTCAGCAGACTGTCCTCTTTTCAAAGCCTCGTCTTATCCGGGCAGTCAATTGACTAATTTGCCTCCAATGCGGTAAATATATATTTGTTTAACTTGTTAAATAACTGCATATAATATCACCCCTTTGTTTAACCAGCTACATAAGTGTCTTGGGCGGATCTCAAGAGTCATCCGGGTATACCTACAGAATACTGGGCTTTCTGCTGTCACAACTCCAAGCGGACATTCCCAGAGAAAACTGCACCGTACTGCCGTTACACTTTTTTGCCGGCTTCAACAACATAGGAGAGTGTCGACTTACCACGCAGAACTACAGCCACGCCCTGAGTCCAGCTTTTCTTATCGATGGTCAGCCTGCACTTGCCTCTTAAAACTCTTACAAAATTAAACATCATTTTTATGGTAGGCTACGATTGGAGTTCCGGGCAGTACTCGACATGGACTGAATCAACCTGGTCCCAGTTCAGTGCTCGCATTTTCCTCCGTCCGTCCAGCGTGCACCAGATCACAACTCTCAGCGTCGGCATAGTGGTGCTCATCATCTCATTCTGCCTGGTGTATATTATTAGCTCTCGATCGGAAGTCCTCTTCGAGGATTTGCCGGCAAGCAATGCCGCGTAAGTCTGTGCAGATGCATCCACATATTCACCGCCAATTGCTCATCAGTTTCTGGGAGAGACCCACCCCGATTCATCTTTAGATCCTAGTTTTATGTTTTGTTTCTGCGTAATATTTATTTAAAATTTATTGTTTCTAGATTGTTTGGTTGATGTCACAACTGCCACAGCGACGATATCATCGCGTTCAGCTGCTCATTCCACAGATTTCTGCATGCATAAACGTTTTAAAAATATTAGTAGTATACAGTTCGATTCAACTCTGATTTATGCGTGCCCTTTTAGGTTGCCGCGGCCGACGGCCTGTTAGTCAGTGGAAGTCTCCAAGAAAATCTGAGCCCGTGCCGGAGTTATTTGACAGCTGAACAAAATCTAAAATACAGACTTAACAAAAAGACACTAAAATGATATTCTAACTCGTATTGTTTAAACCATTAAGCAAACCTTTATTTGTATGTATTTTTGTATTTTAAACAAGTAAATTAGCCTCTAGCGACTGTGTTGTATTATATATAGACACTTAACCAATTTGCGACAAAGCATATACTTCTACGTATGAAATCTTTCTACTTGTCCGGCCCGTTTTGCATTGTACATAGAGATAAACGAATTGAAATTGAACCTCTGCGAATGCCAAGTAAGAGACCTCTGTACAAATATTGACAAGAAACTGCTAAAAATCATAACACACTGGAAATATTTATACCTTCTGCATCTTTTGCGATACTGAACTTAATGATCTGAAATCATCACTTCATAGAAGACAAATAATTATAATAACGACATTAAATTATATATGTTTAATAAATTTTGATAAGGTGTAAAGCATTGTAATATTATCGGAAGATTTTAGTCGGGTAATTCTCTAAGCAATCAGGTTTCTTATATTCTTTCACAGCTCTTGGTTTCACAAGTCCTTCAGCAAATATCCCGACGATTCAGGTTGGGGATGTACAAATACTGTTCACTTTTATAAAAATTGGAAAAACGGAGCGAATTGACTAGATCCTTATCCAAAATTTTAGCTACGTTTTGTGGTACTTCTTTTGCTAAGTCTCAAATACCTTAATTCCTTTAGTCTAGCAATCCCCTTTGCCGGAGATTAACAATGGAATCGGTGATGACCCCGGCGGAAGCCTTTAAGTAGCCTCCGCTCAGCAACATCACCACCGGAATGCCCAGCGAGCGGAATGTGCTGAAGACCAGTCGGTCGCGTTCCATGACGCCCTCCGCCGTAATGGCAAGGTTGCCCAGGGGATCCCCCTCGAGCACATCGGTGCCCGCGTTGTAGATGACCACATCGGGACGGAATTCGGCCAGGGATTGCATCAGGCAGCGAGTTAGCTGCCTCAAATAGTAGGCATCCTCGGTGTGGTTGCGCAGCTCCACGGCACAGCGGATGCCCTCCTTGGCCACATGGTCCTTTGGATAGACAAAGGCATTGTACATGTCCAGTATGAAGACAGCTGCAACGTTTCCGAAATCCCGCTCGTGTCCGTTTCCCTGATGAGCGTCCAGATCCACAATCATGATGCGGCGCACCCGGAACGGTTCCTGCTCGAACAGCCGGACGATGAGCAGCGATATGTCCGCATAGGGACAGAAGCCGCCGCCCCTGTACGAGCAGCAGTGGTGGAATCCGCCGCCCAGGTTTATGGCCCAGCCGTAGTCCAGGGCCAGCTTCCCCGCCAGAATGGAGCCGGCTGCCTGGAAGCGCATGGGACGCAAGTAGGACCGCTGGATGTAGCGATTCGGGACGAAGGCCATCAGAGGAACCTCCGCGATGCAGGCCACGCTCATGCTCCACTCGAGCGACTTCAGGTAGTCCCTGGTGTGGATGCGCCGCAGCTGCTCCTTGGTCAGCTCCTTCGGCTCGTAGAAGCTGCCGCCATCCAGCTGCAACTCGGCACACAGGAGCTGTGGAGGCGGAGGAGGAGTCTCGAGATGTGACCGGGGATGTCAAAGGATACATACAGACCTTCTGAATGTGCTTGCCCTTGGCCGCATCGAAGGGGTGTAGGCGTTCAAGGCCAGCGAATCGCACCGCATACTTCCTGGAGTAGACGATGGGCAGCTTGCTGGCGGATCTGGCGTCCTCCCGCTTCACCCAGACCACCTCCTCGGAGTCGATCTCCTCGTGGTGCACTCGCTCCGTCAAGCGCTTCATTATATTTTGAAATATAAACCCGAACGAGTGGCTTACATCCGTGCGACACCAGTTGATTTCGGCTACGCAGCGAGAAAATGCAATTCCGGATGTTTGGGAATGGGGGTTGATGGCGCCATCAGCTGTCTGCCGGCGAAAGCTCTTCATTTGGGGCAAGCTTTCCAATTAAACAACAAATCCACTTAAAAGAATTTTATTGCATTTCTCAACTAAAATTTACTTCGGTAAACAGGTCGGTTGTAGTCATCCTGTAAATCTCGATAGGTGTTCAAAGCCCGCTGGCCACGAGAATCCCTCAGCTGCCAAAAGTTTTTCCACTTCAAATGGAGAAACAAAATTCAAATAGGTATTTGTTAAAAATGTATTTATTTAAGAATGCACCTTAATACTTACATATTCCTGGGGTACATCAACGGGTGTTTGAAAAATAAACCAAATAACTGCTTCAGCACATGGAGGAGTGGTTAGAGATCCTTCATAGGTCAGGTATTTATTGGTGTCTATGCAAGCAATCAAATCCTCCAAGGCCATACTTTCCTTAAGAGCTTGGCTGGCATCGAATGCAGAGATTCCAGAAACCGTTTTGAAGATCTCGTTCATGGCTGACGACTCGTTTATTGGAACCTTCGATGGTACATACTCGTATATAATTTAATATATTTAAGAAATCAAACATTTACCTCTAAGTTTCTCAGTAGCACAGCCAAAACCGCAAATCCATTTCGTTGCTGACCAGCTTCCTTGTTGCTTTTGTAGCTGCAGTTCTTGTGAACTATGTGCACCTCTCCGTCGTAAAAGTCTCCATCTAACTTGTGCTCAGATCCTTTGGTATGTTCGGATCCCCAATGGAAATGCAGCTGTTCAGCTTCGAAAACATGTCCCTGCTCACTGCTGATACAAATAGATGGCTGCTTTCCTTCAACAGTTTTAGGAATCCTCATGAGAACAGTCAACCCATTATTTATGACAGACAGAGGAGCACACAAAACTTTATTGTAATTTACCAACTCCAATTTTGGGACATTGCATGTAATGGCCTTTGAAAATTTATACGATTAGAGGGTTTTATTAAATAACACCTGAAAGAGTTGCTTACATTACAAGAGCAAAGGTCAATGGGCGACTGTCTTTTACCACCCCTGACATTCCAATCCCTTCCTTGTTTATCATAGTTGAAACCAAAGTGACTCCTGGATCCCGAATTTGTTAGTGCAAAACTTCTTACCACAAGAAACATAAACAGTACATTTACAGACTCACAAAACAAAATAAGCGAAGTGAAACGATGTGACTTTTATTTTCCAGGTGCTTTGATATCGAAAAAATTTTCTTTTTTCCATTTATATTTTATGGACATATGTACAACTGTTTGGTTTCCAACTGTTTGGCCTTTCGGTCAATTATATTCTGTTCCACAATGCGATTGCAGCCCTCGTATGTGTACTTGGACAGAAAGAAAAGAATCTCGAAGATGGCCACCATGGAGAAACCCACAAAGATGGACATTATGTTGCCAATGGTGCCTGAAAGAAAAATTGAGATTTAATACGTTTACCATTCGGAATGTAGAGATCAACACCCACTGAAAACCTCAAACCAGGCGTTGTTCAGCAATCGAATGTAATACTGGGCATGTTGTTGACCAAAGTAAACCCTAAGGACTGAGATATCGGTGCTGAATTCCGTCTGGTTATTGTCATCCATCTTGAGGGTGGCCAAATAATTGTCGATGGGCAGGGAAGACATTGAAACCTGGTATTGGACATCGCTGCAGGAAGGCAAGCACTGCGGACAGTACAAAGCCTCCTCGATTTCTCGTTCCAAGCCGGGAATTATATGCCTCTCTGTCATCACGTTGCGCCACTTGACTGGATAAATTAATTTATTAATTAATTCTTTAGGATTCTGAGCTAACCTATCGTTTACTTACACAAGTACTGATTAAGACAGGATACATGCCCCAAGGTACAATAGACCACTCCATCCAGATTTTCCACTAATTGCAAGGGCAATTGGAAGGGCAAACAGCGACATAAAGCAATGATACTACGTATTCGACACCTGGTAACGCAGTTGGGGAAGCTATAGGTGTAGGTGTAGGTCCTCATCAGTTGCTCATTTACTGGACTCTGGGCCTCGTAATCGAAATAGCAGCGCCGCTTTGGTATAAATAGATATTAGGCATATTTAAGTACATTTACTTTGGAACAATAAGGCTTACACCAAATGGAGAAAAAGACTTTAAGCTATCATCCGTGTCCACCACTCTAGCATAGATTGATACAAAACTATCCTCTCCCTGACTCGGAAAAATTTCCAGTGCATTCGAGGAAGTAACCGAGGCATAATTCTCTGCATTGTGTATCAAAACAATATATCCGTTGGTATTCAGAATAGGAGCAAAATAATCCGTTTGACTGTCATTCAGAACCACAGTGAGTCCAAGTTGAGAGCTGGCCAAACGATTCGTAAGGTTCCTTTTCTTTAATCTATTAAATTGTTTTATTATTATGAGAATTACTTTGTGGGTCTCCCCACTCACTTATTCTCCATGTTGAAGGTACAGCAGGGTCCATACATGGTAAGACTGTCCTGAAAAGCATCCCTGCTGAAGCAAGGAATGTCGACATTAGCCAGAGTGCACTTCAGGATAAAGTCTTCACAACTGGGAGTCAACTAAGGTGACAACGTGCTATTATTCCGTCTGAAAGTTTAAGTAACTTCATTACCATTTTCATGATGCGACGGGTGTCGAAGAAGGTTTCGTTGTTCCAGGTGCCAAAGACATCCAGGAACGTTTGAAAGGTAACAAAGTCATCGGTGTCCACCACAACTCCCACGTGGGTGTAGAACTCCCGAAAGAAATTTAAGCGCTCCAGAAAATATTCCACAGGACGAATTACAGGGCTGTTTAATCTCCTACACAACATGTATTAACTTTAGAATAAAATTACTTTTTTGATATACCCACAATTCTTCCGCGTATCTAATCACTGCCTGCCGGGAAATCCGATTGTTGGTGCAAATGGAAACAGCCGGAAACGGTACGTCTTCGACAGGATAGAGTGGATCCTTCAGATTGGTAACAAAGTATTGGGCCACAAACTGCTCCCAGGTGAGTGATAGAACCACCACCAAGGAAACGGTGGTGGCAATGTGCAGCAGCAACCAAATCATTCTAACGATTTCAACCACGTTGTAACACATTGCGTATGAGTAATATTAAGATCCTACCTCTGACCCAATGTTAAATCCGGGGACAGTAGCTTATTGTATCCCTGCAGAGATATATTTCTGAGGAGATCCGCCATATCTAAGCAGAAAGCTGAACCCAAGGATGCCTTACGACCCTTGGATTTATTGGCCTTTCCTGCCTTTGGATTTTTAATCCACCAAATGGCATTTGAAGTCGACTCCAGCTTGACCATCTTCGGAGAGGTTTTGTTTCCTAAAATCCTTTATTTATCCTTGCCGTTGAGTGTTGTTTGGTATTTATATGTTTCGGGCTATCAACTTTTTTCGTGATTAAGCCCCGAAGAAAATGGGCGTGACTAACTAATGCATTTCGTTCATTAACGCAGTGATAATTACCGTTGACTCCAGGGAAACTTAGAAACTATTTCACTGTTGAAAGTAAAGGTTAAAGGTTGCTTGTGAATATTATTTATTGTAATTTAATGTATTAATAAAATTATTTAAGTATTTACAAGATTCCATTGGAATCCCTTTTTGTTTCACTGTTCAAATTATCTTAAATAAAATTCTACTTCAAGTAGAAATAAGCTAAACCTGAGTCTTCTACATGTTTAAGTACTAAATTTTGCTATTCTATTTTTATCCCGATGGCCAGAAGGGTTGGCCAGGATAATTGCGGGATCCTGGGAAGGCGTACTGATTGGGATTGACTACTCGGGCGATGTCCGTGTAGCTGCGACCACCTCTTGGAGGAGATTGGTAGTATCCTCGTGCCGGTGATGCGGATGCGGTGGCCACGATGATGAGCAGGACAGCCAGAAGGCTGAGAAGGAATCCTTGGGTTGACATGTCTGGGAAAGAAGTGCTTCGCTTCGAGTGCTGAACTGCAGCAATGCCCGGTGACCGGCCTATTTATATGTGAGTATCGCCAGCCGATCGGTTCTTGTCGTTCTCAGGCGCTTGGCTTATCAATCAGGTTTCGGCTCAGACCGAAACGAAACCCCAGGAGAATTGCGTTGCCGCTCACGTAGATCTCGGCTCTTTGTATGATACGGCTGTTTATGATCACTTTGTTTTTTCTCAATATTTACTGACACGCTGCCCGCGCCAAGTCATTCACACCGCACTCCGTTATGCCGAGTGAGTTGGCATATATAGCATATATAGCTACCTATATGATCTTGACTCTAATTGAGTGGTGAATGATATGGCTTCATAGGCACGACCGACCCAGCCTCCCAGCATAAGTGCTCGTACGTATTTAAATTGCAATTAGCTAACTCTGACGGGTTGAAGTAATGACGTAGGTGCGCCATCTGAGGCGCTGTATACATATTAGCAAATTCTTGCATAAACAATTGCCTTGTTTGGTGCGAATTGTTGTCACCGACTTCGGCGAAGTCTTCCTTCCTGTATGGTTATTGGGATCTGGTTTCTGGTGGTTTCACTTCCTCAATGACAGGCGCTGCACGAGGGGAAGTCCTAGGAGATCGGCTGCAGTTCGATCTGAATCACTTGGCCGGATCACGAGTGCAGTGCCTCGATGGCTCGTAAAGCGGCTATAAATGTAAGCCGTACCTGTGAGCCATGAGTCCAGTCAGGTGAAGTCGTGGGTCATTACCAGATCACCGTGCTGGTAACTGTTTTGTTCAGGCACCTCAGCAGCAAATTAACATTGTTGGGCAATGAGAAATTTAAGTAGTTCTTCCGGAAATTCTTTCGAAATTTAAAGGGGTAATAACAACAATAATAAAAAACGTATTAAAATGATCATGATTCATTAGCGAATCACCCAGTTTTCTAGAACCATTTAATTGTGGGAAATTTAGTCAATGATTTGTTTGGGGGTTTGTGAATAAAGTGATTTCTTTATGCAAATATCGTAAAATCGTGGGGGATAACTGGGGGAATATAATTAATGCAAAATCGTAAAGGAATTCAAACTAATTTACACTCTAAAAACCATGTTCAAAATATATGTTTATGTAATTTTGTACAACTTAAAAAGATTCAAATTGGCGTTAAAAAATTACAATATGTATAATATATATATAGAATTGATAAATAATTTATTTCCATAAGCATATGGTTAATATATTCATTCAATAATTTCTAAGCAATAAAAACATTCTCCCGTGAATAATAATTATTCAGAGGAATTCCCCAGAAGGAATCCCTTGGTTCAAGGTACCTGGCTGGGACCTTACCCCATTATCCCAATAACCGGGAGTTCGGAATAAGCCCACATACGAGAATGTATATTTATCCCCTTAAACGCGCCTCCGTTCCATTAAAAATAAAGTCACGTCCCAGCAAACCACTGAACGCGTTTGCTCCGTAAACGCGGGCCAGTGATCATAAATCTTTTGATCGTAGATATATATACAAGTAACGGATTTATAGAGCTCAAAACAATTAAACTACTTGTGGATAGATGTAACTTTCGTTGATTTTATTTTAATGGTTAATACTGCATGCGACCAAACGTTGGTTAAGAAGAAACTCAACCCCAAAGAGCGGAGAAGGGAGTTCGTGGGAGGAATCGATAGCCTCCTAGACCAACATACGGAGCAGGGTTTAGGACCTTTGCTATTTGCGAGTAAGTTCGTCCTTGTCGTTTTCCAGAAGGCTTTCGTTCTGTTTTTGGATAGGAGTAAGAAGAGTGGCCTGAATAAGACGGGTATGATGAGTAGGAATTGTACGCCGGATAGGATGTATAATTGTAGCCATAGCCTCCTGCATAGTTTCCATAGCCATAGTTTCCATAACCAGGGTTTCCATAACCAGGGTTTCCATAACCGGAGTTTCCATATCCGTAGTTGCCGTATCCATTGTTCCCATAATTTTGTACTCCACTATATCCTTTTCCCGACTTCCAGGACTTCTTGAAGAAAAAAGCGCCACTCCAATCCAGGCAGCAAATCAGCAATATCAGGATCGAGAAAAGGGAAACTCGGGTTCTCATTGTTTCTATTTCGAATCACTTCCAGTTCTGGCAGCCCATCTACGCAGTTCTCCTCTATTTATACCCTGGAGTTTATGGAGTTGGTGACACATTGTGGTCTAGCTCATTTGAATGGTTTATTTGTTTTATGTTTTCTTATCCCCATAAAAACGGCCGGGATCTCTGGAAGATTAGCTCGGACAACGGGCAAGTGGCGACTCAGTGCATTATGCTGGATTTATTATAGCGACGGATTGGCACGATCAACATGCGGAGCACGCGCCACTCGCTGGAAGACTGAACGATCGCAGACGGTCAGTATAAAGCGGACATCCCATCCCAGTGGCAAAGTGGTTTGATTTAAAACTTAAAAGACTTGTGGCTCAGCACTCTAAAAAGCTCTATCAATTTTATTGATTTTAAATATGAACATTTTTTTGTAATTTTTCGAATTACAAACCATTATTTTGCAAAAATAGAGAAAACATCGTCATTTCCACACCCAGAGCTTTTCTTATTTACCAAATCTAGTCCGATTTGGAAGTGGTATACCTCTAAAAGCTTGTAATTTGATTCTCCAAACAAGTTTAAAAAAATATTTATGTTTATGATGTTACCCCTGTCAAATATTGTGAAAATGGCTTTGTGTAGAAATTACCTAAATTCAGCACTTTTAGGCCCATAACTTTTTTAAATGAAGTCGGATTTTGAAGTGCTTATCGCTTGTTGTTGAATTATCTAAAAAACTAAATCAAAACCATGGAAAATATCGTAAAAATGTTTATATAATGTTTTCAATAAATTATTGTCTAAAGTTCAATATTTAAAAAGCTTTCTTCTTTAGGTTTTTTTTTTTTACTTCTATATATATCAGTATTTTTTGTTTTGAGTGTTTAACATAGACTGCCTCTTTGTTTACCTTTCGTTTCAAGATGATCGTGATGACCGGGCTGAGAAGTCCGTTAGAGAGCGGATTAGGGTTCTCCGGCTGCGGCTGCTCAGCATCTTAATCATTCTCTCAACAATCGCTGGACAGGTTTCCAATGTTTACTCAAGCATCAACGATTATCGCATAGTCAGAGCCGAAAAAATCCCCACAGTTAGAATTAACCTCTCGCGGCGATCACTCGATCATGACGCGATCTTCGCCAGCTTGGATCGCCTGGTTCGCTTGGCTCCTGGCCTCCGTCTCGATCCGCACGTGCCGCGCTCAGTTTTCGATTGCCACTCCGAATGGAGCAAGGGCCTCCGCCGGCGGAGTCACCGTGGTGGCCCAACTCCCTGGACTGGGAGTAATCAACGGACTGCTCAATGCCATGCACAACAACAACAACTTGAGACCCCAGCAGCAGCAGTTCGAAAGACTGCAGCAGGGCAGGCCGGGAATGGGATTCAACCGGAGAGGAATGAACGGCAGGCAGGGATTCGGACCGTCCAACCAACAGCAAGCTCCGCCTGGCTGGCCACCCGGCTGGCAATGGGGCGCTAGCAACCAGAATCAGCAGGGATTTGGCTGGGAGCAACAGGGATTTGGACCGAATTGGAATGGTGGAGGTGGAGGAGGTCCAGGTTGGAATGGAGGAGGTCCCGGATGGAATGGAGGAGGTCCAGGTTGGAACAACGGAGGCGGAAGAGGTCCACCACCTAGGCCAGGTTGGAATGGGGGAGGACCACCACCGCCAAGACCAGGTTGGAATGGAGGAGGACCTCCTCCGCCAAGACCAGGATGGAATGGAGGGGGACCGCCTCCACCTAGACCAGATTGGGGTGGACCGCCACCTGGACCCCCACCTGGACCACCACCAAGACCAGGATGGAACGGAGGAATGGGACCTCCTTCGGAATGGGATAACAACCAACCCTTTCCAGATCAAGGAGATCCTAATGAACCCAATCCTAATGAACCTGACCCTGTACCAGATACCAGAACCCCACCCCCCGTCGAATCAACGACTCCCAAACAGGTGGAAACGCATCCCACTATCCAACCACGTCCGCCAATTCAACCCACGCAGCCAATGAAGGACACCCTCATCGTAGGCACCAATCGACCACCCCTGGTGCCGCCCCAGAATCCAGAGCCCGACAAGACGCTGTACCCAACTTGGCCGCAGCCAGAACCACAACCTGAACCTCAACCAGCACCGAAACCGAATCCCCAACCGGAACCGCAACCTAAGCCAAATCACTCCGTCGAAATGTCCGAGGAGCGTTCCATCATTTTCCCCAATTCCAGTAGGTACATCCATGTGCCCAATCAGGAGGTTCCTTCGATACCCATCGATGTGAGGCGAAGATGATTCTTGGCGAATCACTTGTTGTATATGTTCTTAGTTCGGCAAGATCAATGTAACGAGGCCAAAACAGGTTCTGAAAGCTTGTTGGCGAAAGATAATTTAATTTTAATAAATTACACATTAACAATCAGATGGAACAGCAGATGATTCGATGCGGGTGGGGGATCGGAAGTGTAACCGCTAGTAACCCCGCTGCTTGTAGCCACCTCCATAGGGTTCCTGCGTCCTGTGTTGATAATATCCAGAGGACGGGGGTTGTTGCTGGGAGTAGTAACCGTGCGAAGGACGAGCCTGCTGCGGCGGAGGATAGTAGGAGGTTGGAGGAGGAGGAGGAGGATAGTATCCAGCTGGGGGTCCTTGCTGGTGCCCGTAGCCATAGCCTCCGCCGTAGTGATAATCGTAGCCATGATCATAGCCATGATCGTAGCCCTCTTGGATGAGTGGACCCGGTCCAGGATGCTGATATGGGTAGGGCCTTCCAGGCGGATAATACTTTGGTTGATCGTCCAGTGCGCCCAACAGCACCTCGGCAATCTTATCGAAAGTGGGTCGGCAGTGCGCCGAACTGGCCAGGATTACGACTAGTATCACAGCCAACAACTGCATCTTTGAGTTTTTGAATCTATTTTGCTGTTTAATCAAAGCCTCCTTCCAGCTTTTATAGCCCAGCTGCACATGGCGATAAGAAAGATGAATGGAATGGCGTAGAAGAACCTTGACTACTGGCACATATGTCATATATATTGTTTATAACGCTATCGGTAGAACTGGTAAACAAGGTTGTCTGAGAAAGCTTTCGCTTATTATATACGTAATATATACTATACAATAAAACATAATTCTTCTATGCTGAGATTTTTTTATAAGTTTAGGGAATTCCCAAAACAATTTTGCGTGTCTACTTTGAACTCTAATTGGTGGCCAAGATTATTAATATATTGCACTCAAACAAATACTAATGTTCTTTGGATATTATTTAAATTTAAAACCCTCAAGTGGTGATATTTTAAAACCGTATAGCTTATTTATGTTTGGATTGTTTGCATATTATGTTTTAATTAAAAATTATTTTGGTCCAACAATTCAATCACAATAATTTTTTGTGTGTGTAATCTCTCATTCAATTTCGCGGAAAGTATCACTCAATGAGACTTGAATACCTATTTGGCCATTGAGCCCCAGCTGATAACCCTAAAAATAGCCACTCAGCCGAGCTCTCATAACATCTTCTCATCAAATACACGCGCCGAGAGCTTTGGAGGCTTAGTATACCTAAAAACACCAAGACGAGGAGGATGGGAATTGCACTCGCTGTTCTGGCCATCATCCTGATGGCCTTCAATCCCTTGGATGCTTCCCAGTTCAACCGGGATGAAAGTCAGGAGGAGCAGAAGACGGAGTTTAACCTGGCATCCACATTGACGGGTGGGATCACCAGCAGTCGCCATCGCCAGCGGGCCAATCTCAACTCGCAGCTCTATCCGGCATTGAATCAGTTGGGAGGAGGTTACGCGGGAGCCACTGGATCCATCGACGACGCCCACGGCCACGAGCAGGGTGGCTCTGGAGTGCGAGTGGCCAGTACGAACTCTGTAGTCTTTCCCGGCAGCCACTCACCCAATCCGGCACTCACAATTACAGGAGGACACCAGTATCCAAACTATCCGCCTCCAGGATTCCCAGGTCAACAGGCTCCGGTTCCGTATCCCGCTGCAGGAGGAGGTTCTTCCGGAGGGGCCGTTTCTGGTGGCTTCCAAGGTTCAGGTAAGTCTTATCAAATAAATTATTTAACTCTTTAACTGATTCACCTTGATGAAGGAGATTCATATATAATATACATAGCTATTGTTTTATAGAATCTCTTTGTAAATCAATTTCTAAACAAATTCTAAATGTGTTTAAGGAATTTTAATTGATTTGTGAATAATACCATTGACTTTGTTAATATTCTAAAGAAACCAAAGACATTAAAATTTGTAGTTAACTACACACATATTCCTGCTTTACAGGCGCTGCTGTTTCTCCTGGTTATCCAGCTCCAGCTCAGGTTCCCTCTGGAGTTCCTCCCCAGCAGCCAGTTGGAATAGGAGCTCCTGGGTATTATCCAGGAACTGGCGCTTATCCTGGCTATCCCTATCCCGGAATTTACTTGCAACAGTACCCTGGCTACCCGCAGCCAGCTCAATTTCCGCCTTATGGAGTGCTACCTGGCGCTGTAGTTCAGCCAGGAGTAGCTGGTGTTCCAGGAGTAGCTGGTGTTCCAGGAGTAGCTGGTGTACCAGGAGTAGCTGGTGTACCAGGAGTAGCTGGTGTTCCTGGAGCTGCAGGAGTTCCTCCACCGGCCACAAGCAGCCAGAACATCCATCGCTACCCGAACCACAATCCGGCGGGACCCGAGCACTGGGATCACCACTTCTCGATGAACACCGAGTACAAGGAGGATGGCGTCCACAAGGGACCCTTCGGAGTGCTGAACAACCACAATGCCTTCGGCTACGGAAGCGGTTATGGGGGCGGCTACAACGGCGCCTTCAACTCGCCGGCCTACTGAAGCTGGACGGGATTAGGGATCGTGATGAGGCGTGGAGAAATCCGAGTCGTAGTCATAAGTTGCCTGCTCCCTCTTTCTGGCCAAAGGGCAGCTGTCTTTGGCTACGAAACTACAAACTTGATTTCTGCACACCCAGCCGAGGTAATTAGCAATGCTGGTCAGTTGCCAGTTACCAGTTACCAGTTACCGGTGACCAGTTGCACCTTGAACCGGAAAAAATAAAGCACATGCATTTCGGGATTCGGCATTCGGCTCCCATAAAGACAGATAACCTTACGCATACACATCTTATTCTTGTCCTTATTCTTTTCTCCTGGCGAGGACACAATTGAAGAGGAATCGGGAGCTACCTGGCTGGCAGGCAGCCGAAAAAAATAAAGGAACACACAAAGGCAGGACTGTAGACTCTAGACGAGCCAAAGGTGGTAGGAAATCAGCGTTCGGAGGGAGACCCATTTCGATTCGGAGTGCTCGTGGTGGTGCCTTTTTCGGGCCCAACTGCAGCGACATAAATCGGCTGGCTGGGTTTCTCTATATATGCAACCGATTTAGCTGCCTGAGCGGAACAGAGAAAGGAAGCCCGGCCAAAGGAGGACGTCTTGATGTCTTGCGGCGCATGCGCAGCCTGCCGCGCAAATCCTTAACAAATTTTTGGCGCTAAAATGACAGACGGGCGCGCCAAAAGCAAGGAACCGCAAGGAAACTCGAACCAAGAGTATATACTCTATGTGTTTATATACAATCGCACTCACACTCACAGATTATGAATGATTTGGGCGGATGAGTTTTACCTGTAGCAAATCGAACCGATTCCCAGACAGGGTTTGATGTCCTTAGGGCATCGGGATCAGCTGTTCGAGGATCAGAGTAAAAAAAGTACACAATTTCAGCTGATAGTTCAAAACAATAGATGGGGAGGGGTTTACTCTCTACAAAATTAGCCTGAATCTTATACAGATTTTCCACTAGCCTTTGACCTCTAATAGTTTACGAATCCATTCTTCTACCTAACGATTTTCGGAAAGTTTGCCGAATGAAACAGAAAATGTAACTGTTCATGCTATTTGACAAGGATGCAAGAGTAAAGTACTCAAAAATAATTAAAGTTTTTGATTTAATTGAGTCGTATTTTAAGTAACCTCAATATTAGTATTTCTTTTATGGCATAGAAAATGCAATACAATGACGGATTCTAGATTTAATTTAAAGGAAAATAAAAGGGAGAAAGTGTAGTCAAACCATTTGCTAAAACATTTCATTTATAATCAGAAAAGTCTAGATTACCCCATTTCTACATTCTACATTGCAATGTAAATATGAAGTTTTTCAAACTCTTCATTCGATCGCCAGTTTTTTAAGTAAGAACCATTACTATTTTTTGTTTTTTGAACGGACGTAAAAATGTTTATTGGTATTCTCTGGGCAAAAACGATACATACATAACACTGAGTACATACATAACTAGTTACTGGAACAATGCAACGTTGTCAACATTCATGGCAAGGAGAGGGGAAGTGCGTCGATTTGAGGAGTGGTGGGATGGAACTGGATGGCTTTCGTCCTACGAGGGGCGTTGGTGCGGGAAGGGGGTCCATGAACAGCTTAACAAATAACAGCATTAACAACACGACTTCGGGAACAGATGCACACGGCGTTCACGGCATACATGGCACATACACAGGACGAGGGTTGATCGCGGCGCATTTCCAGGTTGTACAGGACACACGTGCCTTTGTTAGTCGCTCGGTATCCTGGCTTCTGTGTATCTGTGTAGAATAAGTTAGTTGGCGATCCATGTCTGCTTTGGTGGCTTACGAGTAAGGTTTATTAAATGCTGGCATCTCTTAAAACTAGCGTACATATTAGAACATGAATCGTTTTGCGATTGGGGTACATATCGGGGATGTCGGTGTTAGAGATAATATCGCTTTCCCTGTTTAGAATGATTGTAGGCGAGGGGTACGTATGCGGTATTTGTAAATTAAACAATGATACATGGCAAAAGAAACAAAAAGCACTCTTAACACAATATTTATGCAAAAACATGTCAAAAATGCAAAGGTCACAATAAAAATTAATTAAAATATAATAAATTGTGAGGACTTGGTGGGGACTAGGGACAAGGGCTAAGATCAGGGTCTTAATTTTCGATTAAGGCGGGGCGATCCGCTGTTTCGTCTATACCGATTTGGTGGGTGGGGACTGAAGCGTCTTAGAGCCTAAGTGAAGCGTAACATTTTGCAGCTTGTTGCGAATTTGGCTAAACTTTGAGGCTGTCCTACGACAGATTGCTTTCGTTCAGGTCGAGGTTGCTCTGGAAGAGCTCATCGTTCGACAGCAGCGGCACCTTGGCCACCTCGTGGAATATCTTGTGCGAGTACTTATTCCGTATCGTCTTGATGGTGGCCCGCGGCTTGCGGTGCAGTCCCGCATTGAGCACGGGCACGATCTCAGCAAAGTCCGACAGTTGATAGCCTGTGTAGTAGATGAGCGTCGAGTCCCAAGTTAGCTTATCCAGCTGCCCCGAACCGCCGTGCATGCGCAACGCTATGAACAGAGCTGCGGAGGCCATTTGCGAGTCGCTGAAAGAAATGGTAGCGTAGTCCATAAGAGAGAGCTCCAGGATGTAGCGTGCCAGGGTGAGCGTGGGCATGGGCACCTTGGCACAGCGGGCGTAGCGGCGAAGGAAGCGGTAGGAGAGCGGGATACCCAGGTCGTATTTGATCACGCGCAGTGTCTCCCGCTCCATTCGCACCAGCTCGTCGTGGTTGTAGGCTCCGTCGCAGATGTATAAAAAGTCCTCAATTAATGGCGGCTGGCGTTCATCGTACTTGCAAGCAATGAAGAAAGCTGCTGCGCCGAGAAGCTGCAGCTTCTCCTTGTTGATAACCTCCTGGCAGAGATACAAGTCAACGATTTTCACCGCCAGGTACAAAGTTTCGTGGTTCAGCTCGAACGTCTCCTGCACCTCCACCATCCAGTCGACCAGCAGGGTGCGCATCCAGGGAGTCAGGTGGATCTGTCGAGGCATGTAGTCGGCGATGGGGAACTCCGGCTCGCGCACTTTCAAATAGTTGAATATATCCATGGCGTAGTGAGACACCTGGAACGGATCGTCCCAGTTCTTGCGATCGAAGTCCTCCACATCCTCGGGCACCGGCAGGATCGGCACCACCTGGCTGGGGGCGGTCTCTGGTAGGGTCAGCAGCAGCGGTTGCGGCTGCTGCTCAGTCTTTTGCTGCAACTTGGCCGAGCGGCGACGCGCGGCTTCGAAGTTCCCGGACAGCCGCGTAGAATCGCAGCTGGACACATCCTCCAGCGCGGACATGTACAGGCTGTCCTCAGTCTTGTTGAAGTCATTGGAGATCCGGCGCACAGGCTTAATTGGGGCCGCCTGGGGAGCGGCCAGATTGTGCATGGGTGGCAGCAGCACAGGTATCTGCATGGGCGGCAGCTGGATCTCGCCCAGAACCGCCTTCTTGGCGGCAGGCACTGCCTTGGGTCGCGGCTTGGGCCTAGCCAGAGCCTCTTCCAGCTTGTCGAGCACCTTGTGGCAATTCTCCACCGAATCCTCCACCTTGCTGGAGGCGCGCGTCGTCATCTTGTTGGCGGCAAAGACATTGACGCTGAGATTATCCTGTTTCTTAGCATCTAGCAGGGCCTGCAGCTGTTGGGCGGTTGGCTTTTTGCCCTCCGACTGCTCATCCTGCCCGGGATGCAGTGTCATGATCTTAACGTTGTTGGTCAGGTTACCCAGCGCCGAGCGCTTGATTTTGTCATTTTTGATAGGACTGTGATCCGCCTTGCGTTTGGCGCGCGTCTGCATGTTCTCCACATTTGGATCGATGTTCCCTGTGGCGGCCGTTCGGCGGCTCAGTCCCTTTCTGGTGGCGGCCCCCAATGCCAGGAGTGGATTCCCGGCCACGCCCCCCGCCTTTGGCAGCTGATGATGCCCGCCTGCAAGGGTCCCGCGCGTTGTTGCCTTCGTGGGCGCCATTTTGAAATGCCTGAGTGCGTTGTGAGTGTGCGCGCGCGCCTGTGTGTTTGTGTGAGAGCGCACTCGTCGTTGTTGTTCTTGTGCTCCTATGCGTGCGGCTCAAGTCCTCCGCAAGTCCAAGCCACTTAGTTTCTCGGATGCTCCTCCGTTCGCGGCTGCAACTCGATTCGTTAGCTAATGCCGCTGCTCGATCGTAGTCACACAAACTCACAATTCGATCTGGCCGGAGTTTTGTGGAGTTGTGGCGCTTGTCTGGCGAGATAAAGGAACTGTGAAAATCCAAACTGAAAAACACCGCCAGAGCTGCAAAAACATCGAATTATGTTTTCACGATATACGATGTTTGATCAATTATCGATGGAGCTGCCGATGTATCGATATTTAATTGACTACTTTAAATATTAAATTTACTAATAGAAATATACAATAATGAGATAAGCTTGAGCTTATTGTAGGCTTTTAGTGTTTTTAAAAATTAAATTTGATAAAATGAAAATTAACGCACCGGCCAGGTGCGATTCAGCAATGTCCTAGTGAAGACACTATCCTATTTCAGCAAGTGCATCAACCACAGACAGACTTCATCGGCGATTGAAATAGGTATATGAGCGGGATTATTCGTTTTTGTAATAATATTAATAATAAAACATTATTTTTTAACATCGATAGGTCAATATAATCTTTGCTGAGCGCGGTTAATTAAAAAATATTCCTCCATTCGGATAATTTTTTAGGAGAGGTGCAATAGTCATAGAATAGAATAGACGTGTACGAGGTGTGTTCAAAAAGTATCGCGAATTTTGAATTTTCGCGGGTTACCTCGTATCGAATTTCGATTTTGTTGTGGCATTATGTTGGTACTCAAGGGTCTCAACGTTCTCTTCATTGTTGACAGCTGCTTTGCTTGCATTTGTTTTGGATCGTCTTCGATTTTTACCTATTCAAAAAAATGGATCAAAGAATCTGTATCAAATTTTGTGTGAAAAACAAAATTAAGTGCGTAGATGCATTCCGAATGTTGACTGTGGCATACGGAGAAGCTACCTTGGACCGAAGCAACGTTTATCGGTGGTACAAAATGTTCTCAGAAGGCCGAGAAGTTGTGAACGACGAAGAACGTGCCGGACGCCCGAGCACTTCAACAACAGACGAAAAAATTAATGAAGTGGAGAAAATGGTATTGGCCAATCGTCGAATCACCGTTAGAGAAGTTGCTGAGGACCTAAACATATCTATTGGCTCGTGCCATTCGATTTTTATCAATGATTTGGGCATGAGATGGGTCGCCGGGAAATTCGTACCAAAATTGCTCAATTGCGACCAAAAACAGCATCGGATGGACATTGCTAATGACATGTTAAGCTCTGTCTACGACGACCCAAATTTGCTCCAGAGGGTCATAACTGGTGACGAATCGTGGGTTTATGGTTATGACGTGGAAACCAAAGCTCAATCATCTCAATGGAAGCTGCCGCACGAACCAAGACCGAAAAAAGCGCGCCAGGTTCGGTCGAATGTGAAAGTTTTGCTGACAGTTTTCTTCGATTGCAGAGGCGTCGTGCATCATGAGTTCTTGCCACAGGGAAGAACGGTCAATAAGGAATATTACCTGCAAGTTATGCGCAATTTGCGCGAAGCAATCCGCCAGAAACGCCCGGATTTGTGGAAGAACAAAAATTGGCTTTTGCACCGCGATAACGCCCCTGCTCACACATCGTTGCTTGTGCGCGACTATTTGGCCAAAAACAACACACTAATGATGCCGCAGCCACCGAATTCCCCAGATCTGGCCCCCTGTGACTTTTTCTTGTTTCCTAAACTGAAGAGGGCCATGAAAGGACGACGTTACGCTACGCTTGACGAGATAAAGACGGCATCGCAGGAGGAGCTGAACAAGATAAAAAAAAATGATTTTTTGAAGTGCTTCGAAGATTGGAAAAACCGTTGGCACAAGTGCATAATATCTCATGGGGATTACTTTGAAGGGGACAAAATAGAAATTCATGAATAAATAAATAATTGTTGAAAAAACACAAAATTCGCGATACTTTTTGAACACACCTCGTATACCGTAGAGTACCTTCTCCACAATACTCATTCTTTATTATTTTGTGTGAAAATCTGGATGTTTGTACAGAAACTACTACCAGTCGAGACAGGAGTTACCATGATGCCTTCGTTATGAATTAGTATTTTAACCAACATTTTTAATTTCAGTTTACCACTTCGCTTTTTTTATTATAAAATAAAAATAGCTCTCCATGGAAAAACAATTTTCATTTTCATAATCGTGAAAAACACCAAATTATACACACAACTGTTTATTTAATTGTTAAACAAAATATATATATAGTTTTGCATGTATCATTTGTAAAACTAATGATTATTTATAGGCGTAATTAATTTTTAATTATATTCAGTTTTTTGTTGCTTCAGCCAAACGTGTATTTCTAAAAACTCATTCAAATATGTATTTGTCTTGCTAATGTTTTATCGAAGAGATATATATTTATATGCATGCGTAGAACTAACTTTAATTGATGGCCTGCCCCATAGGCATGACAAGTTTAAGGTTTTTCTATTTTTGGGGGACAATCACACATATTCGTACAGACGCTCTAAAACACAACTTATAATTAGAGATAGGAGAAATATACATTTGTGCAAATTAAAAACAATTACAATAATTAAGTGTACGGTGTGTTGGGAGAAATCATAAAGTATAAATTAATAACAGTAAGCTGATTGGTCTGAAGTGTCTACACAGGGGGCTGGAGGTAGGAAAAACGTTCATTCATTCATCTTTCCATTATACTTACAACTGCGTATGTTTATAAATTAAGTATGCTAAAGTATGATACAAATTTCTTTTGCTCTCATTTTCTTTATCTAATAAAAACAATTTTTGAACAACAAAAAGTTAAATAAAAACAAAGACAATGATGAACTATTGCAAAGGGGCGAGGGCGGGAACGGGGCTAGTTGTTTTGCCTTATCTTGTTTTGGCCGTCGAACCTTACGAATCTCATAAGTTTTGCAAGAATGATAGTAATTTCGTTTCGTAATTTTTATTCGATTCCAGATTTCGCAACGAATGCCTCTCTTCCGGGAACAAATGCACCTCGTACGGCTTATTGGCCTTGTTCAAAGCGCTGATCAGTCGGGAAGTGTGGCAGAAGTGCACGTTCTCGTCAATCAGGCCGTGAATTAGCAGCAGACGCTTGTCCCTGCAAAAAATGAATTGAAAATGATGATAAATAATTAATTATTTTTCAAAAGCTCTATCTAGTACTCACTCTTCTGGAAAAGCGTTTACGTATTCGAGCACCGATCCGGCCGAGTAGCCGGCCTCGTTGTTCTGAGGCAGATCCATGTATCGCTCCGTATAGCCCGTGTCGTAATACTCCCAGTTGGTGACCGGCGCTCCGGCAATGGCTACTTTGAAGATTTTCGGATACTGAACCAGGCCCATTAAGCTTAGATAGCCGCCTGCAAAAATATTAACAGATCAGAATGACTTGCTTCACTGATTAGATTATAAATCTTTAACAACAAAAACTCTTTAATTTAATGTACATCTTTATCAAAGAACTAGATTGCTGCCTAACATACCGTAGGACCATCCATGAATCGCCACGCGGTTCATATCAATGTAGCCCAGTTGGTCGGCCAAGATGCGCAGGGCGTCCACCTGGTCAGTCAGCTCCACCTGACCCATTCGACCGCGGATGTGGCTCTCAAACCGCTTGCCACGATGTCGCGATCCTCGCGAGTCGATGCAAATGACGCAATATCCCTGGGCAGCCAGCATATGCATTCGTAATTGATGTTTTCCCTATGAAATAAAAATGTTTGGCTTCCAAGAGGTACTTTTTAGAATATGATTTTCCTACCTTAAATGTGTTGTTAACGGTCTGCACCTCGGGTCCGCCATAAACGTTAAGCACCGTGGGATATTTGACACCCAGCTCGAAGTTGTGCGGCTTAAAGACCATGGCATAAACGATATCTCCCGACGGTAGCTGGGGCCTGAAAATTTGCGGGCAGTACTGCGGCTCCGGCTTTCCGCCTTCGTGAAGATAGCCAACTAGCGAAATCTGGATGCCATTGACCCCGCCGTTTGAGCACGTCTGATTAACGCGCATCACCTTGCAGCTTGGCAGTCGCTGGATGTTGCAATAAACCAGCAGCATTAATTGGCATTCCTGCGAATTAGAAATGAAGAGATTTAAAATATAATATAGCATACTTATTTGGGCAGCATACATATAAATTACATTCTTGTTCTTTAATAAGTTAATATACTTCATGCTATTACGTACGTCATCGAACTCAACGAGGTAGGAGTATCCTGGCTCCGTGAGCAGGCGGAGCTGTTCGGGCCGATCTAAACTGACAACGTACAGGTGTTTCTCCAGCGGCGTATCGCGCAATCCCACAAAGTACACGAGCTTGTTAATCTTGTCCACCCAGAGATTCCTGGCAAGCACCTCCCACTCGCCGCTGGTCAAAGCCACTTTGTTTATGATGCGCGGCTGCAGTGCGGAAGGCTCTACAAAACTTGGCTGGGCGGCTGCCGATCCTGCGTCCGTTTGGCCGTTTGCTTGAGTTAGCAACAGGCTGGCGGTGACCAAATACAGGTGTCGAAAACCCGTCTCTTCCGATGCCCAGAGAAAAGTGACGCTCGTTTCCGTCAGTTCCAAAAAGTGAAGCATATCGTGCACGTTGATCCAGCTATCCGAGCGCTCAGTATAGATAACCTGAAGAGGTGTTATCGTCCGACTGTACAGGCTGCGCCAGCTGTGGTCGCCTATGGAGTCCGTTGGGGTAGAAACCTGGCTGCTGTAGGACTCGCAGAAGTTATCCAGCGGTATTAGGATTACATCCAGACGCTGCTGCTTCCGATCTAGTCCCTGCACCCAAACGCTAGTAGGAAAAATGAGATTAGTTGAATGTACATAACATTTCAGTGGTGGAAGTAAAAATGCAGAAAGTTTTCCCAATGGAGATAACTCATTGAAATACTCACTATTTCGCATCCGGTGTCCATCCGACGCGAACAATATACTCCAGCCAGCTGAAGACGGCCAACAGGGAGTATGGCAAGTCCTTGATGGCGATCTCACTGACTTGCAGTGCCTCGTTTAGTACGAACTGCACGAGCTTGAGCTTTGACTTGGCGTTGGGACTGCCGGTGCGCGGAAAGCGGTACTCGTCCACTCTGCCGTGCTGGGCCGTCGACGAGGGAAAGGTGTACACAGAAACCTCTGATTCATCAACCTCCTCGTAGACAATGCGGTAGATGCCGTCGTTGGAATGTGGCTGCCACCAGAAGCCCTGGTAGCGGCTAAACTCTTCCTGCATTACATACGAGGGCACACCGGCGCTCAGGGCATCGTCCACGTAAGAGTGCCGTCCAGTTGAGGTGTAGGTAAGTCGCTTTTCGTGACCGCTCAGCGTGTGGGTGACAAAAAGATCGCAGTCGCTGATGTATGCTATCATGTCGGAGTTTTGGGGACAAATCTGCGGGTCAAGGGCGGTCCATTGTGGGCAGGTGCGTAGCTGCGTGGGGAACAGCAGTCCAGACTGTCGAATGAGAAAGAAAACATAAGTTATACATCACTTAACTCCTTTTGGAATCTCTGCCTTGCTTACATTGTAGCCCGTGTCCAGACATTGGTAAAGGTCGTTAAAGCAGGGAAAGACTAGCTTGCCAGAGGGCTTGTGCAGCTCGTAGCAAGTGATGCCCCAGGTGGAGAGGCGCTTACGCTCCTGCAGCAGCTGGTACTCGCGGGCATATGGACTGGCCGATCCACTGCCTCCGCTGCCGCCACTGCTTTGAATAGGCTGCTGCAACAGCGGGCTCCAAGGGAGCCTACAAATGGTAGGAAAGATAAGATAATCTGCAAGGTTGCACTAGAGATTAATAACAAACCTAGGCCTTTGCAGAGGATTGAAGAGAAAGGCCGTGTGCTGGCCGCTGCTCGTTGGGGATCCTGCACTCAGAGTGGGACTCCCGACACTCGACTCACTAGCCTCCAGGCGCTGCACCAGCAGCTGTTGCTCCTCCGACTGCTGCAGATTGATGTCTGCGAAGAGCAGCGTGGTCTCCCAGCTCTGCGGCGGAGTTCCCAGGAAGTAGCACCGGGCACGGCCGTCGGAAAGGTGGCGAAACTGCACGTTGGTGGGCACCATCGAGGACAGGTTGCACATCTTCTTGCGCATCTCCTGCACGACTAGCTTGTTCTCGGCCCAGCTATTGTTGGGCGTGGGCGCGGCAATGTGACCGTCGTTGTCCACTGGATCGTCCTCGTCCTCCTCACAATCGTCGCACTCGTCGTCGCCCTCGTCGGCATCTAGTCCGTGCGGCGGAGTGCCGCTGGTGGGCGAGCTGAGGTGGTTGGTGATCACAGAGGCGGCTGCCACCACCACCTCCGTGGTTGTGGCCGTGGCCGCTGCAGCCGCGGCTTGGATGGGCGAGGTGATGGAGTTGAGAGCACTACCGATGGAGGAGTAAAGGGCATTGGCGGTGGTGCCCAGGGATCCCATGCTCGTAAGGCTGGCAATAGAGTGCGTGGATCCCGGTGTGCTGGCGGCGCTTTGGCTGCTGCGGTCCATCAGCATGTTGGAGGAGCTCGTGCCACCGGCCACACTCACTGCTGTGGAGACGCGGGCCGTAAATCCGTCCAGGAGATTCACAAAGGATGTCGCCGCCGCATTGGTAATGCTGTGGCTGCGATGGTGTCCCCCTCCTCCGCCGTTGTTGTTATTCCTGCCCAGCTGCGACGGAGGCCCTGAATCCTGCTCCAAGCCCATTAATGTGGTATTTGCGTTCGGGCCGCCACTGAGATTTACGCTGAGAGGTGGACTCGGTGAGGAGGGCAGCCTATTCCGCTGCTGCTGTTGCTGATTTGATTGGTTCATTTGGGTCCTGCTCTCCATGCTGGATTTTCACGAGCTGACCCAGTTCGCTGGCGAATCCAATCCAAACCACGTACACACACAAAGTCTTTTCGAGGGCCCCGAAATGTACTCAAAGTACTCACACACACACTATCGCTGGAACTCTGACACACACGGACGCACACTACCGTTCACGCACACAGGCGGCCCTGTTGTGCTGGTTTGTTATTGTTATTATTTCGCTTTGCATTTGCCGTACTATCCACCAATTTTAAACAATTCTCGCTGCACTCTGTGGCCTGATGTTGTCCGCTCTGGTATTTTCCACACTCATCGCTCTTCGTCGTCTCTTCTTGGTTGTTGCTTTTGTTGCTGCTGGCTGCCCTTGTTGTTGTTTTTCTTGTGCGAATTGTAAAAAGTGAAAGTCGCACCGTGCGGCTAATCAAGAAAAAGTCAAGCACCTGCGGTTCTTGTCCGATTTTCGTTCTACAGAGCCAGCGAACGGGCTAAAATCAAACCAAATTGATTGATCCAATTTTGTTGTTCGGAACGGAACTGCAGGTAAATTAAAAGAATGCACGAAAGATATACGATACTAGGTGTCCGTGCGGGATTGATTTGGACCTGTGCTGCGGTCACACTGAAACGCTGGACTTAGGGATGGCACGAGCGCCTAGCGATCGACAAAATTTTGTGGAATCATTGCTGCGATACATCGCGTGAGGTGAATACTTTTGTATAATTTTATTCTTTAATTATTGCACAAGGTAATTGAGTAAAGAAGAAAATTCGATTGTTTTTATGTTAAGGGTTGTGAAAGCATAGGGTATGTAAAAGCAAAACATGCGTTGAAATTAGTACGCCTAACAAAAAAAAACTTCGTTCAGTTATGTAGAAGTTCTAAATGTATTCGTAGGGTTTTTAGATTAAAAAATTTTAGTTTATAATTGACCTTAGTTAAAAAAAAAACTTGGAATTAGCACGTAATGAATGTAACATTAGGTAGATACAATTGTACACATAATATAAATTTCTATTAATTTTTATCAACACCTTCATTGTTATCAATGAAACAGTTTAAAGATCGCGCCTGAACATCATACTGCAACACTGGTTCTTTTATTAACAGAATAGTTGGCAACGCGACTATTGTAGTTCACGGGTTTGTTCATACGTTAATTTTGCGATTTGTAAGTTTAACCAATTAAGTGTGTGGCTTCTAATCAGCTTATTAATGAGGAATAACTAAATATTCATAGGCTAGTTTAAAGCAAAGTACCTAATAGGCGTAAAATTAAAAAATTGCTGGCGGCAACAGGTGGTTTCGGTCCCCAGAGGATAACACGTGCTCGTAAACGTGTGGGTTTTGTTTACTTTGATTGACTTAAATTAGCTCCAATTAAGCGAAAATGATTCGCAAAGTGCCGCTGATTGTGATCCTGGGCTCTACGGGCACGGGCAAGACAAAGCTCTCCTTGGAACTGGCGGAACGTTTTGGTGGCGAGATAATCAGCGCGGATTCCATGCAAGTTTATACAGATTTGGATATTGCCACCGCCAAGGCGACAAAGGAGGAGCAGTCCCGTGCACGACATCATCTGCTGGATGTGGCTACTCCGGCGGAACCCTTTACCGTAACCCACTTTCGCAATGCGGCTCTGCCCATTGTGGAGCGTCTTCTCGCCAAGGACAAGCTTCCAATTGTGGTGGGAGGAACCAATTACTACATAGAATCCCTGCTTTGGAACATCCTGGTCGACTCGGAGGACAAACAGGCTGAAGGCAATACCTCTGGAGAACATTTTAAAGAGGAGGACCTAAATGCCATGTCAACTGCGGATTTACATCATCACCTGGCCAAAATCGATGCGGGAAGTGCCAATCGTATTCATCCCAACAATCGGCGCAAGATTATTCGGGCCATTGAAGTCTATCAAGAAACAGGGCAGACTTTGACCGAAAAATTGGCGGAGCAGCGAGCACTGCCAGGAGGTAACCGTTTAGGAGGACCACTCCGATATCCACACATCATCCTTTTGTGGCTCCGTTGCCAGCAGGAGGTGCTTAATGCCCGCTTGGACTCCCGGGTTGATGGAATGCTGGCTCAAGGACTCCTTCGTGAGCTGCGGAAGTTTCACAATACCCACCAGGCTACTACTGTTAAAGCTTACACCTCGGGTGTCCTGCAGACAATCGGTTACAAGGAGTTTGTGCCCTACCTAATGAAATTTGATGAGCAGCAGGATGATCAGATAGAAGAGTACCTCCGAAATCACAGCTACAAACTGCCTAACCAAGTCGAACTAAAAGAAAAGGGACTTCCGCCGGGCTTGGATCTTCTGCGTAGCTGCTGTGAAGAACTGAAGCTTGTTACGCGTCGCTACTCTAAGAAGCAGCTAAAGTGGATCAACAATCGGTTTCTGGCCAGCAAAGATCGGCAGGTGCCTGATCTCTACGAGTTGGACACCAGTGATGTGTCAGTTTGGCCAGAGGCAGTGTATCAGCGCGCAGAGAACATCATTGAAAGTTATCGTAATGAGGAAAAATGCAAGTTTGAGCCAATGGCCAAGCGAGATCATCCTGGAGCAGATTTAAATGAGGAGACGAGCCACTTTTGCTCCACTTGCGAACGCCACTTCATAGGAGAGTACCAATGGGGACTGCATCTGAAGTCCAACAAGCACAAGCGAAGAAAGGAGGGGCTGCGCAAGAGGGAAAGGGAGCAGGAGATGAATCTAGCCACAGAGAAACTCCTAGCCAAAAAGCAGAAGGCAAATAAGGCGGAGGAGAAGGAAGAGGAGGCGGCTCAGCTGTCAACCAGCCGAGTCAATGATACTGATAAGCCATTGTAAACCAGACACGGCTTGGCAATAAATTAACCTACGTAAATTTGAGTCATTTGTTGTTGTTTTGAATCCCTATCCCACCGAACTCTGCTGCTGATGCAAGCGGTTTGAGGAGAATCTGATAACCCTACACCTCGCTAATGGGGACCGTAGACCGCAGGGGAGGTCGTTGCCTAGCCAGAAAAGCGAAAACGCGTAAACATGTTTGTGCACCGAGCAACCAGCCCACATCAGCCATCGCCCACTGACTGATCTCGTTTTTCATTTACATTTCAGTTGCCCGGCGGTTCGCACGCAACAAGCAGAAAAAATAGACTTCAACGATGAGCTCCAAAATTGGTAAGTCTGTCAGGATCCTCTGTTATTGGATAATCGGTCACAATCATTTATCTCTCTTAGCTCTTCTTAGTGTGTCGGATAAGACGGGTCTGCTCGACTTGGGCAAGAGTCTGGTGGCCTTGGGCTTTGACCTGGTGGCCAGTGGTGGCACTGCCACCGCGCTACGAGGAGCTGGCCTGAAGGTGAAGGATGTTTCGGAGATTACCGGAGCTCCGGAGATGCTTGGAGGTCGCGTTAAGACGCTGCATCCGGCGGTGCACGCCGGCATCCTGTCCCGGACCAGCGATTCGGATTTGGCCGATATGCGCAAACAGGGCTTCGATCTCGTCCAGCTGGTGGTCTGCAATCTGTATCCTTTCGCTAGCACCGTTGCCAAACCAGATGTGACGCTGGCCGATGCTGTGGAGAACATCGATATTGGTGGTGTAACCTTGCTTCGTGCGGCGGCCAAGAATCACCAACGAGTTACGGTGGTCTGCGAGGCTGTGGACTACGATCGAGTGCTGGCCGAGCTGAAGGCTTCGGGAGACACCACCCTGGATACGCGACAAGCCCTGGCCCTCAAGGCTTTCACCCATACGGCGAGCTATGATGATGCCATCTCAGACTATTTCCGAAAGCAGTACGGATCCGGTGTTTCTCAGTTGCCGCTGCGCTACGGCATGAATCCCCACCAGAAACCGGCTCAGCTCTACACGCAACTGGCTAAGCTGCCACTCACGGTGCTTAACGCCTCTCCGGGTTTCATCAATCTGTGTGATGCCCTCAACGGCTGGCAATTGGTCAAGGAACTGAAGCAAGCTTTGCATCTGCCCGCGGCCACCAGCTTCAAGCATGTTTCTCCCGCGGGAGCAGCAGTGGGCGTGCCCCTCAATCCTGCTCAGGCCAAGCTCTGCATGGTGGACGATCTGTACGAGCAACTGACTCCGTTGGCGACTGCCTACGCCCGTGCGCGTGGAGCGGACCGCATGAGCTCCTTCGGCGATTTTGTGGCCTTGTCAGATGTGTGCGATGTGGTTACCGCCAGGATCATCTCCCGCGAGGTCTCCGATGGCATCATTGCGGCAGGCTACGAGCCAGAAGCTCTGGAAATCCTGAAGAAAAAGAAGAACGGCGGCTACTGTATTCTACAGGTAAAACTGCTTGGAAACCGGCTAAGTTGTATGCATCTACATAATTTCATTTAATCAATTTTCAGATGGATCCCAATTATGAGCCCTCCCCGGTGGAGCGCAAGACTATCTTCGGCCTTACGTTGGAGCAGAAGCGCAACGACGCCGTCATTGGAGCCTCGCTCTTTGCCAACGTGGTGAGCAAGCGTGGTCCTCTCCCCGAGGCAGCTGTGCGCGATCTGATCGTGGCCACCATTGCACTGAAGTACACGCAGAGCAACTCCGTCTGCTATGCCCGTGATGGCCAGGTGATTGGCATCGGAGCTGGCCAGCAATCTAGGATTCACTGCACTCGACTCGCGGGTGAGAAGGCCGACAACTGGTGGCTGCGACAACATCCCAGCGTGGCAGGCATGAAGTTTAAGGCTGGCGTGAAGCGGGCGGAGATTTCCAATGCCATTGATAACTACGTTAATGGAACCGTTGGCAAGGACATGCCTTTGTCGCAGTTCGAGGGAATGTAAGCTGCTGTTATATATATATACATATATTATTTCTATAGTCTTCTAAACCATTATATTAAATATAGGTTCGATAAGGCGCCAGCACAGCTGACCAGCGAGCAGAAAGTGCAGTGGCTTAAGGAGTTGAGTGGCGTTGCCCTAGGATCCGATGCCTTCTTCCCCTTCCGTGACAATATTGATCGCGCTAGCTTGGTAAGTTTGCTTAACCATTTTTCTTTGCCATGTTTTAATAAGCTTATAATGTTTCCAGAGCGGTGTTTCCTACATTGCCAGTCCAGCTGGCTCAACCAATGATGCTGGTGTCATTGCCGCTTGCGATGAGCACGGAATCATAATGGCCCACACCAATTTGCGATTGTTCCACCATTAGATTTAATACTGTCTTCAGTGTACAATTGATTTCCAGTGATTTCCAGTAGTTTCTTTTTTTTTAACTTTATCTTAACAAGTCGAATATCGAGCTCTTCCAACTTAAATCATAAAGGAATTAAGTACAAGACATCCTAAGCAACAATTGCATTTTACACGAACTATTTTTGATAACGTATATAGTATTTTAAGAACTTTTATATATAAACAAACCGTTGTTAATCTTACCCCAAAATAACTGCCCTTAACCCATTCCAAGCCCAATAAAAGCCACTTGCCTTTAGTTAGTTAAACGAACGCTGCCTCGACTAAACACTATTTATTTAAGAAATTAGTTTCTATGGAATGTACAGTTCGGGATGCTGGGCCATTGATCTTTCGAATTCCAGATCCTGGCCAGCTCCTGGTCGCGATTGGAGGCCTACCGACTCCGCTTCCTCCAGCAGGCGCCGCGCCAATTGCACAAAAATTCGATGAAGGTGACGAAGAAGACGAGCACCGAACCGATTCCAGGGCCATCGAGGTGGTCTGGTCATAGCTGGCAGTGGGACCCCCTCCCTCCCACTGAGGCAACTGCCAGGCTAATTAACCCATTGGTTAGTTAGTTAGACAAATGATTATGGTAATGGCTGCCAGAAGAACTCACCCATTAACAAATTGTACTGAAACTATTCGTTTATAATTGAATAATTTTACAATAACTAGAAATATATATGAACTGATATAAAGTTAATTCCCGAGATTAAAATATAAATTCCACAGACTAGACTAGAATCGAAAACCCCTCCCCCAGATTGAAATTCTAAATCCGCCGCTGAATATAAGTAACAAAGTAAGCCCACACCCCGGTTGCATTAAAGGTTTAATTTGATAAAACTATAGATTTCGATCAATGGCTGTTGGGAATTTGAAAACATTCCGAACAATAGGAAAGTTTTTCCGGCTTGAGATTATTCAGTTTCCGCCTTCCTCCTCCTCCTCCTCACCATCTAAGCAGCTCTCGCTACAATTGGCTGGCAGGTCGTCGAGGAACCGATAGCCGGCGCCCTTAAACATCTTGGCCTTAATCTGGAGGCCGGACGAATAGCGTTTATGAGGTCCTTCCGCGCATCAGCTCTGTGCCGATACTTACCATTAACTGCTGATACTGGCAGTCGTAAGCCTGAATCGCCATGTCCCGCTTCCGCAGCTCATTTCGCAGTACGTCGATCTCGTGTTGCAGACACTGGGCCCGGTGGGCCGCGCACTTTGCGGCCACCAGTTCCTGCTTCATCTGTTTGCAACAGCACTGGGGGAGCGAAAATAACCAAAGGTCTTACAAAAGTTTAGACCCCGAGAGCTGCAAAGCTTACTTTCAGGTATTCCTCGTTCCCCTTGGCCTTTTCCACCTCGTTGTCGTAGTAGTTCTGCATTTCCTGCATTTCGCACTGCATCTGCTGCACGCACATATTCTGCTGTTGGAGATCGCACTCCAAGTTGCATGTCACACACTCCGCCTCCTTGGCCTTTTGCTCCAGCTGGTTAACCTTGTCACCGAGCTCCTTCAGCTCATTGCACTTCTTGCGCAGGGCATCGCGATCGGCCAGGATCTTTTGAATGTTGGCGACATCCTTGTCTGGCGAGAAGCTGCCCTTGCCTGGTGCACCACCACCTCCTGAACCAGAAGGACCACCACCACCACCACCGCCCTCTGAACCGCACTTCTTAGCACACCGCTTCATTACTTCGTCCTCGAATTCTCGCAGCAGGGCCACCTCCTTGCCCAGGTCGTCGATCTTCTGCTGCAGATAAGGGATGTCTTTGCTCTTTTCCGGATCGATCGAGATGCTGTCCATCTTGCAGCGCTTCGACTGCTTGTCTATCAACCGCTTTAGGTTGGCGTTTTCCGCCTCGAGGATGTCGTGGGCCTTGTTCATGTCGTCGATTGCCGCCTGCAGGTCGTTCAGCTCCTTCTCGTCTTGAGGCGTGATCTTATTGTCGTCGGCTAGCTGCTTGATCTTCTTTTTCAGCGCCTTACTCTTGTCTGGGTCGTAGCGCTGGTCCATGATTCGCTTGATCTCGTCACTCTCCTCGTTAGCCGTCCTAAGTTTGTCGTCGGAATCGGCCAGCTTTTTCTGCAGCATGCTGTTCTTGATCATCAGGTCCTGCATTCTCCCGATCGTATCGTCGGCAGCGTTGATCAGGCTGTCGCCCACTACCAAGTTGCTACCGTACTCATCCTCTGGGCCCAATGGACGACCAGATCCTTCGCGGTCCTTCTTGATAGGCGAGTTGCATGCAACCAGGTCGGCCACGAACTGCGACTTTCTGTCCTCGGTTGCCGACCACGATCTGTCGTCGACCGTGGATGGATAGCTCTTTAGCTTGACGCAAGCATCGACGCACTCGAACTCGTAAGTCTCGTTGCTGAAAGGCACGTGAAAGAACTCTTTTTGAGTGGAGAACGCCATGGCTTTGCTTCAGGTGAAACAACTAACAAAACCAATATATCACGCGAATTTGTATAACTCTTCCGAACGGCTTACGGCTTGGGTCTCAAGGCTTACAACAAAAAATTGGTCAGACATGTAATGAGTCACAAAAAAATATCTATTGCTGGACAGAAACAAATTTTAACACTGTCAGAGCAGCTGGCCGTTGGCTCCGCGCCTGCTAATATACAACTAGTCAACAGCTTGGGGTGCACTGCGAATCATTCAAGGCCCTGCGCCCTCCGCTCCGCCAGCGATTCGTCTACAGAGTTCATTGAGGAGAAGCCGCACGGCTGCATCGTCATGCTGGCTGTGCCAGAACTTATGGTCCGTAGAACACTCGAGTAACCAGAGAGCTCGGCTAGGGGGGCATTCACGAGGATCATCTAAAAAGTAGGTGCTATTAATCCAAACTCGTTGGTAGTTATGGTTCTTTTCCAATCATTCACCTTGTTTCTTTCACCCTTCGGCAGGACATCGTTGATCAGGGCTCGTCGTCGGGAAAGATCGGCTATAATGCCCGAGATGCGTTCACTGGGCGCGACGATTTGCAGGGCCATGATGGGTTCCAATAGGCGGGTTCCACTCGTGCTTAGCAGCTGGTATTTGGAGTATATTTTTAAAGGATCAGATTTAAATAAATTAAACTCACCTTTTGCACACACTGAGCTGCCGTGGCCATGACAAAGGAGTCAGCGGTGCCACGGCCAATTGTGGCATTGTGAAGTCGAATCTGAGTCTCCACCACTTGACCACCTACACGAGGTCCACGCTCGAGAGCGCTAATTGATCCCTTTCGAAGGACTTGCAAAATGCGTGGTCGAAGCGTGTTGAGGTTTTGCAAATTCTCTGGCGACTTGTCTAAACTTTAGTTGAGAAAAAGTAAATCAGATTGAATACCACCCATAAAATCGAGTTACTCACCTAAACAATTCATTTTGATTCTTGACCAACTCTAGAGTGATGCTTGCACTCTGCTTGCTGCCAGCAATTTCTTTCTCCACACTGAGCGTGGTTAATGCTGGATTTTCGATGGTCTCCTTGTAGGCAATTTGCAAGGGCCCCAGATCCACATCGATTTTGTACTCGCTCAGAATGCGCGACTTGATGATGTCCATGTGCAGTTCTCCCATTCCGCCGAGGACTGTCTGTCCTGTGACGGAGTCGTAGCTCACGCGCAGGCTGGGATCCTCCCGCTGCAATTGTTTAAGTGCATGGTCCATGGCCGTTTGCGCGGATACGCTGGGGGGTTCGATGGAACAGAAGTAGACGGCATCAGGTATCTGCGGATCAATTGCAAACAGCTCTTCTGACTCATCCACCTCATCGTCTTCCTCATTTGTTGTTGTTGTAGCAGCTCCACCCAGGCTTTGCTTTAAACGCTTCTGCGCATTCCTTAGGGCTGACTGGCTGGAGGTAAGCAGATCTCCCGTCACCGTTGACTATTGTTTTGTTAAAAGCAGGATAAGAAGCTTAAGTTGGTGGTTAGGTTTTTATTTTCGGTACACCTTACCTTCAGACCTGCACATATCACCACATCGCCCGACTGCACAGCACTGACTTCTCGATATTCGTCGGCCAATGGCTCATACAGCTTGGAAACTACTTCGGCCTGGCCCCGAGCGGATATTAAACGCATCCCCCGCTTTATCTCGCCCCTTAGAATGCGCACGAGGGTCAAAGCCCCACGTTGTTTGTCATGCACAATCTTAAAGACCTTGCCAGCCACCTCAGTTCTGCAATAAATTTTAATTTAATATGGGATACCTCTATCTAGAGCGTAAACTTTTACCCGAAGCAGTCGTAGATCTGGTTGCGCTCTTCCGGAGCAGGCAAGTATGCATTTACAGCGTCCATCAGACGTTGGATTCCAACGTTTTTGTAGGCAGAGCCGAGGAGAACAGGCACCACTTTTTGCTGACTAGTAGCCCGTCGTAGCGCCCTTTTGATCAGAGCGTTGTCCACCTTGTCAAAGCTCTCAGTGCTGATGACCACATCGGCCAGTTCGTCATCCAATCCCGACAAATGATCAATCAGTTCATTGCGCTTTTCCTGCAGTTGACGCAAGTTATCCGACGGTTCTAGTTTTATATTCTTGTAACTGCGTCCTAAATCCTTTTGCTGCCAAATGAGCTGCTCCAGGGTGATCACATCATTGATGGCTAATAAGTATAGCATTAGAAAGAATTCGGATTAGGAAGACTATGGTCAATACCCAGTACTCCATCTTCATTTTTTACGGGATACTGCAAGCAAACTGGCTGAGTTTCCAGCTTGTCCTTTAGATCCCTGACGCATTTTTCGAAATCTGCATCGGGACGATCCATTTTGTTAACAAATATGAGCCGTGGAAGCTTGTGCTTGTCCGCCTGCGTCCACACAGTGACTGTTTGGGCCTCGACGCCGGCGGTGCCATCTAGAACAACCACCACGCCGTCCACGGCGTACAGTGACTGCTCCACCTCCATGGTGAAGTCAATGTGACCTGGTGTGTCCAGCAAGTTGATGCTAAGTTGGGGTTAATATATTAACAGCAGGAGGAGGAGGTATGGAACTACCTACCGGTGATTGTTCCAAGGGAATGTGACCGCCGAGCTGCAGATGGTAATGCCCCGCTCCCGCTCCTGGGTTAGGTAATCGGTCACCGTGTTGCCGCGGTGCACTTCGCCCAAAGCCCGCGTTTTACCCGCATAAAACAGCATGCGTTCCGTGGTCGTAGTTTTGCCTGAAAAGGGATAACAAACATGGTAACTCGGAAAGTACAAGGCCTTCTCTTCTGTCGCTCACCCGCGTCAATGTGCGCCAGTATTCCAATGTTCCTGATCTTGCTGCTGTAACTACGCTTCCAGATTTGACTAGAAAGGTGCCGTAGGAACCTTTTTCTTTGATTGGGGCTAATTTGCAACGCATATTTCAGCATTTTCATTGATGAATTTGTGCGAAATGAAATTGCAAAATAAAGCCGCCTAAACCAGCTGTTAGCCAAAACAACTGTTATCGGAATTCGACGCAAACAGCTGACGCGGTCAATCGAATATTTACTATTTTGCGGTTTAAATTGAGGCACGCATTTTATCCTTTTGTTTTGGTCAATTTAAAGTGATAAAACACAAACAAGCCGTAAAAAGTTATATTGTTTTTGTCTGATAAACATTTAGGGAAAGTTAAGTACAAGATTGAAACTTGATTTTAAGACTATTTCTCTGAAATAAATTCAAAATGTCCACACGACCCCGACGCGCTGCAGCTACAAAAAGATAGTTATTGAGGTCTCTGATTCTGATGCCGAACTGAATCTCTCGGGAACCGATGATTATAGGCCGCCGGAAACCAAGAACCGCAGGATAGATCGGGCTGGAAATGCCCAGGCGGGCGGGTAAGTCATGCCTTCCTAGAATATCTCTGTAAGGAATCCTAAATTTACTTAATTCCTTTAAGTTCTAAACGTCAACGCTGGCCCACATCGAAGAGCACGGCTGCTGAGGCACCAGCTCCGAAGAGAAAGCGAGCAAGAAAGGAAAAAGAGGGCGAGAATGCTTGTCCCAATGAGACCAATGCGGAACAGGAACCTGAGGTGGAGGTCCCACCTCCAACAATACCTCAGCCGGCTGCATTTGTTGCCAGTTCAACCACTGGACGGAGTTCCTTCTGGGAGCGGCGCAAGGTGTGGAATATCCACGAGCTGCTCGCCGAAACGGAGAATATCCAACCGCAGGCAGCGCGAAATATTGTACAGCTGTTCGAGAACGAAAACACCATTCCTTTCATTTGCCGGTAAGACTTGTAATTAAATTATAAAACTTTAACAATACTAGTATTTAAACTCATAGCTACCGACGGGATCTGGTGGATCACATTGCTCCAGATCGACTGAGGGACATTCGTAACACTTACACAGAGATCGTGGATCTGCGCAAAAAGGCAGAGAACATTGTTAGCCAGCTGGAACGTGAAAATGTCCTGAATACGGAGATTCGGGAGGAGCTAATGTGTGCTAAAACCAACGAGGAACTGGAGTTCCTATACGCCCCTTACAAGCCAGCCAGTAAGGGAACGTTGGCGGAACGGGCGAAAGCTTTGGGTCTGGAGGAATACGCTGATCGGTTGCTCTACGGTTCGGCACCCAAAGTAAGCCTTTCAGAAATTGTGGATCCCGGAAACGAAGCCCTTGCAACGGAGGCGTTGGTGATGACTGGGATCAGCAACATTATTATACATAACATCAGCAAAAACACAAACGTTTTGGAGGAGATTCGAAGACTGTGAGTATTAAGCCAATTTTTATATAGCTTTTTTTTCTTTTTATTTATTAAATTTATTATTATTATCCATTTCAGGCAAAATGTCCATCGAGTATTTCTTAAGTGCAGCAAGACCAAGGAGTCAACTTCCTCAAAAGCAAGTTCCAGCAAAGCAAGTAGCAGCAAGGGATCCAATGGCATCGTTGACAAAAAGTTGGACAGCTCAAAGTTCGAAAATTATTTCAACTTCCAGGGTGACATTAAGACCATAAAGCCGCATCAGATGTTGGCAATCAATCGTGGAGAGAAGCACAAATTTCTAACTGTCAAATTGGAGACGAGTGATTACCTCAAACGGGATCTAATGCGCTTTATAACCGATCAGTACATGACCACAGGTCTGCAGTATCCCCCTCAGGAGAGAGGTATTCACAAAATCGCTGGAGGAGTGCTATTCCAAGAAATGTAGGAATATTTAAAGCTTAAGTGTAAACGCTTTGTTTATAATTGACTATTTACAGTGCAACCTTTGATGTGCAGGCAGATTCGCGCTGATCTGAAGGAAAAGGCCCAAAAGGCAGCCATCGATGTGTTTGCCAAGAACCTGAAGCAACTGCTCCTTATGTCCCCGCTGAAAGGCGAGCGCATTCTGGGCATAGATCCTGGTTACACGAACGGCTGTAAACTAGCAGTGATATCCGAGACGGCTGATGTGTTGGACACTGGTGTTATTTACCCCCATGGTGCCAGGTCCAATAAGCGGGCTGCCGAGCAAAAGCTGGTTCAGTTCCTCTCAGATCACAAGTAAATTACTTTGTAAAGGGGTTTGATAAGCTGGTTCTTAAACTATCGCCTTATTTCCTTATTTTAAAGTTGCAAAATTATTGCCCTGGGCAATGGAACTGCCTGCCGCGAAACGGAGCACTGGCTAACAGATATGTTCCACGCAGGAATCCTAGACAGCAGGAGCATTCGATACAGCATTGTTAACGAAAATGGAGCTTCTGTTTACTCTTGCAGCGATGTGGCCACCAAGGAATTTCCCAAAATGGATACCAACGAACGGAGTGCAGGTTTGGCATAAAAGTAAAGTCAAATACGGCATTTTATATATTTGACTTCCTTTCTAGTTTCTATAGCGCGTCGCTTGAACGATCCGCTTAGTGAGTATGTGAAGATAGAACCCCGTCATCTGGGCGTTGGAATGTACCAGCACGATGTATCCGAGAAGATTCTTACGGAATCGCTGAAGGACGTCGTCTCCGAGTGTGTCAGTTATGTGGGCGTGGACCTCAACACCGCCAGTCTCAGTGTGCTGAAGTAAACTCGACATCTTTTCCGTGATGTAGAAACTAATTCCCTATCGTTTAGGCACATTGCCGGTCTGTCGGAGAAGAAGGCCGAGAAGATCATTGAGTACCGATCGCAGAAGGGACCATTTAAGTCTCGCAAGGACTTACTATCTGTGAGAACCATAGGCGAAAAGTCATTTGTTCAGTGTGCCGGCTTTGTGCGCATCGAACCGCTCAGCGTTGGAGGTCAACTGCAGAACCCATTGGACTGCACCTGGGTGCATCCCGAGAGCTACAAAGTTGCGGAAAGGTGGGTTTAACTTTATTGTTCAACAAAATAATTTCAAGGTATTATGAAGAGGTGCATTACTCCGACTGCTCCTCTGCAATCCTGGCCTTTTCAGCCGCCGCCTTGACCAACAAGGAGGTATCACTGGGCTCGGTGAAGTCACTATCGCTTTGTTGGACTTCGCAGTTTTTGGGGCAATCATCATCGAATTTTTTGAGTTTTGTATTACCTTCGCTAGATTCAGAGCCCTGGCACCAACATGGCAGATACGGCTTCAGAGGATCCTTCTTGTCGCATCGCTTGCAAGTGCAGTTATCCATGCCGGCCCTCATAAAGCTCTTGAAGTCGCTCTCCTGGCTCAGCAGGGCCAGATAATCCTCAATGGAGTACTCCTTCATCGGGTCCATTAGCTCCGCCCATGTCTTTAGCTTCACGATCACGCCAAAGAAGTAGGTGTTGAGGTCCTCTATCGTCTGCAGCACAGCGTCCAGATCCCCCAAGAAGGGACTGTTCAGGGATCGGTCCAGCCTGGTCAGACGCAGATCTAGTTCTTTTTTTGCCTCACGCATGTCCAGAAAGGATTTGGTCAGTTCAGAACTAAAGGGCTCTAAATTAGCGATTGAAATGAAATTCACGTAAGCTTACTTCGACTCATTGACAAGATTGTAGGCCCGTTGAAATTCGCAGAGCTCCCGCTCCTCGGTCATCCGGCTTATGTATTCAGGATAAATCTTTGTGCATCCGGTGGCGCCGCCCAAAATGCGGTAGCGAACTCCGTGGTACCGCATCTCCTTTACTTTTTCGATCTGCAAAGGCTTGGCCTTCGCCAACTGCTTCTTCAGCCTCTTTAAATGCTGATCGACCACCAGGATTTGCTCGTGTACGCACTGTTCGAGTTTGGAATCATACCTTGTGTAGATGTTCTCGCACTGCTTGAAGGTGGGCTTCAGCAAATGAACGGGAACGATTGATCCCCGACAGGGAGGCGGAAGCGGTCGACGCTTGTACCGCTCGGGCGGGTACTCCCAGCAAACTCCGAAGCGCGCTGAGTTTGGAAGGCTGAGCGGATGTTGCCAGCACGGCTTGTATACTGGTCGATCGTTGTGTCCGTAAAAGGGAACCTTTCCGCAGGCCACATACTTCACCTTTGGAGGCGGCAACTTTGGAGGATAATTCCACCTCTCCTCATATTTTCGCTTTAGATCAGCGAGCATCCTTGAAATCTTAAATTTTAAAGAATCTTGAGGTTCAAATAATAAATAATTTTGTTGCTTCCAGTATCGTGGCAGAATGTGACTTAAAGCTGTCGGATGTCGGCAAGGCTGGCTTTATAGCTCGCATCAAGGAGTTTGCCGCATCCCAATCAAAACTCGATCGCATAGCCAAGCAACACAAAACGCCCAAGGAGCGGGTAAGGGATTTATGATTTAACATTCTCTCAAACAAAAAACTAAATTCATCGGTTTTAGTTGGAGTTCCTCTTGGTGGCGCTGCAGCGGGAATTGCTTCAAGATTATCGTGCTGATCTGGACAAGAGGCCGCTCTTCAAACAGGGCCTAACACGACTGGATGACCTCAGCGTGGGAGATGTTTTAACGGGTGAGTATATTTAGTTCCAGAAGCCTTTGAAAAAAACTAGAAAATATTTTTAACTCAGGTGCCGTGACCAACGTTACGCAGTTTGGCGCCTTCGTGGACGTTGGCGTGGAGCGCGATGGCCTAATACACAAGAGCCACATGAACAACAGCGAACTGAGCATCGGAGATCGCATAGTGGCATCGGTGGTGAAGGTGGATATGCAGAGGCGCCAGTTGGGACTAAGATTGGAGAACATGGTGATGGAGACGGACACTTCGCTTACCTTTAAGACTGAAGACTAAAGACAAACTGCAGGATTTGTTTAATGGTTTTTGGAAGTATTTAATGATTTATATCGTAATTGTTTGGTTGCTCACATGAGCATTCATATATACTATATATAGTTCATATATATACGTGTATATGCATAGTATAACGGCATTCCTAAAGTTACTCAAAGCTTATCAGTTAGTAATAAATGTTCACATAAAAATCACCGTCTCTACGTACGTCAACTTGTTTCCCTTTGCGCCATGAGTTTGCAAGTTCTCTTGAATGGATGCTCGTGTTAATTGTTTTCGAAAGGATTCTGATTTAAAAACTAAGTGATGCCCTCGTAAGCCAGTTAAAACGTTTGACTAAACAAATATACAATATGCATACATTTAGGCGCTTGGTTTGCATTCATGTTGCTTTTCCTTTCAGTTAGTTTGTAGTTTCGAATTTATTGCCGTTTCAGTAGAATTGTTAAAAATTATTATAAACAATGTTATATAATCTGCATTTACATAATTACACAGTACAATAATTATAATATATTCAAAAATATACGATGTATTTAAATTTATTGTTTCCTTCTCTCTCTCTATTCCGTAATCGATATCAATTTCATATTCTAGCTACATGGACATGTCGCGTAATCAACCGATAATTGTTTAAATAAATATATTGATCCGTACATAATATTGGAGTAAGTGTGCCTACACAGATAATGTGATAATGTAACGCATGATGCCAAAAACAAGTCGTACATGGTATAGTGGTAATTGCTTAGGTTAATGCTCTTGTCCTCTCGTTCATTGTTCATTGTGTTATTGTTATTTCTGCCGATGATCTCCATCTTTTGGTTGCGTAGAGATATTGTTCAATAATTTATAATTTATTTTTATCATTTATAATGATAGCATAGGTAATGATGTAAGTATTGTTTATCAACTCGTGTAATAATAAGTCTATGTGTTTAAGCAGTTTCCATTTTCGATCCTAACAGCCGTCCAGCAGAATCTTTGGCGATGCGAATGCGAACGATAAATCAAATTCGAATCGAGAAGATTGCGTGGCTTTGAATCAAGTGAAACCGATTTCGGGAGACCTCTTTCGGGTAAGTAGCTTATTTACTTATGAAATCGAATGCTCGGATTCGAGATGATCCTTGTGATTGCCGAGATAATGCCAAAATCTTCTGATGGACGACCTTCAAACGTAAAACCCTCCTTCCTTAATTATCGTACTGGTAGTCTAATTGTCTCAAACGATCTCCCCTCTAACTTAAAGGGCACAAATTCCGAATTTCTCGAGTGGCAGGCACGGCGCAGCCGCAACGCTTGGGTGTAAGTGGGTGGTGAGTGAATGGTGCTGGGTGTGCGATTGGTGTGTGTGGTGTGGTGTGGCTCGGTAGATCTATCTGTGTTTCCGGCGCTGGCAGCCTGGCATTACGGAGTATTCTATTCAAATTCGTTCACTCGCCTGCTTCTGTGGTGGGGAGAGAAAAGATAGTTACATGCTTGAGTCGAATCGCTGACAATTGCAATCTGGGCGTGGCACTTACCAATGGCCAAGAGGCGGGGACTGTGGTGAAGGTGTGTGTGTTGGTATGCGAGTTTGGAAATGATCGAAATCAAGAGCGAAACAAAACGTAATTATTTCTTTTTCTTCTCTTTTCTGCAAGTGTAGAACGGTAAGCGAGGTTAGCAGATGTGATTGGAATCGAAAAGGGGGAAACGGGGTGTCAGATGGTGGATATTTGTTTGGGGTTCGCACTAAGCCAAGCTAGACACTGAGGAGTTAACGATTAACATTGAGATTTGGCCTCGGCCTGCTCACATTTAAGACAGGTGATCGGATCAGTACGGGTCAGGGCATTTACAAGGAGCACCTCCTGGCCGGATCACTAGCCTCCGGAGTGGTGCTTCGTGTGCTGTGGCTGGTGCTAAATCTTGGCAAGAGACTAGGGTGGCTAATGGCTTTTCGATTGGATCAAGTGCCGCCAGAGTGGGCTGCAGCAGCAGAAGACATCGAACCATCTGTAAGATTCAAGAATTCTCCATTTGGGTCTTGCTTTTCACTGTTGACGTGGAACGAGGAACGTGGCAACGCAATTTAAATCGCAAACTGGGTAACGGAATGGCAACGAGTAACGGCAACTGCTGTGGGTTCACCTAGGGTTCGGGGTCACCAAATGGCGTCGGGTTAGCATGAGTCTATATGGTGGTACATCGGTACATAGCCAGCAATTAGTGTGGGGTGTGGATGTGATGAGTCCAGAGCTTAATTGATTCTTCCGCCTACTTAAAATTGTATCTCTAACTTCTGGTGAAGTGTGCGGTTCGGTAAAACTTGTATAATATACTATTTTCGTGAGTATGTTGGTTGCATGTATATTTAGAACGCCACTAGCTTAGGTTTGCTTCTAATGAACCACATTTGTGTTTTCTACATTTCTTCGTTCAACTTTGTTTCTAAATATATTTTCGCTTTGTATATATGTAACGCCAAAACTTTGGATTGCTACAAGTGCTACAAAAAACTGTTTCCTATAGTTAACTATTCCAATCTTGACTTCAAATCGTTTTGGTTTCTAAATTCCTAGTTATCGATTACGAATTGTTCATAGAGTTTTCACAGCATGTTGTTGTGTGGTTGTGGTTGCTTCCAAAATAAAACCATTATTCACATAAGAACTAATTACATTAGGGTCTCCATCTCCTCGTGGTTTTAATTGCCTACGCGCAACACTTAAGTCTGGATTCAGTTATTGTTATACGTATCGTAGTTAAAACTATGCAAAATTAAAGCTTGTACTTGTTGGGATGTGGCAACATGATTGGATCGGTGCGAAAAGCAAAACCAACGAAACGAAACAAAACACGAAATATATTTACACAGAGAAAGGATTAGATTAAAACAGTGACAGCACAGTAATGCCAGCAACACAACAAAACACCGCAGCAAACAGAGTCCCAGAACAGCTTGCGCCAGGCCGCATAGGTCGACACCGAGAACCGGGGCACTCTGCGGATCGAACAACACAACGTTTAAAGAATAAAAGGGAAAGCTGAACACAAAACAACAACGAAAGCGGAAAAATACAGGGAACACAGCAGGGGATACAAAAGGAACATAACGAATGGATCGGAGCGATCGCTTAAACCACACAAGCTGAGAAAACTCCCATCACGCGTCAGCCAATGTCCTGCTGCACATTGCCGGAGGACGAGGAGCTGCTGCCGCTGGGGCGTTGCTGCTGACTGTACCTGTTCGTTGGCTGTTGCTGCTGATCCTTCTGCTGCTCCTTGTGGTTAATACTTTGCGGCGTGGGTGGCGGGCAGGCGGCGGTGCCCACTGGGAATGTGTCGGCTTCCTCCTCGAGCGTCGCTGAAGACGGCTGCTGCGCCTGCAGCTCCAGCTGCTGCTGATCCGCCAGCATCTTGGCGCTCAGGATGCTCACATAGGTGCGGTAGCGTCGCAGCTTAAAAACACAGCGGATGTTAAGTTATAAGCTCGCCTTATTTTGCATTATTAATACTTACCTCGTACTGCAGGTAGCTCTCCTTCTCCTTGTAGTTCTGCAGAGGCAAGCCCTTGCTGGGAATCGGACCCTTTTTGTGTTCGTTGAGCTCCTGGTCTAATTGGGCCAACTGAACCTCGTGGGACTCCAGCTGCTCTTTCTGCAATAAAGATGAATGTAATAAAATAAAAGTAGACACGGCGCAACTATATCCTTTCTACTCACCAGCAGCAGCTTGGACTGTTTGCTAGGCAGGAGTGGCCGCTGGAATCGCTTCTGGCTTCCCACGCCGCCCTCGAGCGGTGGCGCTGAGATGGCGGCACACACATAGTTGATGGTCTCCACCCAGGATTGCAGCTCCTTGGAATCGCTTGTCTGGAACAGATATTCGGCCTGGTCGGCCGTCTGCAGACGGAACACATGTTGCTTCTTGGTGTAGTCGTTGGCCTTGGTGGCCAGTGCGTGATGTATGCGTATTGCATTGTGCAGATTGTCGGACATCTGAATTTGGCGTTTGTTAGTAAGTTTAAGATATGCGTAAGGGGAGCTATACTCACTTGACTCTTGCGAAAGCCGTGCTCATCCTTATGCAAATACAGCACAAGATCACGCAGCGTGCAGTAAAACATCTTCCAGGAGCGTTTGCCAAAGGGAGCTGCACACGTAAAGATTTGTAAATTAGATATTCCCCTTAACACCTTCTCACATGTTTTACTTTTCTTGAAGCTGCTGTCGTAGCAGCATTTGCGCATCACATAGCCTTTTTTGTACTCCACAGCCGTGGCCAGTTCCGGGGGATCGAGGAAGGGGTTCTGTCCCACGTTGGCCAGCACACTGTTGTTGGCTCTCTGCTGCTGCAGCTCGCCTGCCTCCTCATCTCTGCGAGAAAAAATAACCATTACATTATGTTCACCAAGTAAAGAAGTACAGCTTACAGCGCCCACTCCAGCGGCTTGGTCTTAATTGCCTGGTACAGCGACTTCAGCACATCCTTGGGAAAGTTCTCGCCATCGTTGAGATCCGCCAGGTTGTCCACGAACTCCGCACAGCTCATCTTCCGATTCATGTTCTGGCCGTGCAGATCCGTGTTCAGCAGCATTATGGCACAGGTCAGCGTGTGCACGGCGTCCTGCGAGTTGAAGGTGCCAGGATTGCAGTCGAGGAAGCGCTTGGAGAAGTGCACCAGCACTCGCTCCCGCTCCTGCGTTTCGCCGGACAGCGAGAATTGCTGCAGGAACTCGCGCAGCGCTTGGTCCAGTGACTTCTTCTCGAAGGTGAAATGCTTGAGATACTCATCGGCCACCGCGCGGCTAAAGTCGTTGCTGTGTGGGAATTCTGTTTTAGTTGCGATTCAAATGGGCTATTAACAGTCTCACTAACTTTTTTGCTTAGGTGACGCGACACGTCGCTCTTCTTGAAACCGTCGAGGGAGTACAGTCTTTTGGCCAGGCGAATGGCCGAGGGCATGTCCACCGCCTTCGGCGAGTAGTGGTACGAGTGGAGGGACTCCACATCGCTGCCGTCATCGGACACCGGTGGCGAGGCGTCCCGCAGGCCGACGTTCATCGTGCCCAGCGGCTCCTCCGTCAGCGTGACCACATCCTCCTCGGAGCGGCCGTTGTTGCCACCGCTGCTGCTGCTGTCCAGTCCGCGCACTTGGATGACCACCTTGTGCTCGGACTGCTCCCGATCCCGGTCGCGGTCCCTCTCCCGTTCCCGCTCCCTGTCCCGCTGCTGTTGCTGCTGGGCGCGCAGCTGCTGCTTGAGCTGCTGGCGCTGCAGGGCGGCCGCGTCCGAGACGAGGATGGTGGAGTCCGAGTCACTGGGATCGCTAAGTACCATGCCGCCTAGAATATCGCGAGAACTCAATAAGTTATCGTCGTCTTGGTAGTCGGGACTAGATATATTCGAAATGGCCTCTGAGACGCTCTGATCGTTGTTGCCGCCACCGCCACCGCCACCTCCAGCACCACCACCACCACCACTAAAACCACCGCCGGCACCACTGATTCCTGGGCAGCCAAGCAGACCGGGAATCCCGCTGGGCGGCTGCGCGACCTGGCCGCCCTGCTCCCGCTGCTGCTGGTGCTGCTGCGCGGCAGCCATGGGCCCGTTGCTGCTGCTGCCCAGGCCTAAGGCGCCCTTCGAGCCCGACGACGACATCACCGACGAGGACACCGACGTGGGCGAGGCCGGACTGCCCGCAGCCGATTGCTGGGGCGACGAACTAATGGAACTTGAATGTGAATTTGAATGCGATTGCTGACCGTAGAGTTGCTGCTGCTGCTGCTGCTGTTGTTGCTGCTGCTGCTGCTGGAGATGCTGCTGGTGTTGCTGCTGGAGTTGCTGCTGCTGCTGCTGGAACTGCTGCTCTTGCTGCTGCTGCTGTCGCTGGAGGGCCGCCAACTGGTGAGGCTGGAGTGGGGCATTATAGGTCCACACGATCCGGTCGCGATCCGAAGCCTAGGATTTGCAACAAACCAGAGATTAGTAATACAGAAATAACAAGGATTTTGTTTTGTTTTCTTTTTTTTTATATGCTCTATGGATTTATAGTCAGATCTCGAATTTCCATTTGCCGTTGCCCAATCTCCCAGAGGAGTCCTAAACAATTTTCCGAGTGCCGCAAGCGTTCGGTGTCTGTTCTGTGTGGGTGTCAGAAACTTGGGTGGAATGCAATTGGTTCGTGTGTTGTGGTGTATGTACGTTTTTGGACAAGCGTTTGGTGTCGAGAGCTCTCGTCTTCTACATACAAAACTTTTCCAAGCGCAGGCAACAAATCAAAAGTGGCAAAATCGGAACAGAATCGAAATCAAAAGTCACATTAATCAGCATGCCAACTATGCAAATGGCAACCTTTTTGCATAAAATATAGTTTAATTTGCTGCTGCAGTTCATCGTTCTCGTTGCTGTTGCTGCAGTTGCAGTTGCAAGTGTTGCAGTTGCAAGTGTTGCAGTTGCAGTTGCAGTCGCAGATGTTGCTGGTTCGCTGGTGTTGCTGCTGCAGTTATTGTTGTCGCTGGCGCTGCTGCTGCTGTTGCTGCGGTTGTCGCTCTGCTCACCCTCGTTGTTGTTCGAGGCCAGTGACGAGTTGTTTGCAATTACAGTGACCACCGACTAGAAAGCTCACGGGGGACAATAAATTGCGCATATCAAATCGATTCGAGGAGAGTAGTCAAAGTAGGAAACGGAGAAACAGAGAAACGAGAAAACGAAAAGAAGAAAGAAATCCGAAACAAGAGAGTAAGATAGACAGAGAGTTTAGTAGTAAGTAAGTAAGTTAAGTTAACTAGGAAGGTTTAAAGTAACAAGTGAGCAAGTAAAACAGTGGGTTTGGGTTTAGGTACAGGGATAATTAGATGATTGGATGATATGACTGGCTTACAAAACATTGCAATGGCTAACACACACACACACATACACATATACATGGACAACAGACTACAGAAACCAGTTAACGAAAACCGAGCGAACGAACTCTACGAAAGCGGGATAACTCATCAACTACGAGTGTCGAGTGTTTCGGGGGAGATCTGGCGGAAAATTCGACTGTTCTTTCGGCTATCTCTATCCGGCGGACTATCCTGCGTGGAGTGGGACTACCGGAGTGCCTGGGCCCGGCGGCGCCTCACCTGTGAATCCTCGGAGTCCTGGCGCGTGTCCAGCAGGGTGTTCAGCGAGCTGTTCACGTCCTCGTCGATGTCGATCGGTATCACGGCGGCGATGCCCTCGCGCTGAATCTGCTGCAGGTGGTCCTCGGACTTGCTGGTGCGGAAGCCGGCGGCGTCGCACTTGCGCACCACGTGCCCGTTGTGCCGGCGCACCACCACTGCTCCGGCGCCTGCGCCGCTGCTCGATTCGGGGACGAGGGAACTGGGCTCCGGGCTGGTGGGCACCGAGTTGGCCGTCTCCTTGTCGATTAGCGGCGTGGAGAGCGAGATCGGCGAGGTTGGCACTGAAAAGGAGGTCTCGTCCAGGCCCAGTCCGCCCGCCTCGCTCTTGACCGTCGTGGACGAGGATCCCGAACCGGAGCGTCCGGCGCAGTCGACTGCGTCCCGGTTCCGCTGCTGCTGCCGCGTGGCGGTCCGCTGCTTCAGGGCCCGCAATCTCTGCTTGGCCGAACCGGAGCCCAGGGAATTGGTCGAGTAGTCCTCGTCGCCGGCGTCGTTCTCCTCCTCGTCGTACGCACCATCATCGTCGTCGTCGTCATCGTCCACCAGGCACTGCCGATCGCTATCGTCCTCGTCGCCCCGACCCAGTCCGCTCTGATAGGTCTCGATGTTGGTGATGTCGTAGTGCGTCTGGTCCTCCTCGCGTTCCTCCTCCACCCCCACCTCCTCCTGCTCCTCCAGCTCGTCCTCGTTTTGGTAGTACTCGTAACGCTGCTGCTGCTGCTGGCGATAGCGATGCTGCTGCTGGCGCTGGCGCTGCTGCTTGTTGTCCTCCTCCAGGACGACCTCGCCCTCCTCGTCCCGCTCCAGCTCCTCGCACATCAGCAGGGTGTCGTTGGTCAGCGAGTCCTTGCGGTTGTAGCTGTTGTTGATGCTGTCCCGCTGCTGTTGCTGCTGGTGAGGCTGCTGCTGCTGCTGCTGCTTCCTCAGGAGCTTCGCCTCGCGCTTCACCGAATCCGAACTGGTGTTCGTGGGCGAGTCCACCGAGGAGGAGGACGTGGGCGAGGACTCGCCGGAGGCACGCGGTGCGAGGGCGCCGTTCAACCGCGAGTTGACCAGGCGACTGGGCGAGTCTCGGAGACTGTCCACCTGGAATGAGTTTAGTTTAGTTACGATATTCCGAAATGGCGGAGAGGGATGATAGCTAACCTTTTTGGCCTGGGCGGGCAGGAGATTGCTGGTCTGCGGTGTCCGGGACAGGTTGAGGATCAGGTCGCCGGTCATCATGTAAGCCTCAAAGCGTGGCGCCTTCGCCGGCTGCGGTGGCGCCGAGTTCGGTTCCGGTTCCCGCTCCTGCTCGCGCTCCGTGAACCGCTGCCTGGTCACCGGGCTGCCGCTGTAGCTGTTCGAGTGCTGCAGCGACTGCGGCGGCAGCTGGGCGGCATGCCCGTTCCCGTTTCCATTCCCGTTTCCGTTCCCCATCGACGCCTTCGTGGGGATCTGCGAGGGGCGTGGACGCTTGTTCTGCGGCGAGTGGAGAACGGGCACGGGCTTGGGCACGGCGCTCTTGGCCAGCGCCTGTGGAATGCGTGAGGGGCGGAAGGTCGGCGAGGTGGCCTCCACACTGCCGGTGGGCGATGTGGGTCCCATTATGCCCGTGCTCGAGGTGGTGATGCTCGTCTCCACCACCTTGATCTTCGTGGAGCTGGCCGAGGAGTTGCGACTGTGGCTGTGGCTCTGGCTGTGGCTGTGGGTGTGCGTGTGAGTGGCGGTGGCGGTGGTCGTGGTCGTGGTGGATCCACTCGCCAGCAGCGGCGACGAGTTCTGGCGCAGCGAGGGCAAGTGCGTGGGCGACTTGTAGCGCAGTCCGCTCTGAGGGGGCGTGGTCGACGCCCCCTTTGGCCGGTGATTCGGCGAGGAGTTGGCGCTGCTGCTGTGGTAGTCGTAGATGTTCGGCGACTCAATGTCCACATAGTGCGGACTCTGCGTGTTGGCCAGCTGCTCTTTGATCCGCGCCTTCAACTTGGGATCTTTTCATAAAAAAGGAGAATATAAATTTCAGATTTTAGAAGGGTTTTCTTAAGGATGCAAACCGATTCAAATAAGTTATTAAAAAGGTATGTTAAAATCAAAATAAATTATATTAAAGCAGTTTGGTTTGGGTGAGTTTGGTTTTGGTTTGGTTCGAAACCGGTTTGCATCCTTGAAGACTGATATACGATTCCACCTACCTCGCTTCAGCTCCAAGGTCACCAGCTGTTCCGACAGGCGCAGGCATTTGAGAACTGTTTAAAAATATGTTCCGGGTAATTATTTACAGCTTTCTTCGGGCGAATTGCCCTTCCCGCTGGTGGACTCACCTTCCTTCGTTGTGTAGCGATGGACATCCGTTCCGTTGACTTTGAGGATGACATCCCCGGCCTCAACCTGCAAGAGAGCGAAGAAGAAATCCATTTAGCTGGCGAATCACTCACTGGCAGTGCCCCTCGATTATATTGACAACGCAAAGCCTATTGATTTTCCTTCGACTCGGCCTGCCGTTGTTGGTTGTTATTATTATTCGCATGTTAGGCATGGCTAAAACCCCGGCTGTCGGCACTTGTAAACTATTTTTAATTTTCTTCTCGATGGGCCCTCGCAACGCGCGTGGAAATGCGGGAAATGGGAGGGAAAACAGCATGAAATCACAACGTGGGACGACATTGGCGCCTATTTACTTGCTGACGTACGAACGAGCGGAGCAGCTTTTCGGGGTCCGTATCCGGGGTTCGAGTGGTACGTGGAAGTGGAGGTGGATATGGAACCTTCACCTCCGGACGGCACTCATAGATTATTCAATAAATATGCTAGGCATACCTAGCCGGGGGATTTTCGTTCGGATGGATACGCAACACGCGCCCCATGCTTAATGGAAAATGCACAAGAAACTCAACTCAAATTACTTTCATACTATTATTGCATAATTAGTTCCTCGGGCCTCCTGCCTTTGCCTTTGGCCGGGCCTCCATTTTATTATTAATGCACAGGATGGTGGGTGCGTGTGGATGGCATAAAGTTGGCAGTAGGCTTCCTTCTTCGGAGACACTTGACGCGACTTGCGGGCGGCAATTAAAACTAAAAGTCGCACTAATTTATGCTCTCACTTTATCGCTGGCGGAACACTGCGATTTCTGTTTCTGCACAAGCACAAGAGAAGTCTGCAGGGCCAAGAGAGCGAGAAATTTGGGAAAATGTGGGGAAAAATGGGCTAGAAGAGAGCGGAAACATTGTGAACTTTGCAGCGCGAGAGCCCGAGTGCCACATATTGCTGCTCTTGCCGCGGGCGGCGGTGCTATTCAATTAAAATTGTGCTTAAATTAATTGTGCCGCCCAAAAATTTCCGACAAGCTGGGAGGTTACATAACCGGAAAGCAACCCTCTGCAGCTCCTAGGCGAAAAGAAAGTCAAACCCGTAATGCAAATCTGATGTTTCCCCCGTGGGGCGGCATCTGCATAACACGACGGAGGAACCTCCACTTCTGGCCACTTCGGAAACGTGTTTGCCGCCTTTGATAACAAGCCGCGATTAATGGCTTACAGCGCCGAGGAAACTCTCCCAGATTCGATTAGGCACTTCAGCCAACAGACGCAGACAACATCCAACCAGCAACAACCAACAGACAACAAACAACAGACAACAGCAGGTGCACACAGCTATGCGCATGCAAAAATTGCTTTTGCATTTCACTTTCACGCTCCGAAGGGGAGCAGCGTACGATAGCTACAAGATACGCTGACAGTGGAGCCCGTGCAACTCAAACTCCATGCAGTCACAGGCCTCCACAAGTTAAGAGGGCTTAGAAGGTTCTTCATAAGCAGGCTCGCCTGTGCACTGAAATTTAGATAGTGGGCCCCCTGGGGCCAGAGTTGTTGAGTCGGGCAGGCAGTCAAGCTAGTCAAGCAACCAGCAACCAGCAACCAGCAGGCTGCACAGTTAAAAGTTAAATCAATCAGTTACACTCGGCTGACGACGCTCCGTCCCCCGCTCCTCCCTCCTCCCCTCCGGCCCCATCCCACCCGCAACCCCTTGACCTGTGTCGCATGTGACCCCGCTCCTCGGGTGCAACGATGGCTGCTCAAATTGAAATTGGTTCGAATTGATTTGTTTTCACATCCAACGACACCAATGACAATTGCACCGAGAGCTTCTCCTGCACTTCCTGCGCCCCCTACCCATTCCCATTCCCATGCCGCTCGGATTTTGTCTGGTCGGCACTCTTGTTTGTTATCCGCAATGTCATACCCCTATTCCCAGGGAAAACAAAGTCAACTGGGCGTTGAAGATACGACCACAAGAGGATAAGCTGCACTTTGGGGGAGAAAAACAAACCATCGCAGTGGTTGTTCCGCAATGGGATGTCGGGGTATTAAAGTAGCAGAGGGTACCTTACAATTTACGTTCCCTTATACCAATACCTTTTATTTCATCTGAGTAACCTTCATATTCAGCTGCAAGAATTTTCTTTTTATATGACGCTAAGGAATTTCTTTTAAATTAAGTGTATGTATCAATTAAGCTTTAAAAAGGGTTTACTGTGAAACAAGTGTTTATGGGAATCACCTTCGAGAATCTGAACACGAGACTAATGCAGTTGGAGAAAAGCTTATCGGGAAATTCCTGATTCCAAATAATCGCTTGTGAGCCCCTAAGGCTGATAATGCCAGTTCGAAATACTTTAAGCATTCACGTCACATTCGGCTTTCAATTACCGAGTACTTGAAGCCCCAATTAATGCCAAGTGAACAATGGCTCTTTTTTGGGGGTCTCCTCGTGTGTGTTTTGATTTTGGTTCAATGACGCTTTATTGACATGAACTAAACCAATATCAATTAACAACAGCAACAACAGCACGCCCACTCTGTGAGCTGTGTGGAGGTAAACAAGGCGATTGATTGATTGTATTAGCGACTGCCGACGACGACCTAGTCAAGTACGGTTCCGTGCACTACCTTCACCGTTATACGGCCGGCTTCATGGGAGCTCTAGGAGCTCTATTGCCGCAGAGTCGTTGACAGACTGCAGTAATAGGAAAACCCACTAACCTCTTTTCGCCGGAGCCCAGAAAATCAATGTTGGGGCAGGCAGGCAGATAAAAGGCAGCCAGCCAGGCAGCCAGTCAGCTTTCACGTGGGCGTCCCGCAAATGACGCACTCAACGGAAAAAATGTTGAGACCCCTAGAAATCCGTAGTCGCAGACCCACAAGTGGCGAGGTGGCCAGAGTGCGCGGATCGAGCCAGACACTTGGACCTGCGGCTCACTCAATCCACCGCCCGTTATTGGACTAATGATTTTGCCACTTCTTCGGCTATTTGCATTCTACACGGCTGCGCTGGCTTTGTTTACTCGCTCTGCCTTTCAGCACGGCACTTAGAGGTACAGGGCTTACATTAGACATCATCACACCCCGTATATTGTACGTGAAATCGGAAAACAGAAGAAAAGCGGTAGGAAAGCGGAAAGTGGGAAATTACACTAATTCTTGTTCGTAATACAGATTCTCCCTAAGCTGAAAGCTAAGCTCATAAATAGATAGTAAATGGTGCTAAATTCCAAAAGAGTTTCTCCTCTGGCTCACACGGGCGACATCTCTCTTCTTGTTTGTTTAATAAACATGTGCAGATCCCCCGAACAATAACAGATCAAATAAATAAGAGAGCACACAAGCCAATACCCACATAGCCCCACACTCGGCCGCTGTTTTATTTATTTTTTATTTCGACGACCTTGCAGGCACATTCATCGTGGATTTCCTTTCATATTTGCACCAAATAAAAAGAGGGGGCAACAAATTAGCATGAATTGGTTTATTTCATTATCATGCTCTGGTGGGTGTTGTGTAATCGCGGGAATCGGAAGTCGGTGAATGGTCTGAATGGCGATGGCGATGGCGATGGTATCGCTACCCCGCTTAGCTAAACAATTCCGGCGATGGGAGTTGTTCGTCGACATCGCCGGAACCCGACCACGGCCCATTATGTTAATAAAGTGCGAACTTTCGTAAAACTATGCCAATGGCTCAACTTGAGATTGTGGATTGAGTGATTCACGCCCTGTCACCATAGATCTCTCTTGCATATATGGAGGTTTGGAAAGAGCTCTGCCCAGTTAGCAAACGTAACCCCTTCTTAATACACTCTCTCTCTTAATTCTGACCAGGTTGTTTGCTCAATTTCTAACTGCCTAATTAAAAAGCTTGCCATCTCAACCAGCACAAATTTCACTGAATTCTTGCCCCACACTTTGTGAGGTCAAGTAATTATATCGTAAGCAAATTTAAGATAACCATAAAAGTAGCTTCAAGTATCTTAAAGATCTTTGAAGCTTTATCTGTTAATTCAATTTGTGTTGAGTGGCTGAGTATCGATTGCGTCACAGGTTATTTTATCGGAAGCTGAAATCCATGGTTCTGCCTCCTTTATTACCTGCTATTAGTTTATGTTTTCTGCCATGTAAATATCGCAAAAATGTGCGCACTTTCTGCGCCGGAAAATCAAAATAGACGGGATGTTTGTGTGTGCCTGTGGAACCGTGGAATTTACGGCTGTTGTGAGAGCGCGGCTCGTGCGGGATTTGCATTTGTGCAAAACGCATAAAAATGAAACTGCAGCAAGAACGAAACCTAGAGACACAAACAACAAATGTTTTTCAAACAAAAAGTAGTGGAATTTGTGAGTTTTATCGGACTCTTGGCTACACTGAGATTATTTAATCACTTTAAGTGAATAAAATACGTATACCGTTTCTGAATTTTGCTGAACCATTGCTGTTCTAAGCCTCATTTTTTACATAACATTTTTTTAATACCCAATTATTCCCATTTAAACATTGTTTCGGCTTATGTTAATTAGTGTGACTAGGCAGTGTTTATTTTTGTTATTGATTTGCATTCGCCTTGGTAGCTACACACATTTGCCTCGGCAAAAATGGCAAATGTGGGCCAGAAAGTCGCAAAAAGGGAAAATAAATGCCCAACTAAAAGGGGGTAGAACAAGCCGGCTAATTGAGCATTCCAAACACAGAAAAAAGCAGGGGAAGGAAACAATGGGGCGAGGTGAGATGAGATGCGATGAGATGGGACGAGAAGTGCCGCCACTCCATTTGTAGGCAGACAGCCGCCAAGTGGCTGCAGCGTCGGACTCGGTCTCGGACTCGGATTCAGATTCCGATTCGGATGCACTGCACCCGCCCGAAATGGTAATGGCTGCTACCTCTGTTGCATTTGCTGCATCTTTAGCAATGCTTGGACGCACACACGAACGAGCGAGTGGGCAAATAAATGAGCGAGCGAGCCAGCGAGCACAAACAACGCCAAATATAAATGCCCGAGATTTAGCGCAAAGTTTACTGCTACCGCTCGCCGCTAAGCTTTCTACAACTACAACACTT